ATTACCAATGGTAGTACAGAAAAATGTAGACATCAGACCCTATAGACTTTAAGAAAATAAAGTAAATTTATACCAATGAATTTTAAAACTTAGGTAAAATGGACAGATTCCTGAAAAATGTAGCTTATTCAAATTGACACAATATAGAAAATCTTTTTTTTTTAAGATTTATTTATTCATTTATTCATGATAGACACAGAGAGAGAGAGGCAGAGACACAGGAGGAGGGAGAAGCAGGCTCCATGCCGGGAGCCCGATGTGGGACTCGATCCCGGGACTCTAGGATCGCGCCCTAGGCCAAAAGCAGGCGCTAAACTGCTGAGCCACCCAGGGATCTCCAGAAAATCTTAATAATTATATGCCTACTAAGAAATAGGATCTGTAACTTAAAATCTTTCTAGGAAGAAAATGCCAGGTGAAGATAACTTTACCAACAAATGTACCAAACATTTAAGAAAGAAACAACACCAACCTTATACAAATTCCTCCTGAGAACAAAAAAGAAATGCTCCCCAGCTCATTTAGTGAGGCTGTTGTATAACTATGATACTAAAATGTGAAAGGACATTATTATATCTATATAATAATCCTAAGTAAATAATCCTAAACAAAACATCAAGAGATTCAAATTAACAATATACATAAAAGAATTATGCCTCCCAACCACGTTGATTTATTCCAGAAATGTTGGAAGATTTGGCATTCAAAATTCAGTCAGTATATAGTAATGTAAGATCTTTTTTTTTTTATTTTTTTTTTATTTATTTATGATAGTCACAGAGAGAGAGAGAGAGAGAGAGAGAGGCAGAGACATAGGCAGAGGGAGAAGCAGGCTTCATGCACCGGGAGCCCGATGTGGGATTCGATCCCGGGTCTCCAGGATCGCGCCCTGGGCCAAAGGCAGGCGCCAAACCGCTGCGCCACCCAGGGATCCCTAAGATCTTTTTTTTTTTTTTTTTGTAAGATCTTAATAATAGTGGGAACTGGGTGGAGAGTGTATGGGAACTCTATAGTGTCTTCACAACTTTGCTTAACATCTAAAACTATTCTTAAAAATTTTCATTTAAAACTGTATAATTAAAAAAAAATAAAATAAAACTGTATAATTCACTGCATTATAAAGGAGAAAAGTCATATCTTAGTAGATGTAGAAACAGCATTAAGAGTCATCATTCTTTTGCAATAGATATGTTAAACTCAGCTTACAAAGGAATTCCTTAATTTAACAAACATATCTATAAAAGCCTGTTGCAAACATCATATGGCAAAATATTGAAAGCTCTCCTTAGTGACTGGGAACAGACAAGAATGCCAGTATCAATACTTCTATACAATATCCTATCAGAAGTTGCACCCAATACAATAAGGCAGTAAAAAAGCAACATAGGGCATAAAGATTGGAAAGAGAGAAACAAAATTGTCATTATTTATAAATGATGTGATTGTGTGCAGAGAACACTTAAAAGAATCTATAGATTGTTAAAATCAACAAATGCATATAGCAGAACTGCTGGATACAAAATCGATAAGCAAAAATTATTTATATTTCTATTACCAGCAACAAACAAAATGAAATCTTAAAAGCATGCCATTTAGGATATCCTCCATAACAACAAATCTAGCAAGTAATGTGTGATACCTCTGAACAACAAACTATAAAACATTATTAGAGAAATTATTTTTTATTTATTTTTTTAAAGAGGTTTTTTTTTTTTTTAAGATTTTATTTATTTATTCATGATAGACACAGAGAGAGAGAGAGGCAGAGGGAGAAGCAGGCTCCATGCCGGGAGCCCGATGTGGTACTCGATCCCAGGTCTCCAGGATCACGTCCTGGGCCAAAGGCAGGCGCCAAACTGCTGAGCCACCCAGGGATCCCTAAAACATTATTAGAGAAATTAAAGGAGATCTAAACAAATGGAAAGAAATGTTCATTAATATTTGGAAACCTCAGTATTGGGCAGCCCTGGTGGCGCAGAGGTTTAGCGCCACTTGCAGCCCAGGGCATGATCCTGGAGACCCTGGATCAAGTCCCACGTCGGGCTCTCTGCATATCAAGATTTACTATAAAGCTAGAGTAATTATAATTATTAATTCAAGGACAGATGAGCACTGAAACAGAACAGAGAACCCTGAAACATCACAACATATGTGGACACTTGGCTTACACCAGAGGTGGCACTACCAGTAGTAAGAAAATGTTGTATTTTTAATAAGTGATTTGGGGATATCAGAAAAAATTATACCTGACCCATATCACATTTCAAGCCCCAAAATAATTTCCAGATGGATTAATACATTCAAATATGAAAGGCAAAACAGTAAAGCTTCTATTCTAGAATTTATAATATAGAATATCTTCATGGCTTTGGGGTAAAGGACAATTTCTTAGTGCGGACACAAAAAGCACTTACCATACAGGAAACTATTAATAAGTTGGACTACATTAAAATAAGAACTTATATTCATCAAAAGACCCTATTAAGAATGTGAAAAGACAAGGTACAGGGTGGTAGAGCATATCTGTAACACAATCAACAAAGAGCTCAGTTGCAGAATGTGTAAAGAACTGCAGGTCAGTTAGATGAGACTTGAACAAACACTTTACAAAAGAGAATATCAAAATGACCTGAAAAGATATGAAAAGATTTTCATCCACATTAGTAATTGTGAAAATGCAAATTAAAACCACAATGGATGATTCTGTACATCTGCTAGATTGGCTAAAATTAAAGGTGAATTACAGATAACACCAAATGGTGGCCTGGATGTGTAGCAACAGGAATGCTCATACACTGAGTGTAAATTAGTATGTCCACTCTAGTGTCGGTAATGCCAAACTGTTGTCCAAAGTTGAACACCTACATATCCAATAACTGAGCATTCTAATTCTAGGAATATACCTCACAGAAATAGCAGCAAGGAGAAATGCATCATAGCAGTCAAATTCAAAATAGCCAAAAAATTGGAATCAGACCAAATGACCACTGACAGTTAAAAGGATAAATTGTGGCATATGTATATATAATGGAATTGTATACGATAATGACAATGGACTACAACAGGCAAAACACAGATCAGTCTTACAAACATAATGTTGAGGGGCACCTGGGTGGCTCAGTGGGCTAAGCGTCTGCCTTTGGCTCAGGTCATGATCCCAGGGTCCTGAGATTGAGCCCCACATCAGGCTCCCTGCTCATCAAGGAGTCTCCTCTCTCTCCCTCTTTCCACCTCCTGCTCATGCTCTCTCTCACTCTCTCTCTCAAATAAATAAAATCTTTAAATAAAAAACATAATATTGAGGGCAGCCCGGGTGGCTCAGCGGTTTAGTGCCGCCTTCAGCCCAGGGTGTGATCTTGGAGACCCAGGATTGAGTCCCACATCGGGCTCCCTGCATGGAGCTGGCTTCTCCCTCTGCCTGTGTCTCTGCCTCTCTCTCTTTTTCTGTGTTTCTCTAATGAATAAATAAATAAAATCTTAAAAGAAAAAACAAAAACATAATGTTGAGCAAAAGAAGCCAGACACAAAAATATATATTTGATTGTTCCAATTACATAAAGTTCAAAAACAATGAAAACCATGGTGTTTGTGGATCCACACACACTTACATGGTAAAACTATAAAGAACAGCAAGAAAGTGATTTCAATACGGGTCAAGAGAACGATTTTCTTTGGGAAGAGAGAGATTATATATCTGTATTTTGTACTTTTCTTTATGTTTCTCCTACTTGACAATAAAAAAGTTTTAAAAGTTACAAACCTATAAAAACATGAGATTTTTGCAGGACTTTTTAGAAGCTGGAAAACAAATGAATGAATGTTCCTCACTTGGCTGATTCAAGAAAGCTGAAGTAATGGGGAATGCTGAGTTCCAGCATAGAATTCTCAAAAGGCAAAGGAATTGGTAGTAGCAATTTCTAGATTTGGGGACTGTGGGTTGTGGGGAGGAGGGAGATGGTCACTGAGTTGAAATGAGACTAGATGGAAGCTATTTGAAAGGCAATTACAGGGCGTCTGAGTGGCTCAGTCGTTGAGCTTATGCCTTTGGCTCAGGTCATGACCCCGGGGTCCTGGGATCAAGTCCTACATCAGGCTCCCCACAGGGAGTCTGCTTCTCTCTCTGCCTGTGTGTATCTCTCATGAATAAATAAAATCTTAAAAGAAAAAGGCAATTAAGTCCTGGTTGTTACTGGGTAACTGCCTCACCTCCAGGTCTGGAGGTTAATCTCTAAAAAAAAAGTGTAAACCAAAGAATTTCTGGATTAGGGGTACAACTGAGGATGTCAGTGCCGTGCCCGAGACATGTGAATTAAGTGGCCATGTATATCCTCAATACTGATACAGAGAACTCCCTCACAAAGTCCCACTCTGATCACTTCTGATAAAGCTGTCCACTCGGCAACTTGGAGAGCCTTGTAGGTCCCCATTCTCAGCCACAGCAGACTCCTGGGATTACATCAGGAAAGTCTTGAAGAGAATCAACAACACAAACAGCAAAAAGCAATGTGAATGAAAGTGAGATTCTGAAGAGAATACAAAACTGAAAAAGGGAAAGACTATAATATCTCCAAAAAGATGTAGGAAGATAGTAACAAAAATTAAACAAAAAATATACCTCTCTTAAGAGATTTGTAGGCTCTTCATTTTGCCCTTTGTTTTGGTTCCCTGTTTTCAGTGTCATTTGTTTCCCAAACAGTATATTTTTCTTTGTCTAATTTTATTTGCGTGACTTATGGGGGGACAGGGTATGTTGGATGACAACAAATGTGAATTAATGTAAAACTATAGACTTTTAAGAAATGGAAAATGCTAACAAGAATTCTGTAATTTAATACTGTCATGCTACCAAGGATGTCTCTTCTGAGCCGATAAAGATAGTAGCCTGCTTCTCTCATTGCATTTCATTTTGGTTTTTTTTCTCTCTTCCATGTCAACTTAAATTTCTCTTGCCATATTTCTATCTTCATCTCCTTGTTTCTTGCTGTCTCTTCTCCCTGAAGATCACTACATTTCCAGCTATCGGAAAGGTATCCGGCTAAAATGTGCTAAGAGCTTAATACCCGCTGTCTGTCTCACCACAGCCTATTAATTTTATTAGACCTTTTTAGTTGTAGTTGAATGATTTCAGAGAGGCTCTCCATCCTCCCTTTCTGTTTTAGTGTAAATGCTTTCTTTGTGCCTGCTGTATAACTCTGCAGAATATTGAGAGCTGAAGGGGCAAGGAAGGGGAGGCCATGTTTCTCTTTCTGACTTTTGAGTGTGGTCACCTGGTGCATGCCTGGACCTTGGCTTCATGTGTGAGCTGTTCCCTGAATCTTAGATGAGAAAAGGCCATACAATGTTGTGGTAGCTTTTTTAGAGAAGCCTCCCCCACCCCCATCATAACTGATATTGCACAGTTGTCTATGGTAGGAAGTAACTCACTGGTGTGTGAGTAAGTGAGGATTATAGAATGAAAGCAGCCCTCACTAAACTGAGGAGAGCTAGCTGTATGTTTGCCTGCAGAAGACAACTGCGTGAATCATCACTTGCCCTTTGGCAGGCCAAACCCTGCATCCTGAGGTGGCCCACAGCATTCTCAGAAGAGATCTTTGCTGTAGCAGCTGTCTTTGTTGACATGTGTATGTTTCATTCTTTGCTGTGCTCTGCATTTCAGAGGCCACAAAGAAGTCCCTACCTCTCGTAGGTCCATCCAGTCTGTCTTTGTTGTGACCCCTCAATTTTTTCATCTTGTTTTCCCGCTTAGGTTGTTTTTTTCTCTTGCTCCTTAGAACTTTCTGGGATTTTTGTTTGTCTAAACAAACTTAGGCCCTGATTTCCTTTTCTAAAACAACCATTTCTTTAACTTAGAAAGAGACTTCATCCTGCATTTTTATCATCTAACCTGTTAATACATTCTTTTAACTCACTGATTCTTTGTATTGAAGGAGGCACTACAGTTCGAAAGGAGATCATCAAGAATAAAATCAGAGCTATTGGGAAGATGGCACGGGTCTTTTCAATTCTGCGGTAAGGATAAATCTGTCATTACAGTGTGGGATCAAGGCATTTTGAGAGACAATTAGAAGTTGATTTCAGGACAGTTTTTTTTAGAATTGGAGTTTGGTATGATTGGATAGGTCTTCAGAGCTGAGTGGACACTGAATCTAACCGATATGTTAAAGTGACTAGAAATGCTTTGGCAAACATTCATTGGGCACAAGCTTAGATGTAGTGAATGCAGTGACTTACTGTGGATTCTTGGAGCCAGATTGCTTGTGTTCACATCCTGGCTCGACCTCTTCTTAGCTCTGATTTTGAGCCTCAGTTTCCTTGTCTATAAAAGTGTGATAATAACAAGACCTACTTTACACAGTTATTAGGAGGATTAAATGGGATGATATATGGGAAACATTTAAATAGTTCCTGGCTATTGAACCTGCTGGTTGTTTAAAATTGGAATATTTACAGAAAGCATCTTTTTCTTTGGGTCAGGGAAGGGGTAGGAAGAAGGAGAACCTGTCCTCCATCTCTGTGCATCTTAACTTCCCTTCTAGTATCTTTGAACTGCTGAGTGGTAGACATCCTGGCATTAATGTAGGGCTTTCACCTTCCTTTGCAGAGAAGAGAGTGAGAGTGTGCTGACTCTTAAGGGCCTGACTCCTACAGGGACACTCCCTCTAGGTGTCCTCTCAGGAGGAAAGCAGACTATTGAGACAGGTGAGTATGAGAAATACTCCTTTCATGGAAGATGTGCTCCCATACCCAGCAGTCAACAGAAAATTTAAAATTAGGGCTTCTTTCAATAAATGATATTAGAGCAATTGGATATCCATGTGAGGGGAAAGTGAATCTTAACTCTTCTCTCTATATACAAAAATTAACTCAAAATGAATTATAACTTAAACATAAAATATAAAACAATAAAACTCCCAGAAAAAAATATGGAGAGTATTGAAGTAGATAAAGAGTCCTTAGGGCACAAAAAGTAGTAACCTTAAAAGAAAAAAAATCAATTAAATTTCATTAAAACTGAGAATTTCTATTCACAAAAATATATGATTAAGAAAGGGAAAAGGCAAGCCATTAACCGAAGGAAGATTTTTTGCAATATGTCTGTCTGACAAAGGGCTTAAATTCAGAATCTATAAAGAACTATAAACTCTAGAAGAAGAATACAACTACACTTTATGCTTCACAAAAGAGGGTATCAAAATGGCCAGAGAGCATATGAAAAGATGCTTAATATAGTTACTCATCTGGGAAATAGACATTAAAACCACAGTGAGATACCATTATATTCAGCAAAATGGCTAAAATTAAAAATTCTAGGGCAGCCCTGGTAGCCCAGCGGTTTAGCACTGCCTTCGGTCCAGGGTGTGATCCTGGAGACCCAGGATCGAGTCCCATGTCGGGCTCCCTGCATGGAGCCTGTTTCTCCCTCTACCTGTGTCTCTGCCTCTCTCTCTGTGTGTCTCATGAGTAAATAAATAAAATCTTAAAAAAAAAAAAATTCTAACAATACCAAGTGTTGGTGAATTTGTGGAGAATAGAACTATATACATTGCTGCTGGGCATGTAAATTGGTTCAACCACTTTGGAAAACTGTTGGGCAATAAAGCAAAACATTATAGTACCCTAAAACCCAGCAATCCCAGACCTCGTATATCAAGGAGAAATAAGTGCATATGTCCACCAAAGGAATGGCATAAGAATGTTCACCATAGCTTTATTCATAATAGCCCCAAACAGGGGGAAAAAACCTAAATGTTCATCAATAGCAGTATAGATAAATGTGTTCTGTTTATACAATGGAATATTACACATCAATGAAAAAATTATAGATACATGCAAAAACATGGTTGAATCTCACAAATGTTATGGTAAACTAAAAAAGCTAGGCACAAAAGGGCACAGACTGTGTAATTTATAGGATGTTCAAGAATAGACAAACTAGGGGCACCTGGGTGGCTCAATTGGTTAAGCATCTGCCTTCAGCTCATGTCATGATCCCAGGGTCCTGTGATTGAGCCACATATTGGGCTCCCTGCTCAGTGGGGAGCCTGCTTCTGCCTCTGCCTCTGCCTGTGCCTCTGACCCTCCTTTTGCTCGTACTCTCTCTTGCTCTGTCTCAAATAAATAAAATCTTTAAACAAAAAAAGAAAGGGGGCACCCCGGGTGGCTCAGCAGTTTAGCACCGCCTTCAGCCCAGGGCCTGATCCTGGAGACCTGGGATTGAGTCCCATGTTGAGCTCCCTGCATGGAGCCTGCTTCTCCCTCTCCCTGTGTCTCTGACTCTGTGTGTGTGTGTGTGTGTGTGTGTGTGTGTGTGTCATGAATGAATAAATGAATGAATGAATGAATGAATAAATAAATAAATAAATAAATAAATAAATAAATAAATAAAATCTTAAAAAAAAAAAGGAAAAGAAAAAGAAAAAAGAATAAGCAAACTAGCCAAATGGTATAGAAGCAGAATGACACTCTGTTGGGAGAATATTGACTCAGAAGAAGCAGAGGGGACTCCTGGAGTAGTGGCGATGCTGTATATTTCACTATCTGGGTAGTAGTTACATAAGTGTATTCATACACAAAAACGTATAGATATTGGTGCACATGATATGTCTCATGTATTTTTTTTAGTTTTTATTTATTTATGATAGTCACACACAGAGAGAGAGAGAGAGAGAGGCAGAGACATAGGCAGAGGGAGAAGCAGGCTCCATGTACCAGGAGCCCGACGTGGGATTCAATCCCGGGTCTCCAGGATCGCGCCCTGGGCCAAAGGCACGTGCTAAATCGCTGCACCACCCAGGGATCCCCTCTCATGTATTTTTTAAGATTTATTTATTTTAAAGAGAGAGAGAGCACTTGAGCCAGGGGACAGGTAGAGGGAAAGGGAGAGAGAGAATCTCAAGCAGACTCCCTGATGAGCGTGGAGCCCATGTGGGGCTCGATCTCATGCCTAACTGAGAGCATGACCCAAGTGGAAATCAAGAGTCAGACACTCAACTGACTGAGCCACGTAGACACCCCACTTAATGTCTTATTTTTGGGTGTTAGAATTTCTCAGAGAGGGAGTTTGCCTCTGCCTGCCAGCCATATCCTATTCCAGTGCCACAGTCACCTACCTATCCAGTCAGTGTCAGTACTAAAAAGCTTATGGATGCTGACTTGTAAGGAGAGGGCTTTATGGAACCCTGCAATGAAGAGATCAATGTTTGTCAGAATAGACAGATGTGGTCAAGCAAGGCAACTAATTCTAGGCACAAAAACTGAAGTTGAAGCATTCGCAACTTAAACTAGACTTTCACTGCTTTTATTGGCCCCTTATTTTATTACATTGTTTCTCTTTTTTTTTTTTCGTTGTCATACCATAACTTATAGGAATCCTTTGCTTTTTGTGGAAAATCCACTGATATTAATAGGAACAAGCCCCTTTTTCCCCTTTCCTTTTATAGGATTGAATTGCTCCTTCTCTTTCAAATTAAATACTGGAATATTAGAGTTCAACTATTTGGAAGGAGGAATGAACATTTTCTCCTTGGAAGTACATAACTATTTTCTTAATTTCTTTAGTTTCATAGAAAGGATCAGTAAACTACTTCAGGTTGAAATTTTTTCTCTTAAACAAATGTGCAGTTTCTTATAAACAAAATACTTCCATTACTTTGTTTGGTAGTTAGTCATGGGAGCTACTCTGAGAGTACTTCTGACGAGGCAGGTTGGAATTAGTAGGAAACACCATGGATAAGGAAAAAGGGAATGTCTATAGCCTTACTTGAAAAGTTTTAGAAACTTGCTGATCCACAAAGTTGTTGTTTTAATCTGTACCTTGAAAGACCAAATCTGGGATGAAGAATGAAGAGAATTGTATGAATGTGCTATTTGGAGATTTGTTTATGATCTTTGGTCTGCCTTTTGTTCTCAGTCCCAAGTATATAGTTTCTCTTCATTCCTAATTGGAATATGAGTGTTTTAATAAAAATAGCATTTTTATTGATACTTTTGAAATTGATAGATGTCTTCAGGAATGCATAAGAACAAAACTAAAGTTGGAGCCAGCTTTTTAGAGCTTCTTATGTCTCATTGACAGAAACTGAATTTATTTTGTCGTTTTCCCATCACTCAGTTTTACAGGTTCACTGGCAAACTGGAGCATTAGCTAAAAAAGACCTTTTATTGTTCTGGTAACTCTACTTGGAGAGCTTTCAACCAACAATATCCCATATGGCCTTATGGGATTCATTCATTTATGTCTTAGCTTGTTCCAAGAGGGATTTGAGTAAGTTACAGTGTATATATAACACAGTGAAGTAAAATAAATATGCTTGGAATTGGAGCACAAAGGAAAACAAACAAACAAAAAGCCAATAGAGAGTCACAGATTTTACTCCCAAGCTTCCTAGTACCGAAATAAAGAGGAGTGCCAAGAACTGAATGAGATTCACAAAGACCATAAAATAAGAAACAAGTAGATAATAAATTGGACTACATCAAAATTAACATTTGTGCTACAAATGAAACCATCATCAAGAAAGTGAAAAGACAGGATGCCTGGTTGGCTTAGTGATTGAGCATCTGCCTTTGGCTCATGGTGTGATCCCAGGGCCCTGGGATCGAGTTCTGCATTGGACTCCCTGCAGGGAGCCTGCTTTTCCCTCTGCTGATGTCTCTGCCTCTCTCTGTGTCTCTCACGAATAAAAAAGTCTTTTAAAAAAGAAAGTGAAAAGACAACCCATAGAATGGGTGGAAATATTTACAAATCATACATTTGATAAGGGACTGATATCTAGAAAACAGAAAAGAACTCTTATAATTGAATAATAAAAAGACAACCCAATTAAAAAATGAGTAAAAAAAGTTGAATAGACATTTTTCCAAAGACATGCAACTGGCCAACAAGCATGGGAAAAGTTGCTCAACATCATTAGATATTAAGGAAACACATCCAAACAATGAGATACCACTACATACCACACCCAGGATGGCTGTGATCACAAAGACAGATAGTAACAGGTGTTGGTGAGAATGTAGAGAAATTGAGACCTTCTGGTACCCTGCTGGTAGAAATGTGAAATGGTGAAGTATTTTGGAAACCAATCTGGCAGTCCCTTAGATCAGTAAACATCAGTTGACCTTATGACCAACCGTTCCACTTGTAGTTGTATACCCCCCAAAATGAAAATGTATCCACACAAAGACTTGTTCACAGCAGCATTTTTCATTAGAGCCAGTAGGTGGAAATGGCCCAGATGTCCATCACCTAATGAGGTGGCTATTCACACAACAGCATACTGTTCAGTCATAAAAAGGAAGGAATTACTGGTTCATGCTTCAACATGACTAAACCTTAAAAACATTGTCATTTTCCCATCATTACGCTAAGTGAAAGAAGCCAGTCACCAAAATCACCCTCTGTGCAATTGCATTTATGTGAAATGTCCAGAGCAGGCAAATGTGCAGAGACAGAAAGTTGATTATTGGTTGGCTCAAGGATTAAGGGGAAGGGATATTTGGGGTGATGAAAATGTTTTAACCATAGATTGTGGTGATGGTTATACAACTCTAAATATATTAAATCATTGAACTGTACACTTTAAACAAGTGAATTTTATGGTATGTGAATTATATTTCAGTAAAGAAATATAATAAATAAATATATATAAATTAAATATAAACAAACCAGTTTCTCAGGTTTTTTTGTGACTGTTTCCTATAATGCCCCTTAATGCAGGCTAGTATCTTAAAACTCCGTGCAAAAAGTAATTCTAGAAGGACTCAAAACAGTGTAATACTAGTACACATTTTACCACATAGCTTTTAAACTCTAATTAGACCAACAACCTGTATACAATTTCAGGCTGTGCTTTGTTCTTCCACTTTGTAGCAGCAGCAGTGATGTACTGCTTGAAGGCACTATCATTTTCTTGTAAAAGTTTATTTGTTCTATTCCAGATTAGGAAGGGTGTAACATTGCTTTACCACAGGCCCACATATGGTAGACAAATTCAAGCACTCGATAAGTTGATTCCAAGTTTCCATTTTTCACATTGTGACAGGAGGTTGTCAGTCCTCCCAGTTTCTCCTCTCTTGTTATATAAAACCTCAGAAACAGCAAGCTCATTATTTTTCCCTGACTTCTTGTAAAAATTTGTTACTGCAGGAACTGAGAGGGTTTCTCTAATAGGATCTTTCTTGCTACAACCTGTAACCTTTTCATATATTAGGGTTTTTACTGTTTTAAAAAGATGATGCAAGGAAGTTTACCTCCTGGCACTAATTTTTAAATTGCTTCCTTTCCCATCACTGAAGGAGAAGGCTCTCTTAGTAATTGACCCACTCTCCTGCACAGTGAATGGAAGCCATGTATGGGTTGGAAATGTCAGCTTCTGCTAGATCTCTAATCCCAAATGGTACATGAATTTGTATCCGGTATTGAGTAGTTTTATGTCTTTGCCAGTTTAGTATTCTACCCCTGGACAAGAAATAACCACTTACTTATAACCCATTTTTCTCTCCTTCCAAATGCTAGTCTGTTATTCAAAGGCCATTCTCTTTTTATTAGGTAATTAAAAAGGACAGTTGGACCCTACCCTACATAAACTGCTTAAGAGCAGTAAGAAGTAGTCTTAAATAACCATTGAATAGGACCCAGCAACAGCTCATTGAATACCATCTGAGCTATTAGAAACTAAAGAACAGTTGTAATGTTAAATTACTTGACTCAATTTATTTTGATATGTGAATGTCAAGACGTAAATTAGCAGCTGGCTATTTAAAAATGAGAAAAGCAACATAACTCTTGGTTTCTTATAGTCAGCTTGACTGACCTGTTGTCTTAGCTATAGATGCTATTAGCTAAAAAAGTTCCCATGCCACCTGAAATGTTAAAAGTATCAGAAACTCTCCCCATTTCACGTTTTCTCCCCAATTTAGTTTTTTGTAGTAATCCTCACTTCTCTAACTAGTTGACTTTTATTATGGATGGGAATAGGCTGAGGTGGGAGCCTGGGATGTCTGTGCTGGCAGCAATGCTGTTGGTTTACTCACTCTTTTTCTGTCTTCATTTTTGCATGCCACTGCTCCTGCCTCTTACAGCCACAGTAGAAGCGGTAGAGGCCCGGGAAGGTATGGCCATATTCCTATGATAGATGTGATCATGTGTCTGTCTACTAGTTTTAAGAGCTTTGTCAACATCTGAAATCTTCTATTATTGCATCACCAGAAATGTAACAGTGAGAAAAGGAATAAATATTTCTAGGCATGCTCACAAAGTGTTTCTTTTGTGTCCTGTATTTATGTTAATTTAAATTACCCTCTCCACAGCTAAAGGCCTCTCTGGGCTCTATCAGTTTTAATGCAATGGCTGAAGCTTAAGCAACTGGTCATGAGGAATCAGGTAGTTTAATCCTGTAGCCCTTCCAGAGAGAAGTGACTTCTGTGTGATCACTAGAGACTCAAACAGGTCAGCCTCTTTATCTAATGATTCTGAGGGATATCCAGAGCAGAGGCACAATTGGACAAGGATTTAGTTGGATTCATTTCTGAGGTTGCCCTAAGGCAGTTAGGCTAAATAATCTGTTTCTATGAAAACAAATTTCAAGTAACAGATCATCTATGAATCCAATAATGGAAATCATTGGGATTGATAAACTTGTGTTATTAATTTCATTGTTTTGTTAAGTAAGGTGGGTTCAAAATAGGAATGCCTTTCCTTGGTGATACAAAAGTTCAACTAGAAGGAAGATATCCAGAAGCTCTTTTTTTGATGCCTTTTAACTTATATTCAGCCCCTGGTTGTACAAGAGAAAAAGCTGTCCTTCTAAACAAAAAGATGAGCTCTTTTATTACTTTTTTTTTGGTCAATATGGTGTTTGTGCTAAAGTCAACTACTCTGTTGAACTTGTTCTATTATTCTAGTGTTGTTTCTTCTCTTACATTAAGCATGTTTCAGGCCCATAAGAAACTCTTTCTCAAATGTATTGAGGTTAAGAATGAACTTAGCCATTTGTCAGGTATACTTAGACCATGATTAATTTTATTGAGCTTCTGTGAAAATTAACTTTCTCAGTTTCGATGGCCTTATCGGCCTTAAGGAAGCAGTAGCTTCAGATGAGGCTGATTCAAATCAAGTCTTGCATATTACTTTCACCAGACATGTGCTCCAACCCTTCTTTGGTTTTCTCTACGAGGTTGCTGTATGCTAAAAAAACTTTAAGCTTGTTGCTTTGTTGTCTAAGCAAGCTCCTCCCTTTCCTGTTTTTCTGTAGCCATCAGAGGGTTTTCGCTTCAGCACAGGATCCGGAGTTTTGAAGAAGCCCGAGGCCTGGACCGAATTAATGAACGGATGCCACCCCGAAAAGACAGCCAGTACCCTGATGGGCCAGTGAAATTGGTGGCTGCTGCACAACCCAATGCTGCGCATAGGAGCGACAGGGGGAGAAGAGCCAATAATGACACAGAGCCCTGCTGTGGCACAGGTGGATCCAAAACCTAAGAATGAATTTTATTTATTTATTATTGGAAAACAAAACAAAACAACTTTAACAACTTAAACTTGGAGGTGCATTCATAGTTCACTCTGCATTTATGCTGTAAGAAAGGTGACCATTTTATAAATTGTTTTTAATTTATGTTTAATATATATAAAAAATACATGTTTTGTTTTTCCTTTTTTTCCCCTAATTTTTAGGAACTGATCTGATTGTCTGATACATATGTGAAGTTTTGTGCTACAAAGGAACTACAACTACAAAGTTTTGTGCTTCCCCTAATAAAAGGGCCTTGGAAACCTCCACCCTGGGTTTCTGACTTGAACTAGCCAGCCTTTTCTCTTGTTCTTTTGGAAGGTGATATCTTTCATTTCAGACTAATAAGACTTTTTCAAACACAAGAAGGTGTTTTTCTTTTCCCTTTCTACGGGGTGCCATTGAAAAGATTGTTCAGATTTCAGTGGCTAAAACTTCTCTTCTTATGGAAAACTTGATTAGAGTAGAACTTCTAAGTGAATAACCCAAATCCAGTGATTTGAAGGCCAAGGAGAATGTTTTCCATATAACCTACTTTCTTTTGGACTTTCAGTTCTTTTAATATGTTCTAGTAAAACAAAATAAAAAGCAATGAGGGATTTTCTTAGAATTACTCAAAATTTCTTCTTCCAACCATGGCATAATTGGTTTAAACTTCCCTTAGAACTTGGGAGTTTTCTTAACTGTTCCCAAATCCTTTTGCTTTGATTTTTGAAGCCCAGGTGATTTACCCAACTGCAAAGGAAGCTACGTATCTAAATACTTTATAAATGCCCTCTATAGAACTTTTGACAGTAAGAGGTATTTATGTCTTTCTGTGCAATTGCATCAGCTGTTGTATCTGTTCTCCCCATTGTCCTTCTATTTTTCTATGTCAGCATTTCAAAACTGACTAGAGTAAAATGATCCTCTTGATCCCCTTATGAATTTGAAGTCTTTCTAAAGGGCATTGGATGATGAGGATTTCCTATTTTCTGTATCAATTACTGGGATGTTTCTCCATCTTTAAACACTCATTAGGTTGAACTGTATGTCAGTCTCCATTAGCATATTTTGGAATACAAAAAGTATTCAGACACAGTGTTTGAATAGCCTTCTCTTACTTTTTCAAGTAACAACCAGTGAGGCAAAGAAATTTTGGTGATCCTTGGGCTCCCATTTTTGGTTTAGTCTGGTCACAAGTGCCATGTCATAATTCTCACTGGTCAGCTTTGCAGTGAATGTGCATGTCTGGGCAATACTACACCAAAGTGATTATTAACAAAATTCTTAGTATCATTTGGGATGTAGGAGTCCAGCATTGAAGCAAGTATCTCAGACGGTAATACTTAATGTTGTAAGCTTTAAGGACACCAGAAACCTTTCTCAAAAAACAAAAAAAAAAAACAAAAAACAAAAAATCCACACCATTTCACTAAAATAATGAGGATTTAGCCCATCTATCTCTGTTTTCCTATACCTTTTGCTATCAGTTCCCAATTTATGACAGAGATCAAAGCATTTTAGGGCTTGGAATCTGGTGACATGTATTGCTCTTTCAATAATAAAAAGATAGGAAGGAGATGGAGGAAGGAGATAGAAGACCTCTTACTGGCTTATGAGTAAAACCTGTGAAAGGAGGGAGATAAAGCCATGAGTAGTTATCTTTTACTGATCATCATTTATTTATACTCAAAGAGGGAATTCATCACCTGAATAGCCTCATGCTCCTCCCTCCCCCAGTCCCACTATAGAAAGGACCACTGTTTTGGAAATCTCACCTAATATGAAGGTCAGTCCACATGACAGATTTGATGGATGGGAGTCCCCATCCCTTTCTCCTTTTCTCCTATCTGAGGCTGTTATACATACATAACCTGCAGGTAGAAACCACTCTTAAGGGCTTCAATCAGCAGGCAAGTACACTGAAATAGTTATTGAAAATCTCTATAAGCAAAAAAATACTGTTCTAGTAAAAAGGATAGTTATTTAGGAATGTCTTCATATCTTCTCAAAAACAACTTATACAGTAAAGCAAGTCTTCTTGACAGAGGCATGGCAAAAGACCTATAAATACAGAGAACAAACTGAGGGTTGCCAGCAGGAGGGAGGGGAGTGAGGGACGGGCAGAATGGGTGAAGGCAAGAGGGAGATACAGTCCTCCAGTTATGAAGTACATAAGTCATGGGAACAAAGGCACAGGATAAGGAGTACAGTCAATGATACCATAATAACAATGTAACAGGCCAAGATGGTAGCTACACTTGGGGTAAACATAGCATAATGTATTATCTTGTCATATTACTTAACTTGTATATCTGAAATGTAACATGTGTCAACTATACTCCAAGGAGGAAAAAAAAAAAAGGATGTATTTTATAGGTACCCTGTTAGCTGTTAAGGGATCAGCCAGAAAGATAGGAAGTGAGGATTCAAGAAAATCAGAGTGAGTTTATAATAAAGTGACAAGGAAGTTAGGTTTGAAAATTCAAATTCTGTTGAGTTCTAAAGGCAAAGATATTTCTTATGTTCTGTAGAAAGTTGGGGTGTGTGTTTCAACAGTTTAGAAAATTGCGTATAAATGTGTGTCTGTGTGATACAGGTAGCTTCTGAAAGTAAGACCAACAATCTATACTTTCATCTGTATTTGCACCTATGACTCAAGATGGGTTTAGAAGGCCTGAGCCTTGAGGATCTATCTACCTACCAGATAGATTATGATAGGTCTATCACTATCTAGATATCTATAGATTACATCTATGGATAGTGATATCTATAGATAGTGGTAACAGACTGTGATAAAGTGATAGTAATAAAGACTGATAACAGTACTTTTTCTTCACTTTAGGCTTCATTGGAGGGTTTGTTTGTTTTCAAAGATTTTATTTATCTATTCATGAGAGACACACAGAGAGAAGCAGAGACAGGCAGAAGGAGAAGCAGGCTCCATGCAGGGAGCCTGATGTAGGACTCGATCCTGGGACTCCAGGATCACAACCTGAGCCAAAGGCAGATGCTCAGCCACTGAGCCACTCAGGCATCCCTTACATTGGAGGGTATTTAATATGTTTTCAAATATTTTAATCTAAACAGTAGCTCCCAAGATGGCTGGTTACCTGTTCTGGGTTTCCCTTAGGCCATCATTTCAAACACTTTAACTGCTGTCAGAGCTCTGCTGTATCTCCATTTTCAAAGCCTCTTCTATTTTATTAAATCTTACCCCCATGTTTTAAAGATACTAAAAATATTTTTCTCTTGTTCTCTACTTTAAGATACATAGAGACCTTATTTTCTTCAATTCCTCTCATCTAGGAGGAAAAAAACCCACTTCTTACATCCGTTCCCTAGACATGTTGGAGGACATGTCTATTTTACTGAAATATAGTAAGTTTTTGTATATTTTACTGAAATATCATTTAAAAACTAATACTTCCAAAGGACCAGTTTTTCTTTTTTTTTACATCTGCATCATAGGAAATTTCAAACTGATCAGATGACTTTTTTTTTTAATAAAAATGTAAAAACTCATCTAACACAAGCTTAAAATATACGTCCTTTTTAAATCTCTGTGTTCTGAATATTTAGAGCTAAAACAACCCAATAAGCCAAGGGTGTGTGTGTGTGTGTGTGTGTGTGTGTGTGTGTGTGTGTTTAATGGCATGCTAAAACAAAAGCAGCTTCAGTTTTCTTTTAAAACCTCAAGGCAAACACTCGGTTAATAGGGACAGACATTGCTGTTTCACTGGCCTTTTGTGACTGGATACTGACCTGCAAAGTGAAAATTATGAATCGCCCTCCGATGGGCTTGATCTGGCTCCTTGTGCAGGGGTAGAAGAATCAGATTCTCCGGGAATATCAGTATTTCTCCTATACTTCTATCTATATTTACATTGTCTTTTCTGTTTCTACACAAACAGTTGCAATTCAGTGAAGCAAGTTCTTGTCAATAGCAGACAGACATCCTAATAACTTATCCTAATAACTTAGGTATGACTTCCTGACACTGTTCAAAATAGGAAAAGAAAAATCCTTTTATTTGTTTTGCCAACATAATATTATTATTCAATGTCATTAAGGAGCAAGGGTGGGATTTCTTAAAATCGGATAACTTTGGGGCCTTTCGGCTTTGTCATTGTCCCATATATCCTCTTCTCAGTAATTTTAAAATACAAAGTTTGAGGCAGCTGCTCTTCATAAGAAAAATAATATAAACCATGCTTACGTGATATATAGCTGGGCTTACATGGTCATTACTAAAGAGTCTTTCCAGCCTCTCAGAAGGAATAAGGCTAAAATCGCTTCCCTCCACCCTCCTGTTTTATGTATATAGTGTAGCTGATTGCCAGAATTTTTGACTATTTTATCTATAAATATAAAATTCAAGCTCTTGAGAATTAACTAAGTTAAAATGGTTTAGGAAGAGCTTGCCCCAGATTGACTAATTTATAAACTTTTTCTTCATATTAATTATCAGGTTTTTTCTCCAGTTTTTATATTGAAAATTATTTCTGAACCCATAAAGACTTGTTAAGACAGCATTCTAGAATCCCCAATATTTATTGTAGTTGTTATAGTAACAGTGGAACCTAAGTGTTTTTCAGACATTATTCAGCTTTTTATACCTAGGCAGAAACAATTTCAGAGGGAAGGTAAACCCAAAGCCCCAGTTTGGGAATGAGGTTCCAATTTCCTAAATCATTTGTGGTTATAGTGATGGATACCATCTTGTCTGGCACCTGGTCCACATCTTTCCCAAACCCTCTATAAGAGGGAGTAGAGGAGCCTGGGAGACCTCATCAAGAGCCAGAGAAGGGTCTGAATGACCTGGAGGGTAGCTCCAAAGCACTATGTTGCTACAATTCCTCTTCAGCAGTAGTGTGATCAAACACTCATAGGAAAGTCAGAAGAAAGAGCAGATGTGTATAGAGGAAGAAAGTTGTGTAGTCGAAAAACAGGGCTGTTACTCTTGAGTTGTGCAGAGAACTGTGTTAACAGTAGAGCTTTGTGCCGTTGCCAGAGTGTGAAAGAGGGAACCTGTGTTACTCTGAGACTCATCACCTGCCCTGCCTATGTCTAGCCAGCCAAAGTGAATGGGGCCAGGCTTAGCTGCCTTCATCTATGCAGTCACAAAGGTAAAGATGATACTGGCGAGGATATTCCCTCCCGGGAGGCCTTGGCCTCACGCCCCAGCAACCTTGGCAAGACTTGCTAAATAACACCTTTGTCTGGGACAGGGTTATGCATCTTCCCCTCTTCTACACCCTCATGACAAGTCAAGGTGGCTTAAGATCAAGAAGCAAGGACAATGAATGTGGACCATCCCTCTGAGCAACTCTAAAGTAGGGCCATGCACACTGCCTTCCTGTAAGTTCTTGCCCCAATCCCGTTCACTTCCTTGACATCGCTGTTTCCAAATAACATTTTGTGGGGGGTTTTTTGCATGTTAAACTGAAAGTGCATGTAATAGGGAGGAAGCCTACCATAGATTTTTATTTGCGGCAATAAAGATAGGTTTTTTGTGTCAGAGAACCTTTTTGAAGATGTCATCATGAATGCCTTACTTTTCCTTTCTTAGCGCACTGTGACCAATAGTATTTTTCCCAATGGAAATGTTAGCAGGCATTTTCCAAGAAAGCATCCCAGTTTTGCTTCCTAAATGAGGTGGTCAGACATAAATTAGCTGGTAATGTCATTTTTTAAAAGGCCTTTCTGAATGATGGATCATTTGCCTATGCTGAGAGATTATTTGCTTTATCTTGCTTTTGGTTATGTGAAAGAAAATGGTGGAAATGTTATTTATTGGCAGAAATTAACAAGTCTTTTTTGTGATCAAGAAATTAATTTGTTAAAACTTTCTTATTGTAAATTGGAAGTCATCTTAAAAAAAAAACACTGTTAAAATTAAATGATAACCTTATTGGCTTCCTGTGTCTTTATTTCCTGGTAGAGGCACTTATATTTGGCTCTTACCCGTTTAATAATTCCATAAATCAAAGGAAAGTCTGGTGTTTGATGTCTGGTCTCTGATAAAGGAATCTCACAATAAAAAAAAGACCTCTTCTTTCCCTTACCTCTTCAGCCCTTTCTTGAGTTTTAAATAGGCTCTGGTGACTGCAGTGTTGCCTCTCCCACTCAGAATCTACTGCCTTGCCCCACTCTCTTCCCCCGGCACTCTGCCTACCACTAACTCATGTTCCAGTCCCAGCTCCTCCTGTGGCTTTTCTGGCAGAGGCCACTACTTGTAGGAAAGGAAGAAAGAATGGAATGTCTTTCTTCTTTAGTTTTTATCTATCTTACAAAAGATAAAAATAATTTTTATTATAGTAACTTAATAATTGCAGATGATCCTAATAATAGGCATGAGTTCTATCTTGGGAAAAGTCACAGGAGCCAGAGAGGCATTGAATATGGGGCTGGACTGACAAGAAAAGGAAGTATAAGACCAGCCTTTTGATTCCTCCCCAAAGTAAAAATAGCATGAGGTGCTGTGGATTCACAAGGAAAAATAAGTATTGAGGGGAGAGAAAGCACCCAGGGTCCTTAGGATAAATATATCAGAGGATTTTATCAGTTCTGGCAGAAGAGGCCAGACATCAGGCCTCTTAAATCCAGGCCTTCCCAGGCCTGAGTAAGGTAATTTCACTGCAAATATAGCCACAGCAAGGGCCACAGAGCAGTTTACAGGCCAGAAAACAAGCCCAGCTTTCTAATTTCAAATAAGCTGGGTATGCATTTTGGGATCTTTGTTATCCAAATAGTGTCCTGACTTAGCAATGTCCTTATACCTCAGCTAAACCATCAGTAAAATGAGGCAATGTTTGCCCTTATTTCCAGAGCTGTGAAAAAAGTTATTTAAAATCCTGGAAATTAAGAACTAAAGTGCAAACTCATATTTACCTCCCATTACATGTAGATTCAATCCCTACCTTCTTGCCTGCTGTATGTAATTATATGGTCTTCCTGGGTTTTCTATTGTGACATGCAGGTTTTAGAAAGAATTAATTTTGGCCCAGTAGATTAGTAACTTAATGGCAAATTAGACAATCTTTTTAATGTTGATGCAGTTTAGGAGAAGGTTCGTCATAGAACTCAAGGAGGGGAAGACAAGGTTATTCTTTGTTTGGAGGCCAGTAGACATCGTGAAGTGGTGCTCTGGTCGACAAATCAGCCCTCTTATCTTATCTGTTTACCTGTGCTAGGGAAGAAGGTTGATGCAGACCTAGTTTTCCAGCCCCTGCTCTGTGTGCCCGTCTTTGTGGCTGAGTTAACTTGGCTGGGTTTTCCCTCTGAGGTCATCACTTATTTATCCTTCCCTCATAAAATCTACTTTCTAAAGGGGCTGACAGCTACTTGCTCTTTCTTTCTTTTCTGAGAACTAAAAGAGGTTCATCCAGCTCAGCTCTTCTCAAAGACACCCCATGTGCACATGATGCTTGTTTGCTCATCTATAAAAGGAGGGAGAGAGAACAGTCGCTGGCGCAATGTCAGTGTAAAGGCTTCCTTGAAGACGGCATAGACAATTGGACAAAAGGCTGAGTTCTGTTGCAGCCTCCAGGGTTGGGATGTGACTGACTCCGAGAACCCTGCATATATGATGCGTTACATCATGTGTGTGCTATGGAGAGCCGTGTGCAAGGCAGGCCTGAGAGCCTCCTCCTCCACTCCCATGAGGGTCCACTCATGCACCCTGGCCGCCAGGCCCCAGCGCTGACCATATCTGACCTGTGGTGGGTATTTTTTCACTCTATTCTGGTCTGCTCGCTCAGCTCCCCTGGCAGGAAGAGAACACTCTTCTGAGAGCACAAATAAAAAACCTGCTCAAAGCCTAACTAAAGAATATGCCAGAGTTCATCTCTGTGGAGAAGAGAAGGAATCAGATGCCCTTCCTTTGCCTAATGTGGGAGGACTGAGGCACAAGGCCAGGAAGCCATTTAACTGCTCAGGGCAGATCTCAGAGTGTGACATTCAAATGCCGGACTCTCAGGGCTAGATAAATACTTCTCCAGAAATGAGCGTTCAGGTGTATGTCTTCTGGGATCCCTGGCTTCCTTTTCCCACTTGAGGAATAAAACTGAATTCTCTGCTCACTTACAGTAAAAAGCTATTTAAGGGCTTCTTCAATTCATCCTTTTTCTTGGTGACAGAGGTTGGTTTTCAGAGTGACCTGTATTCCTGTATGAACAGCCACAGGCTTCTTCTCCTGCTCTGTGTGAAGAGTCACATCTCTTGGGAGTCTCTTGACTAATCATTCCTTAGGGTGGTGGGCATGGACAGATCTCTGTTGACTTGGGTGCCACCAGGGGATAATTCCCAGAACAAAAGGTGCCAGGCTTGAGGAGCGGGGTGGGGGGTGGCGCATACGGCTGACCAGGATCAGATAGCTAGGAAAAACAGAGCAGTTATGTAACTGTGTTTACTATGGCTCAGGTGACTCTGAGAAGGCAGAGGCAGCCCCCTGACAGGAGGCAGTGCCAGAGATGGGGGGAAGAGTCACAGGGAGGGACGTCCCTGTTAGATAAGGGAGTCACCAGAGGAGATAATGCATTGGGATGAAAAGAATCTCTTTGTTGTTGACAACAGCCAGGTCACCTCGGACAGCCTCTCCCTAAACCATGCCAGCTGTCTTCAGGGTTAGGCCATCAGCAAGTAGAACTGAGGCTGGAGGGAGGAGATGAGAGATCAGATACCTTTTTCTTGGCTACATCTCTGGACTTTGCTACTCCTCACCCCCTTTTACTTTTTTATTTTTAGGATGTTTATTTATTTGAAAGAGAGACCACAAATGGGGAGGAAGGGCATAGGGAGAGGGAGAAGCAGATTCCCTGCTGAGTAGGACCCTGGGATCATGACCTGAGCCAAAGGCAGACGCTCAACCAACTGAGCCACCCAGGTGCCATCCCCACCCCTCCTTTAATCCTCCACTTTTCAGAGGAGGGATTCTTCTCCCTAAATATGTGCAGAAAAGGAGCAATCAGTCAAGATTCCTTATGCTCTATGCTCCCACCAATCTCTCATCCTCTTTGTTCTGAGGCCCAATGGCAACGAGGGAACATTACGCAGGGATCCTGTTGTAGCTCTTCCTTGGTCCAAGCACATGGCCCAAGACTCAGAAGGAGAGTGATTTCCACTGGTACCCGGGCAGAGCAGGTTCTGACCTGAGAGAGGTGATAAGCCCAGCAGAGCCTGGGCCTAATTAGGCAGAAGTCAGAGCAGCTCAGGAGAAAGGCTCAGGTCTCCAGTGTGGGACCTACACTGCCTCCCCCCCACAAAGCTGTTTACCGGACTCCCTATTCCCATAGAGATGAAACTGGTAGCCAGTCCCCAGCTCCTTGCCCCTGGCTGCTACCTCCTTTTGTGAGAAACAGGAAGTGAGGACCTTTGTCAGCTCAGCTGCACCATCTACATTAAATATTTATCTTGGAGTCCAGGTCAGAGCCCTAGAGAATAAGAGACGCTTGCTGCTGGTGAGAGAGGGTATGGACAGGATTCCTGGAATTGGAAGATCTTCAGCTTCACCATCTTTGGAGAACAAGGAAGAACATGAAAGAGATGTGGCCCTTCTTAGTCGAAAGGATCCTGACAGGTGGGAAAAAACTGGTGACAGGGGAAAGGGGCATATATTTTATCCCTGAGGGAGGGAAGAGGATGGTGCAGAGGGTGGGTAGGTAAGTATCCAAGCTTTAGGGGTAGGACAATGCACTGCTGCCTGTCCTCAAGAAGTCTCAGAATGCCTACACTCCTTTCTGCAGCTGCATTCTGTGGGCCAGGGCTACCCATCGCACCCCATCCCTCAGCTCTCCTGGATAATCATAGATTCTTGGAAGGGGCCTTAACGGTGACCTTGTCCAGCTCCTTGCTCAGAGCAGTCACTGCTTTTAGACAGATACCCAATGATCAGTAGGCTTTGGAACCCCTGTAATCATTCTAGAAGTTTTTCCTTGGAAACTTTGGATCAGCTTCCAAGTATGCACCCAAGGGTCCCACCTCTGTTAGTGCAGCCAGGCCGTTTCCACATGTCTACCCTGTAGACACTGGAAGCTAGCCAGCATGTCTGTCTCTCTCAATCTTTTCCACAACCTAAACATCCCTCCTTCCTTCTTCACATGTGGTATTGTTTCAAGCTGGTTCACCACACTGGAATAGCTCTTTTAACTGAACTGAGAAAAGATAAAGCTAACAGCATCAATAATGGGATTTTTTTAAAAAAACTTTTTTTTCATCTTTTCTTCATTCCCTTCCTTCTCCACTTCTGAGTTGAATGACGTGGTTGGAAGACACCCTTAAGTGCATGGTGGCTTTGGAACACCAATCTTACACCCAGTAGACATGCAATAAATGTTTTCATATTTTCATAATTTATCATTGATCCCTTGCAAAATGGATCTAAAATTGCCCAATAACTACTTGTTATTTTGGTTGGTTTGGGGCTTGGGTCCCAGAGGCAAGCCATGGGTGAAGCAGCCCTCCAGTTTTCCCATTAGCTGTGAACATTCATTAAGCATCTTGGCATTCTATACCATGCTCCGCGCCCGACGCAGAGGCTTGGGGGGGATGGAAAGATGGGCCAGAGGGCTTGGGAGCCAATGGGCGCAGGCTCTTGGGACTGGTGTCCGAGCAGTGGGAACAGCGGAAAAGCAGCAAGATCAAAACAAATACGGTGTATGGGAACACCAAGACCCTGGTAACCCCATCCCCGCCAAAGGGACCCCGCCCTCATCCTCTGCTGGGGCGCGGCACGCCCAGGGGGCCGCTCCCTACAGCTGATTTCCTCCCCCAGGCTGCCCTCAGCGGCGCTTGCACGTGTGTGAGCATCCGCCCATGTGCTGGCGCGCGCGTCTGCGTGCGTGTGTTTGTTTGCACCCGCCCGGACGCGCGCTTACGAAAGCACAAAATCTCCCCCAAGTGGGGAAGGAGGCGGCGGGGCCTTAACTCGGTCCGCTGAGCCACTCTACTTGTTGGGGCGCCCTTATCTCGGCCCCAGCCTGTCTGCATCTCGGGCCTGTCTCCGAGCTGCCGGCGCGGTATCAGCCGCGGGCTCGCCCCGGGCTCTTTAATCATCCCTGCCCTCTGTCCTGGCTCCGCCGCGCAGGGCTCCCTTCCCACACGCTGGAAATGTCGCTGGAAACTCTGAGTGGCGCTCGCCACCCCGCCCCCCCCCGCGCACCCCCCCCCCGGCCGACGCCAGCCCTGCGGTGGGGGCCCGGGCAGGCAGCTGGGAAACCGGAGCGGGCTCCCCGGGGGCCCTCGGCCGCCCCTCCCGGCGCCGCCCGCGGCCGGCCCGGCCCCCTCGGCAGGGGCCACCTCGTCCCCCGTCGCACCCCGACGGAGGGCACTCGCACGCCCCGCCGGCCGCACGGGGACCGCCGGCCCCTCGGCGCAGATTGGAGGGAGGCGAGCTGCGCCGCCCGCGCGCCCCTCGCCCCCCCCGCCCCGCGCGCCCTCGGCCCGGCGACCCCCCTCTTCCTCCTCCCGCGCCCTGCCTCGCGGAGCCCGTCCTGACCCGGTCACGAGGGCGGGCGGCACGGCCCGGACTTCTCCCCGCCCGCCCTCCTCGAGGGCCCGCCGCGGCCGCAGCAGGCGGGAGCCGGCCGGAGATGCTCCTGCCCTCCCGGGCGCCCTCGGCCCGCGCCACCTGCTCGCTGGGGAAGGTAGGTGCCGGAAGGGGAGGGGGCGGAGAGGAGGCGGGGAGGGCGCGCGCTCCTCCCCCGGGGGGTCCCGTCCGCAGCTCTGGGGGGGGAAGAGGTGGGGAATCCCCTCTCAATCTGGAAAAGGCAAAATTCGAGAAATCCTGTCCTTGCCCACGTGGACTTGCGGCTGGAAAATACCTGCTGAAGCTCCTAGGGCCAAGCCCCCAGGGGCAGGGCCATCCTTGGAGGTGGAAAGGAGTCTGCCCACCACGAACGGCGGAGCTACTTCACAGCTTACAGCCCTTCGGGTGAAGGACTGCCAGAATTATGGGAGGACCCCAGAAATCTCCTGGCACCCTCTCTGTCTGTCCTCTGCCGGTTGCGGGACCAATGCCTCTGGGACCCCGTCTCCCTATCAGAAGTCGCTTTTAGTTTCTCCTGGCTCCGCCACTGAGAGCAAAAGTTAGCCCGCTCTTGCCCACGCACCCCTGTCTCTGGGGGGTGCCTGCCGCAGGCAACAGTGTGGGAGAGGGCAAGCTAGACCACCAAGGATCAGCAACCCCTGAAAAGTTGGGTGGTGTTGGGGGATCTCCTGTCCTACCCATCCTGCTAGGGGGGCAGTTCTCTTGAGCAGAACTGGGTGGGACCGGAGGAGGGAAGGAGGCTGGGGTCAGCTGATGGCTGGGACTGCTGATGCTGACCTCGCAACTTGGCTACAAGCAAGTCAGCTGGGAAGGGAGGGGTGGCTGCTAGGAATCAGCCTGCCCCCGGCCTCTGGATCTCCTGCTCTCCCCTGCCTCAATTTCCCTCTCAAGGGGAGGGAGCACAGCCGGAACTGGGGTGTGTCTGTATGTTTTGCTTTTGGTAAGAGCCCTAATTGGATCCAGCTGGTGAGCTGCCCCTCCTCCAGCCTCAGCCCTCACTCCCCCCACAGCCAGGGATGGGCATGGAATAGCTATGTCTCCAGTGGGTCTTTGCAAATGTCAGGCGAAATCCCCACTCAGAACAGAGACAGGGACCTGCCACCAGCCTTGTCTGTACCCTCCAGCCCTTGTGGCCTGAGCAGGAACTGGTACAGGAGTAATCACAGCCCTCTGTTGTACCTTCACCCACTCTGGTGTCCATAGCTCTTGTGCTTCCCCTATGAACCCCCACTGCATACCCACCCACCCCCAATTACCATTCAGCTGACACCCCTCCCTACCCACAGCTTCCATGCTGCTCACATACCTCCCAGCCCTATGGTATCTCCCACAAGTCACATTCACAGCACTGCACTCCCACCACACAAAAACATAGCACCTCACTGGGCCCCCTGGGCTTTCTCGTGAGCCCCCAAGCCCCACAGACACACACAAGCCTAACCTCAAACACAGACACCAGAATGGGTCCAGCCCCAGCAGTAGAGGTTGGCTCAGCTCTGGTCCAGTCCAACTGCACAGGTAAGGAGGCTCATGCTCTGCACAGGGTAGAAAAGCCCTGTTGGACAGCCTGACCACCTCCATATCCTGGGTGCCTGGGGTAACTTTTGTGTGGGGCAGAAGGACCAGGCTGGCCAGCCAGACCCTCTGCCAGGAAGACACTCTGTTCAAAAAGCCACCTAGATGATAGGAGCACCTGGCTGGCTCAGCTGGTAGCATGTGCGACTCTTGATCTTGGGGTTGTGAGTGTAAGCCCCAGTTGGGGGTGCAGAGATTACTTGAAAAACAAATCTTAAAAAACAAAACCAGCCTGGAGGTGTAAAAGAAAGTGGGATTGTAGGAGAGGGGGGCACTCAGCACCACGTCTCCAAGAGCAAGTCCAACGTTGTTGCTGTGCACCGCTTTGCTTTCCATCCCACCCCTCGCTGGCACCCTGAGCCCTCTGAGGCATCAGTCCCAGGGAAGAAGGCCAAAGAAGGGAGCTGATACTGCTTTGAGCTCAGGAGTGGTTCCTGCTGCCTGGAAATGCCCCCCCCACTCCCCCTCCCATTGCCTTGGCCCTATTGGGCTGTGGGCTGGTGGCCTTGCTGTCACTGGGGCCTCTCCCACAACCCAAGAAACTTGTGGTGCCTGCTGGCAAGCAGATGGAGGGGAAGAAGAGGGACTGGAGGAGGCATGGGGAACTGAAACAAAGTCCTGAATGCCCAGGACCTCCTCTGCCAGCTGCCCCAGTTCCCTCTGCCTTCCCTCTGGGGGAGCAGGCCATACTGTGCAGTGAGAGCCCCAGAGGGGCTGGCCAGCGGGCCCGTGTGCCCACGGCTTTGTCCAGCAGGCCCACTCCTGGCCAGCCTCCCCTCCTCCTTGCCTGGCTTCCCCCTCCCCCGCTCCCACCCGGAGCTCCTGCCCGCGGCCTAACTAACAAGCAGCCCATTGTGCCTCTGGGAGCCAGCACGGGCAGCCTGCAGGCCGGTGCCCGCAGAAGCCTGTTTCCTGGGTCCCTGAGCTCCCACCCAGCTGGCCTGACCCCCTCCCACAGCTGTCCCCTCCTCCCCCACCCCAAGGTTGAGCCCAGAGGGCACAGGTGGCCTGAGCCCAGCTGGGCATTCCCTTCTTCCTTCCTTCCCTGCAGAGGACGCACAGAGGAGCAGCTGGCACACCCGGAACCCTCCAACCTTGACCCAAACATGCAGGCCCCGCCTTGCAGCCTCCCTGCTGGGCTGAGCCTGGACGACTTCATCCCTGGCCATCTCCGGGCCCACGGAGGGTCATCCTCCCGGGGGGCACGGGTGAGTGAGACAGTGAGAAGTGGGCTCCTGTGGGTGCAGAGTTGATGGGGACCTCGAAGGACAGGCGGAGGGGTGGGGAGCAGGAGGATTAGAGGAATGGAGGGACAGGGCAGGAGGGAGCTCTAGAGAGCCTGATGGGCTACCTGCTAAGGGGTCAGGGTGGCCCTCCAGCCCTTCCCAGGGGGTAAACTGTGTCCATGCTTCCCACCCCTCTGTGAAACCTTCGGGCCTGAGCTGCTGCTCCTGGCCCCTCCCCACAGGTGCCTGTGATCCGGAATGGTGGCTCCAACACCCTTAATTTCCAGTTTCATGACCCTGCGCCCAGGACCGTGTGCAATGGGTACTTCCCCCAGAGGAGAGATGCTTCCCGGCACCCAGGTGGGTCTGCTCAGGAAAACCTGCTCTGGGAGCTCCATGTCAGGGTTGGGGGGATCAGAGCCTCCAGGGCCCTGACATCTGGCACCACCCTGTGATGGGCAGGGGGGTCAGGAGGGGCATGAAGGGCTCTCAAGGTCTTGGGCTCTGTGTTCAGCTAGCTGCCCTTCTCTATGTGAGCGCTGTGAGTGTGAAATCTGCTGTGGGAGAGAACAGGCTGACGCATGCCTTCCCCTCTCCCTGCCCCCACTGAGCCAGGGGAAGGAAGTGTGCAGGGGACACAGCCTTGGGAGGCAGCGGGACCTCTAGCAGGCTGGGGAATAGCTTGGATTGGGGATGGAAGGGGGAGGGATGTGACCATGTGTTGGTTGCAGAAAGAGTACGAGGCCAAACCCCATGAGAGGCCCTGAGGGCTGTTGTGGTCTGTACTCACCAGCCAAGCAGAAGTTTGGAAAGGCAGCTCTGAGAGCCTGTCAGCCCCTGGGCTCCTGCAAGTCACGCCAGTCTGGGCCATGGGGTCCAGAAGATCCCGGGACCTCCTGGGTACAGGTCTACCCGGGAGGCCCCTTTCCTGAGGAGGGAGACATCCGTTCTTGAGCATCCCACTGAGGCAGGCACTGTGTGAAATAGTTTATTCATTTAACTTGTTGAACCCTTGGAACATGTGGGACATACTACAAGCCTTATCTCATATAATTCCTTGATGTCCTGGAAAGATAAGATACAATCGTCAACATCTTCCCACTGAGGAACCTGAGTCTCAGAGATGTTCAGTTGCAGAGGTTGAGCTGAGAGTCAAACCCTGGTTGTTCCAGCCCCGAAGCCCTTCTGCTGTTACTCTGGTGACTTGGAGGCTGAAGGTTCTAGGGGAGTTGAGGACACAGTTGCCATGTCTGGTGAATGAGTTTCTGTCCCTTATGAGGAGCCAGGTGACTATGTGTCAGGCACCTTGCTGGGCACGGTCACACACACTAGCTCTTCCTGGATGTCTGCCAAGATTATCCTCCTTTTACAGGAGTGGAAGCAGGGGCACTGAGAGGTTGCCTGCTGTCCCCCAGGTCACACAGCCAGTAGGTGGCAGAGCTGGCACCTGAATCCTTTATCCCCTTCAAGCCCAGCGTCTTGTCTGCCACACCCTGCTGCCTTCTCAGCTGGGATTATCCCCAGCAATCTCTGCAAGTAATGATTCCCAGCCCTCACTCTGAAGATTTTTAGGACAGCCTGTGGAAAGGATAGGGCACATGTGGGCACAGATGTCCCCCCAAGACAAAATCCATTTTCATTCACTTTAACTAAAAAATAAACAACGTCGTGTGGTCCTTCTGGGGATGGGGAAGTCTGTAGAGTCTGCTTCATCAAGTCAAACAAACAAGATGTTGAAACTTTTGAACCCATGGGATCAAGTTCTGAAGAGCTAAGGCCCAAACTAGTCCAGGGGGTGCCCCTGCCGATTGCTAATGCGGTGCTGCTCACTCCCACAGACCCTGCTTGGTATCAGACCTGGCCAGGTCCTGGGAGCCGGCCCTCTGGGAGCCAGAAGACCCCTGCCTCCCAGCATCCCCAGAACTGGTCAGCTACGTGGACCAAGGACAACAAGCGTCAGGACAAGCGTTGGGTCAAGTACGAGGGAATCGGGCCTGTGGATGAGACCGGCATGCCTATTGCCCCCCGATCTGTGAGTCCAGGGCTGCGGGCCACTGATAACTGATAGATGGGGCCCGGGGACCCACGCTGAGCTCCACTTCTGTGAATTAGAGTGGGAGCCGCAAAGAATGCACCCAAGCCATTTCAGACTAAAGCAGGGGTTCCCCCATGATGAGTTTGGTGGGGGTGTCATAAGCCACATAAAATTACAGGTGTTCTTGTGTGTCTGAGTTGCACAAGTGGTCTGTAGGGGGGAAGGGGAATCTAGAATGCCCTGCCACCAGGTTCTCAGAGGTACAGAGCCCCTGCTATAAGGGCTGACCTGGGCAGGGACCCCCTTTGTTCACAGCCCCAGGGCCAGGCACAGCCGCTGAGTGCATGACCTGGCTGGATAAACCAGCAGAGTTCTGGGTGAGAAGGCCTTACACTGTGGCAGGCATAGAAGGCTCCAGGGCCCAGGCTCCAGGGCCTGCCTGTCTTCTACAGCCATGCCTATCTCGAGCCCACATGCCTCCAGTTCTCCATCTGAAACTGAAGTTGATAGCATACCTCCCGGGCCTATTTTCAGGCTCCGTGGGGCAGGAGCTTTGAAATGCCATTCTGCTCCTATGTCATTGCATTTATTCTTTCATGACATAGAAACACATGGTTGTTGTAGAAGCATCAGAGATACAGAAAAGCAAAGAGAAAAAAAGAAACCACCCCAAATCTCATGGGCTTGGGATCATCGCCGAGGGAGATCCTTATGTACACCTCATTCATATGTAATATGCTATATGAAGTTATTGTTATTAGACCCATCACAACAGCCCGCCCATCGGGGCTTCAAGGGTAGCTAGAGAAAGGACTCCGTGAAGAACAACTTCCGTGGCTTCATATTAAAAGGGCGGCCTGACTTTGTCTTTTCTGATCTCAGAGTGTTGATAGCCCCAGGGACTGGTACCGGAAAATGTTCCAGCAGATTCACCGGAAAATGCCAGGTAAAACACCCTGCCTGAGTGGGCTCCAGCCCCTGGGGCCAGGGGACGGAGGCCAAAGGGGAGGTGCCTCCAAACTCCTTTCTGTCCTGCCATGCAGTCATTTATTTGTCCAATCTGTCCCCTGACCATCTATCAAACACATATCGTGTGACAAGCACTATACTAGGTGCTGAAGATAAAACAGGGAATAAAAAAGAATGTCACTGCCCCCAGTGAAGCTTAAGGCATGAGAATAAGCAGATACATATTTAATATGGCAGATGGCAGTAAGAGAAAGGGAGAAAAAGGAAAGGTCAGTGCCCAGTACAGGCTGGTCAGGGAAGGCCCTGTAGGTGGCATCTGAGCAGAGAGCTAAGGGAAAGGAGGAGCCAGTCCTGCAGAGCCAGGGGAAGCAGCAGAGACCCAGAGGCAGAAGCAGACCTGGCCTGTTCCAGAGCAGCAAGAAGAGGCTAGACTGGACTGAGAGGAGCATTGGTGGGAGACAGAGTCAAGGTGATGGGATCTGGTCAGGGAGGCCCTTTGGGGCCATGATCAGGGCTTTGGCTTTTACTCTATAAGAGCTGAGGAGCCAATGGGAGGTTCTGAGCAGAAGAATGACATGCTCTGAAGTCTCCCTCCGGCGCCAGCTGGGGGAGGGTGATGAGGCAGTGGAGGATACAGAGGACCACTTAGGGGACCTGGCTTTCATCCAGGCTAGAAGCTAGCAGTGTCTCAGACCAGGTCAGTAGCAGCGGGCCTGGTGGGATCTGGAGACAGAGTCATGAGGATTTGCTGATACATTGGATGTGGCATGAAGGAAAGAAGTCAAGGATGATTTGAAACCTGAGCAAGTCAAAGGATGTTGCCTCCAAATTCAAGGAAGAACCGAGGCAGGCACAGTCTAAGAGGCATTCAGTTTTCAGTGAGGTCCATCTGATTGGAGATGTCAAGTAGGCAGTTATATGCAAGTCTCTAGTTCAGCAGTGAGGCCTAAGCTGCAGATGGAAGTACCTGGGATTCACTCAGGGAGATTTTGATTTAGACCTCCCCAACTAATTCTAACGTGAATCCCTGCAATAGATGGGGTTTTCGAAGCCAGAAGACTAGACAGGATCACCTGGGGAGATAGACAGAGGCCTAATCACTGAGCCCTGAGGCACTTGGATGTTCAGAGGTTTGAGAGATGAACAGACATCAGCTGAGCAGACTAAGAAGGTACAGCAGGGAGCAAAACTAGAGTTGTCTTCCTGAAGCCAAGTGGAAAAGGAATTTCAAGGAGGAATGATCTACCGTAACAGATGTTGCTGATGGGTCAAGTATTTTGATTTGGCAACATGCAGGTCACTGGGTCTTTTTTTTTTTTTTTTTTAAGATTTTATTTATTTATTAGTGAGAGACAGAGAGAGCACAGAGAGAGAAGCAGAGACACAGGCAGAGGCACACTCCCCACAGGGAGCCCAATGCTGGGACTCCGGGATCATGACCTGAGCCAATGGCACTCAGCCACTGAGCCACCCAGGCGCCCCTCACTGGGGTCTTTTTTTAAGAGCAGTTGGGGCAGTGGTGATTGGGCTGAAAGTCTACTTAACCGAAAAGGGGAATTGGAGACGGTGAGTTAGTTATGGACAATTGTTGGCTGCAAAAGAAAGCAAAATAGTCCAGGAGCTGGAGGACGGTATGGGATCTGGAGAGAGGCATTTTGGTTTGTATTTAAAACAAGTGCTGTTGTGGCACGTCTGCATGCCAAGGGGATCGAGTGGGTTGGTTGGGCAGTAGCTTTTCCAAAGAGGCCTGGGAAAGTCATGAGCACCATGAGGACTAGGTCTGGGCACAGGAGGAAGGACAAGCATTTAGAAGGGGTGCGGAAAAGGAAGGAGGGAGGAGAAGTGGAATTTCTCCAACCTGACATGGTGAGGGCAGGTTTACAAAGGTCAGGGCTAGGGTGTGTGTGGGAATGCAGGGAGGGAGGAGCAGGAGGGTTTGGGCAAGTCCACTGCCTGGGTTGGCTCACTCAGGCCCTAAGTCTGCCAGAGGCATTTCAAACCCTCCAGAGAACTGCCCTCCTAATTCCTTGCCTCCCTCGGGACATTCTTCAGGCCCTGACTCAGCCCCTTTGCCCCTGCTCTAGGCAGGGGGATGGCTGGGAGCAGCTGAGGCAGCCTCACAGGGCTCTCCATCCTCGCTTGCTGCCCCACCTCTGATCTGGTCCTTTCTGCTCCCACAGACCTGCAGCTGGACTGGACCTTTGAGGAATCACCCAAAGGTGAGGGGGGTGGTGTGGCAAGATGTGTCTGGCTTTGAGGCTCTCCAATTGCTTAGTTCAACTTGAAAAGTTCATATATCCATTTTCAGTGAGCTCCAAATTTCCCAGTAGGTGGCAGTTAAGAGCCTCAGCTTCACTTTCCTGAGAGTGTCCTGGCCCTGGCTATGATTTCTGGGGGCTTCTCTCTCCTTATCTGTAAAATGGGGATACTCCCTGCCCCCAGAGTTGTGAAGATTTAGTAAAGAGTGTAAAGCTCTTTTTTTTTAATTTTTTAAATTTTTATTTATTTATGATAGTCACAGACAGAGAGAGAGAGAGAGAGAGAGAGAGGCAGAGACACAGGCAGAGGGAGAAGCAGCCTCCATGCACCAGGAGCCCGATGTGGGATTCGATCCCGGGTCTCCAGGATCACGCCCTGGGCCAAAGGCAGGCGCCAAACCACTGTGCCACCCAGGGATCCCCGAGTGTAAAGCTCTTGATGCGAAACCCCCATATAGTGGTCCAGAGCATCCCCAGCCCTGTTCCCACAAGCCACCCAAGAGCATGTGTGGAAGTGGGTTCCAGAATCTTCAGTGCTCACCTGGGTACCCTCAAGCTCAGCTCTCACCTCCCCTGGCCTGTTTTCTCCCACCTTCAGTGCCTTCCTCCTGTGCCGCCTCTACAGACTCAAGGCATCCAGGGCCCCAGCAAAGACCAGTTGCCAGGCCGGGCCAGGCCTCTTCTCTGAGTGGGTGAGCCATCCTGGGAAAGGGGCCCAAAGGCTGCAGAGGGGCCCTGGCTTCCTGGAGGGGACTGGCACCCCCTGGTGGCCAAAGCCAGTGCAGCCTTTCTCTCCCACCCCATTCCACAGTTTGCTGCTCCTTCTTAGGGTCCCTACCACTCTAGATACTCTCTTTGTTCCTGCCAGGGCCAAAGGGGAATGGCGGGCAAGGGTGGACTTAAGCACCCCTTTCCAGTCAGGAATGCCTCTGATGCTTTTGTGTTTGGCAGCAGGAACTCATCACCCCAAAGATCCACAGGTCATAATGCTATGGAAAGTGGGGTGGCCCATGGGTAGGTGTGGACCTGTGGCCATTCACTCCAAATCCTGGGAGAAAACAAGGGGTATAGATGATCCCAACTTTCCTCGAAGGCAGGGGAGATGAGGATGAGTGAGGAACCCTTCCACATGAGTGAAGGATGTAGTTCTTTTGCTCTGCACAAACCACACAAGCCCAGCCCAGGCTGCTGGGGTCCTGGGGTGGGATGAGGGGCGGGGGGCTGCGGGGCGCTCAACCAGACCTTGAGAATCAGGAGCTTTGCCTCAAAATGAAATCCATGAGTTTCTTATTCCTTTGTAGGAAGGGATTAACCTCATTAGCATGGCCATACCTGGCCTGTGGCTCTTGGCATCATCAATAAGATAGAGGTTAAGAGCTCATGATTGAGCCCAGAGTTCAGATTCAAGCTGGTGCACTGCCACTGGCCATGTAATCTTGGGCAACATAACCAATCTTAGCTATCTGCCAAGTGGGGACCCTGACAGGGTGATTGTGAGAGTTTAGGCACATAGCAAATCTCCACGTATTATTATTTTTTAAAAGATTTCTTTCTTTATTTGAGAGAGACAGAGCATGAGTGTGGGGGGTGGGGGGAGGCAGAGGGAGAGGGAGGAGCAGGCTTCCCACGGAGCAGGGAGCCCAATGCAGGGTTCGATCCCAGGACCCTGGGATTGTGATTTGAGCCTAAGGCAGATGTTTAACCAACTGAGCCACGGATATTATTAACATACAGGCTCAGTTATGACTAGAGCTTCCCTAAGTTAGGAATAATATGTTCTGTTCTCATTATCAGTGGTATTACTAATATTATTATTGCTAAAATAGAGAATAGAGTCATAGTTACAGCCAATAAATCCTGACCCTCTGGTCAGACATTCCATCATTTGATAAGCTTGGTACAGTGGTGGAAACATTCTGACTCAACAGAGGCTGGAGCATCTGGGCCAGCCAAGAAAGGAGCCCTGGAGGGGAATGAAGGCAAACGTGACAGCGTGGAGCTTTGGTGGCTGGCATGGTTTCACAGATGACATCACTGAATCCAGCACCCCCAGGGAACTGAGGCTCAGGGAACAGAAATAGTTTGCCCCCGGGGTCCTGAGTCAAGGCTGCAGGCCCGTTGCTCTGTCCTGGTTCTCAGACTAGGATGTCATCCCACCCACATCCCTGGGCATGTGAGGAAGACCGCTTGACTGTGACAGCCAGGAAGACCAGCTTCATCAAAGCTGCACAGACATACATAGCCACAGCCGTGGGTTCAGACTGAACACAAATGTAGCATATTTCACTAAAACCAGTGGGAAGGGACTGGCCACTCATGGAACAGATGCATGTGTTAGGCCTTCTCCTGGGTGCCTCACATGTGTTCCCTCACCTGAGCTTCACCACACTCTCATATTACAGGTATTGAATCTGAGGCTCTGAGAGCTCTGTAACTCACCAACAGGTCACAGCTAAGTGGTGGAGCTGTCATCTGAACTCAGAGCTCATAACTTTCCTTGATGTAACAGTGCTTTCACAGGCTGGAACCTATAGTGCAGGGGGATGGGGATGGTGGTGGTGTGGGCAGGGCTGTGTTCTCACTCATGCCTCAGTCTCCCTAAAAGGAAACTTGAAGAGATGTCCTCCCCTTTCTTTAGAAGAAGCTGGAACCCCTCCGAAGAGTTTCCTAGAAGTACCTTCAACTGTAATCCTGGAGCACCCTCCTCCTTACACCAGACCCCAAAGCAGGTAGCCTGCCCGGCATCCTCTCCTCACTGCTGTGCTCTTGGGCTAGGCACCCGTGCTGAAGAGCACAGATAATGAAAGCCCTTTCAGTTTGGGGCCTGTCCTATGTAGCCAGGAGAGCCTAGAATCCTTAGGAGGGCACTGGAAGGCATAGAGGTGAGGCAGGGGCCTACAAGCCTGCTTTTTGAGCTTGGACAGTGTCCTGGTACCCCTCTGCTTAAGCTGATGCCCACCTACTTCCATGCAGGTACCCAGACGCCAAGAGAAAGCAGACAATGTCTGGACGGAAGATTCTTGGAACCAGTTTCTGCAAGAACTAGAAACTGGACAGAAGGTAAGTGTCCTCCTGGCCCTCTAAAAGTGAAGATACTCTTTAGCTAGTGCATTTTGGAAAGTGAGTTCACCCCCTCTGACTCACTCTTCCCACCTTTAGCCCAAGAAACCACTAGTGGATGACCCTGTTGAGAAGCCCTCCCAGCCCATTGAGGTGAGTGCTGCAGGACAGGTTGGAGGGGGAGGGAGACAGCTATGCAGGGGGATGAGTGAGGGAGACTTTGGGGTGGTGTTAGCTCCAGTGACCATGAGCAAAAACAGAGACCCAAAGCTCTGACCCTCTCCAGTCCCATACAGTTTGCCTCTGTATCCCCAGCACCTGGGACAGTGCCTGGCATACAGTTTGCCCACAAAGATGTGTTGAATACATGTCTCCTGACCAGAGCAGCAGCAGCAGAGAAAGGAGTGGTCAGTGTGGAGTTGTCAGGAAGTATTCTTGGAGGTGGAGCTGAGGTCTCAAGAGTTGGGAGGGCTTGGTTCTGGCAGACAGCCAGCTCAGTGTGAGGGAGATGCAGAAGCAAAGGAGGGAAAGCCGGTGGAGCACAGGCTGTGGAAAGCCGCGGGCGACTTGATGAGGGAGGAAATAGGGGGCTCTATAGGCTCTTGAACAGGGAAGTGAACGGACAAAAGGCACCAACAGGAAGTACTAAGGTACTATCATGGGAGTAGGGATGGGTGAGCCAGGTCAGACGGGAGGGGCCAGCGAGGAGCTGTGGATGGGCCATCCTGACACCCTGAGACACAGCTCTGGGCAGGCCCACAGGCAGGGAGCCTGCCCTTTACCCAGGCACAGTGTGCTTTGCTTCGTCCTGCCGCCCCCTGGGTTTCTTACATCTGACCTGTGACCAGTGCTCCCCCACCGTGCCCTCCACCCCTCCGCCGAGCCCCGCTGCCCGGGTCTCTCCCCATAAATCCGCCCCCAGGTCTTGCTGGAGAGAGAGCTGGCCAAGCTGAGTGCGGAGCTGGACAAGGACCTGCGGGCCATTGAGACCCGGCAGCCGTCCCCGAAGGTACCGGCCCCCCAGTCCCCTCCCGGATGACCCGGAGTCCCCCGCACGGCCTCCGAGCGTGGGCGGGAGGGGCAGGCAAAGCGGTGGTGTCCCCCGGCGCACTCGGCACGACCTTGGACGGACTTCATCCCGGACTGCTGTCTCCTTTATAAAATGCGGGGCGTTGACTTTTCCAAGTGACCCCTAAGAACCCTTCCCGGCGACTCCACGTCAGCCGGCAGGCGGGGTGCTGGGGGCCCCCCGCCTCCGCCCCGCCCCCCCTCTGTCCGCAGGGACCCCCACCTACCCGGGCCGGGTTTCCTGGGCCGGCCTCCACTCTTCCGCCCCGCCCCCACCCCACCCCCACCCCACCCCCCGCGTTGTTCCTCCCGGGTTCCTGCGCGGCCGACTCTAGGACCCCGCGTCCCTCCGCCCCTCCCGCCCCTCCCCTGCCCTCCCCACCCCTCCTGCGGCCGAGCCGCAAACTTTTCCGGAGGCGGCGGCCTCGGCTGCCGCGGGAACCCGGCGCCCCGGGCCCTGACCGCGCCCCGTGTCCCCGCACAGAGCTCCCAGGCGCCCCGACGGTCCCGGGAGCCGCGGCCCCCAGCGCGGTGAGTTCGCGGCCGGGCGGGGCGCGGGGGACGTGGCGCGGGGCGGGGGGAGCCGGGCGAGGGCGCGGGAGGAGGGGCCTGGCGGCGGGCGGGCGGCGGCGCAGGGGGACGGTCCCCGTCCCCGTCCCCGTCCCCGTCCCCGTCCCCGTCCCCGGTCCCCGCGCAGGGCCTGGCGGGCCGCGGCCCGCGCCCGGGGGAGCCTCGCGCTTCCCACCGCGCTCCCGCCCCCCGCGGCCCGGGCCGCACCCTGTCCTGCCGGGGCTGCGGGGGAAGTAGGACATCCTGCGGCGAGCCGGGGACGCGGGAGACGCCTTGGGGCGGCGGGAGGTGGGGACACATCCGGGCGGCCGGGGTGAGTGGCTGCGGCGTGAGGCCCCGACAGGTGGCTCACGCACCGCGTCCCCGCGCAGCCCGGCCTCCGCCTGGGGCACCAGCTCCCCGAATGCACTTTACCAGGGTTCCTCCCGGCCTCTGAGCCCCCACAGAATGGCGGATGGAGCGAGCCCCTTCCTAGGTCGTAGGGACTTCGTCTACCCTTCCTCGGCCCGAGGTAAGCACTGGATCCTGCACTTTTTCTCACCTGGAGGCCTGCCACCGTGCCCCCCCCCCCTGCTGTGGGGTTGCGGGGAGCCGGCGGTCATAGAGCACCCTGCTTCCACTGGTCCATGTCCTGGGGTGGGGGGAGCAGAACCCCATCCCAACCCCGCCCCCCAGACGTGGCCTTCCCCAGCTGAGGTCATGCTTTTCCACAGACCCTAAGGCCACTGAACGCGGGGCCAGCCCAGTCAGGAAGGAAGAGAAGAAGGTAAGCAGGGATGGGAGCTACTCGGACCAGAGTGCATGGGGATCCAGGATGGATCTCCTGTTGGCTGTTCTGGACCTGCCACCTGCTTGACTAAGGTGCCTGCCTCTGTCCTCTCCCCCTGCCCAGAGGAAAGCTGCCAGACTCAAGTTTGACTTCCAGGCACAGTCCCCCAAGTAAGTGCTCTTCTCTCTCCACCCCGCCCCCACCCCACATGTCTGCACCCCACGGGAGGAGTGGTCTCCCCCAGAGGGTGGAGGAGACTGGGTGCACTAGACAGGGTCTGAAGGGAAGGAGGATGGGGAGGAGCTCACCTTGCTGGACATCCTTGCACTGGCCTGCAGGGAGCTGACTCTGAAGAAGGGTGATATTGTCTACATCCACAAGGAGGTGGACAAGAACTGGCTGGAGGGGGAACACCATGGCCGGCTGGGCATCTTCCCTGCTAATTATGTGGAGGTAAGCAGGGGTGCAAAGGAGAGCCCAGCTGGGAGGGTGGATGGGTTTGCAGAGACTTAGAGGGCAGATCCCTTTATCCCCTCCATAGCCTCTCTCTGGAGATAACCCACATCTGACAGGCTTCCTGATAGGTAAAACTGTGAACTCCAGGAGGCTGGGGCAAACCAGCCTCATTCATGCTCTTGGCGCCCACGCTGGCCCAGTGCTCTGCTTGCACTCAGGACATGTTTCTGAAATGAACACTAAAGGTGGAGCCCAGCCCATGGGGAACCAAATGAAACCTCTGGCTCCTGCACCAGAGGCCACCAGGCCAGACTTCCACCATTCAGCACTCACCTCTCTCAAGCTGTCTTTGGGAAGGATCCTCAAGGCAACAGGAAAAAGCACGGAGTGTGTGACAGCTTACAAATCACATATACATTCATCACATCCTTCACGCCTATTACCTCTGTTGCTTTTCTCATTAACCTGAGAAGTGATCAGTCGTCCCCGTTTTACAGATGCACTTGCTAAGGTTCAGAGACAAGTGGTTGAGTACAAGATCCAGAAGTGTCTGGCGGGCTCAGTCAGTAGAGTATGCAACTTTGATCTTGGGGTTGTGAGTTTGAGCCTCACATTGGGGATAGAGTTTACTTAAAAATATTATACAAGCATTTATATTATACAAGATATAAATTTCTCTCTAAGCAGTGCTTTAACTCCACCCCACAGATTTGGTATTTTGTGAGGTTTTTTTTTTTTTCATTCAACTCAAATTATTTTCTCATTTCCTTTGTGACTTCCTCTTTGACTCATGGATTGGGCTGTTGTTTAATTCAGGCACTTGATTTGATAAGCATTAGTAGGCCTCCCCTACCTTCAAAACAGTTTCTCTGATTCTGAAATTCCACCAAGTATATACAGCATTCCGTGTGGTATTAGTAATTTACATCTTAGTATGAACTAGTTTACTAGCTTCTTGATTTTTTTATAAGTAGGGTGAAGCAAAGAGAACATGGGAATTTTGGGTACCTGATGGGGTAGAAAGGTGGGGGGAAGAGGGACATTTGGTTCTCAGCAGTGGTCAAATGTTAGATCCTCAGGGTGCCTGGGTGGCTCAGTTAAGTATCTGCCTTCAGCTCAGGTCATGATTTCAGGGTCCTGGGATCGAGCCCCACATTGGGCTCCCTCTACAGTGGGGAGCCTGCTTTTCCCTCTGCCAGTGCCCCCCTCCCTAGCTCAAGCTCTCTCTCAAGTAAATAAATCTTAAAAACAAAAAGTTAGATCCTCACTTTTAGATCAGGTTACAGCTATCCCCTGCTTTTTTTTTTTTTTTTAAGATTTTATTTATTTATTCATGAGAGACACAGAGAGAGGCTGAGATATAGGCAGAGGGAGAAGCAGGCTGCCTGCAGGGAATCCGATGTGGGACTCGATCCCGGGACCCCAGGATCACACCCTGAGCCAAAGGCAGATGCTTTAACCGTTGAGCCACCCAGGCATCCCTATGCCTTGCTTTTTGGAACTCCTCATGTACATCTGGGCTCCAATATAAACTGTCTCTTAGGACTGGTTTCCATCTTTGGCTTGTCATTGCCTACTCTGCATACCTCCTGGGGAAATTCTTCCTCTAGTAGCCTTCTGGGACTAACCACCCCTTGGCCACCCTCAAGCTTGTGGCTGGTGTCTGTGTCCTTGCTGGCCTTGGGGGCAGATCGTGCCCATACCATCTTCTGTTACCTGTGCCCAGTTGATACCCAGGCTGAGTCTTTCTCATGACCTTTCTTCCTGTAGGTGCTGCCTGCAGATGAGATCCCTAAGCCCATCAAGCCCCCCACCTACCAGGTGCTGGAGTATGGAGAAGCTGTGGCCCAGTACACTTTCAAGGGGGATCTGGAGGTGGAGCTGTCCTTCCGCAAGGTAAGGCCAGGCAGGAAGTAGGGGTGGGGTGAGGGGGGAGGTGAAGACAAAGGTAAATATGTGTAGTAAAAACATCTTTTTAAAGAGTCAGGTGCACCAATCTTCAGCCAGTATTTAAAAATTTCCCTAATCTCTTTATCTATGTTTCCCTTAATTTAGCCCATTCTTTAATAAGTTTGAAACTTCTAGAGTAGTTGTGGTTGTGTTTTTTTTTTTTTTTTTTTTTTTTTTTACAGTTGCAGGTTGATAGGCTGTGAGCATTTTTAGAAGAACATAAAGGAAGTGTTAGAATGTCTTGCATGTAAAAAGGCTATTTTATCAAACTTTTAAGCGGTTACATATGTACCCATGCACATGTGCATATACTGGGTTGTTATTAGGACATATTTTTTACTATAGATCATAGTCAGGGTAAGTTTGAAAAATGTTGTCCTAGGAAACAGAACTGGTCTCTCTTTGGTTGATTTTTGGGGCAGAGGCCATGAATGCCCTTAGAGAACATCCTCCAGAAGAGCTAGCCCCAAGGAGACAGGGAGGGAGGTGGCTGGGTGGAGAGAGGTGGGGGGCAGGGGACCACCCTCCCCAGGACAGCCTCACCTAACGTCAGTGAGCATGTAGGTTGGAGGATGTGCTGGCTGCCCTCGGAGAGTTTGTTTTTTGATGCACTGGTGATGGATCACCCAGCGAGGAGGCAGGGACAGGAGTGGTGGCTGATGACTGTCCAGTGCTTCTTACCAGTCTGTCACTGATCTCCTTTGCTCCTCACAGCAACAGGATTGTTCTTTCCACTTAACACGTGAGGGAACTAGGCTAAGAGACGCAAAGTAACTGGTTCAGTGTCGCCCAACTTGGAATTGGCAAAGCCCGATTTGTTCATAGCCACCAGAACTCTGGGGAGAGGATGCTATGAAGTCAGAGGGGTGCGTGTCGGATAGGCTTCCCAGAGAGGCAGGACCTGATCCACACCCAGTGCGACATGTTGTGGGAAGAGCCTAGACTTCTGGGCTTCTTCAGGCGGCCTGGGCTTGGCTCCTGACTCTACCACTGCCTCGTGATGTGCCCGTGACTTCCTGCTGACCTGCTCGCTCTGTGCAAGGCGCTAGGTCTAAATGAGACAGACCACACAGGCCCCTCCCCTCGGGGCATGATGCCCAGGAGGGCCTTGCAGATGCTAATGCCCCTGTGCCTGCCCCTCCAGGGGGAGCGCATCTGCCTCATCCGCAAGGTGAATGAGAACTGGTACGAGGGGCGCATCTCAGGCACCGGGCGCCAGGGCATCTTCCCTGCCAGCTACGTGCAGGTGTGCCGTGAGCCCCGGCTCCGGATCAGTGACGATGGTCCCCAGCTCCCCGCGTCACCGCGCCTGACCACCACCGCCCATCTGGCTCGGCACTCCAGCTCCCCATTGACACCACACAGCCCAGCTGATTCCACCGACTGGGGGAGCCGGACGTCCCCCCGCCGCACTGGCTTCTCCTTCCTCACCCAGGAGCCCAGAGCCCAGACCCAGGTAGGGTGATCTGCCTTGGGCTAGAGAGCTGACCCCTGCTCCCCACACCATTTCCTCCATTTCCCTGCTCCTCCCACCAAGTGGGTCTGCACTTTGGACTCCTTCCTGGTCTGCCCCGGACCGACCCATGGGAGAGCTGGGCAGAGCCTTGCATCACAGAGCCACCCTGGCCTTGTGGCCTTCAGACCCCTGGTTGGCCTTTGAGCCACAGCTGCAGCCCACAGAGGCAGGGGGCAGCCAGCCAGCTCTAGGAATGACCTGAAAGCTAGCGCAGGCCTCCTGACCCTATAGATTCCGCTTTTGTGATTTGCCAATAGGAATTTCTGGGACATGGTCACGTGGGAGTCGGAAGTCTGCCGTTCACCTGCTGTGTGACCTTGGGCAGATTTCTTATCCTCTCTGGATTTGGGTTTTCTCAGCTGTGGAATGGGGGTAGTAATTCCCCCTGGGGAGGGTACTTGGGTGGGTTTGACCTAAAAGTTTGTAGTAGCCAACAGGTAAAAGATTTCATTGGTCCTCATACTGATGTGGCCCGTAAACGAGTGCATTTGCTCCCACACTCATCCATTCACTCAGGAAACCCCTGTGAGCAGGCTCAAGCCAGTGCATGGGATGCTCCCGTTCCCAGCTTTGTGCTGGCATTTCAATTCAGCCACCTACCCTACCTGGGCCGCAGCTTCCTGGCGCCTGTGAAGCAAAACTGTCAAACAGACCGTGGGGGTAGAGAGAATGAGACAGGGCAATATAAGAACGCTGCTGCAGGACAGGTGGGAGGGCCCATCGCACTTCTCCTCCCTCATGCTTGCGTGTGCCTGCTTTTCCTCCTATGAACACCCAGGGTCTCAGCACCCCTGGGTCAACTCTGTCCCATCCTGGAGACTCCAGCCGTCCCCTGGACCTGGGGACCCCCCCCACCACCACTCAGATACACTGGACCCCGTGAGTACCATCTGGGGATGCTGGATCAGGGGTGGAGTGTTGCTTGGCAGGCACTACTACGCACATTGACCATAGCCTGCCCCTTCCCCCCTAAGATGGATTTGGTGACTCCTACCTCCGGCACTTATGGGTTGTCTGTGGTGGTCCTCACCTGTCCCTGCCAGCCCTACAGCCTTAAAACAAGCCTCCCATTCTCTGCCCCCTGGGCCTCAGTCTCCTCACTGGGTTTCCAGCTCTGTGGTCAGTGCGTGTATGCGTGAAGTGTGGAAACTGGTAGAACGAACTTGGAGGCAGTGGGAACTCGGAGGAGGAGATGCTGCGGTGGCTAGGGCTCAGAGTGCAGGGAGCAGGCCTGGGGAAGAATGTGCTGAAGCCAGATGGGAGTCAGCATTCTAGGAGCTGGGCCAGGGCAAATGGGATCATCTGGAAAATCCGGGGGATGTGGCAACACTTGGGTTAGACTCTGGGCCTGGTTTGAGGGAGGGGCCGGGCTCTAGTAGTTGCCGCGATGCTGTCCCCCACAGGTATCGGGCGATGTACCAGTACAGGCCCCAGAATGAGGATGAGCTGGAGCTACAGGAGGGGGATCGGGTGGATGTCATGCAGCAGTGTGATGACGGCTGGTTTGTGGGTATGTGGGCCTGGAGGGGGCAGGCTGGAAGGGGTATTTCAGGGTCCCCAGGGGATGGGCTGAGGGGCGGACCAGAAGGGGGTACCTCTGAGTCCCCAGGTGGGGTAGCTGGGGGGTGCAGACCAGAGGGAGTATCCCAGGATCCTGGGGAAGATGACTTGGGGGCAAGTTAGAAGGAGTACCTTGGGGTTGCTGGGGAGATTTGGGTGGACTGTCACTGCCTGCCAGTGCTGATTGAGCAAAGATTCATGGTCTGACAGACGAGCCCAGGGTCACTGCTGAAGTCAGTACAGACTCGGGGCAGCAGGGCTCCTGACCCTTCTACCCCTGCTCCTTCCTATTGCTCACCTGTCTCTGGAGCAGTTTGGCAAGGAAGGGCCTGTCTCTTGAGACATTGAGTTCCTGATGGAAAGGACTGAGTCTCACACGCATGTATCACCCATCCCCTGCCCCCAGTTAGCAGCTGCCCCTCCCACCCCCCATGGGACGGAGTAGAGAAAGAGCCAGTCGTCAGGGCTGGCCCTAGGGCAGTTCATGAAAGGACTGAAGCAGGAAGCCTCAAGTTGGCCTTGGCCTGGTTCAAGGTGACCAAGCCAGCAGGCTTCACAAGGCCTTGTCCTCAGAGTGGGCAGGGCCGGCCTCAGCTTCAGAGGAAGGGGCTGTCCTGAAAGAGTGAACAGCCCGAAGCCCCGTCCCACAGCGGACTGCAGAGCTTAAAGGGTGGCAAGGCTGCTAGAGCAGAGGTGGCCCCAAGGGCAGGCAGTCTCTTGACCTGGCAACCCACCCTTTCTCATCTGAATCCTAGCACCTCATTCCCCACCAAGTTTAGGACACACCAGTGATGATGGAGCACTAACCTGTTAACAGTTCTTGCCTTGGAGGGGTGGGCTCGGGGGCACATTATCATTTTACTGTGTACGCCTCTGCATTTGAATTTTTTTATACCACTAATAAAATTGTGCAAATATAGACAAGAAGAAAAAGTGCCGTTTTTGTGATATTAAAGCCATAAGTGCTTTCAGAGGAAAGGTTAAGAAAGTTCAGTGTCTTGGTCAGACTAGCACATTTCAAGTGCTCAGCGGCTACATGTGGCTAGTGGTTATCATTTCGGACAGTGCAGATCAGGGAAGGCTTCCTGGAGGAAGTGGGGGAGCGAGGCCGTGAAGGGCAAATGAGGCATCCCAGGCAGCAGGACTGTGTCAGCAAGACCTGGGGGGCGGCAGGGTGAGCAAGGGCTGCCCGGAAGGAAGTCAGGATGCCAGCCTGCAAGGAAGGGAAGGTTCAGGACTTTAATTTCATTTTGCATTCCTATATCTTTTAGCACTCTCCCTTCTCCACCCCAGAACACGGGTTTCTTTGGGGTGGTAGCAGACCCGAGGCCTGGATTTTACTCCCACCTCTCTCTCTAAGCAAGAGTGCTTTTTGGGGATTCACTTGGCCTTCTCTTTAGGCCTTGCCTGCCTGTCCCATCTCTAAATTGAAGGTGAGACCAGTGAGTTTCCTCCGCATTTAAGTTCTGGATTCACCCTCCTGCTTCCTGGCATTCCTGAGGAAGGCGGGGTAATTCAGGGCTGAGAGCAAAGTTCTAGAGTACTTCAATTCCCAGTCCTTGCATTTAAAAAGTGTAGCTTAAAAAAAAAAAAAAAAAGTGTAGCTTTGCCCATCTGCTCACTAGGGGGCAGAAACGAGTAAAATAAATCCTCCCTCCCTGGGTGGGGGACTCCACCTGCAGTTCTAGGCACTGCCAGTAGGGAGAAGATCCCTCACCCCGACCTTCCTCCTAAAGTCCAGGGAATGCCTTTTATGCCTTTCCTCTTTCTCTCTTTCAGGTGTCTCTCGGAGGACCCAGAAGTTTGGGACATTCCCTGGAAATTATGTAGCTCCGGTGTGAGTCGTCTCCGTGGCAACTCAGAGCCCAGCCAGGATGGGGTGCGGAGCAGTAGCACTTACAGGAAGGAAAGAGGATCCCCCTCCATCCTCTCCCCAAGATCCGAGCTGCTGGCATCTGCAGACTACCCCAGCAACCATTCTCTGGAGCCCCCCTCAAAGCCCCCTGGAATGCTTCCCACCCACAACTCACAAACATTCCTCCAGCAGCCTTTTTATTCCCCCCCTACCACACCCCTCAAATATAGAGGTCTGCTTTGAAGTGGAGACTGTTTCCAGGCCTTATTGAGACCAGACCCTGGAGCCCCACTCCCCCCTGCCCTGCTATGGCATTTCCTCTAACAGGGACTGGCTCCCAGCTTCACCCCCATGGGGTTCCTCTACCCAGAACCAGCTTTCCTAACCTAACAGAGACCAAAGGCCGCCTCTGCCTTGGGGGGCGGCAGGGGGGAGTCCTCTTTCACTCCAACTTGCCTGATGCCCCCTTTGTCTTCCTGCTTCCAGCTGGGCTTGGGAGTGAAGTGGGAGAGAGACCCCGCACCTCCTTAGTGCCTAAGCCCTGGCAAGAGGCCTTGCCTGAACGTCCCCTCTTCCCAGAGGCTGCCCAGACCTGGGCCTGGGCCATGCGTGTCATCGTGTTGCTGCAGTGCCCAGGAAGGGCTGAGCCTCAGAGAACTGGCCGCCGCCCCGAGTGTTTTCTGGGGAGACTGAGGTGTGCTGCCCTCCTGTCTCACCCGCTCCTCCAAACCCCCAAATCCCCCCTGGAAGAGAATATAAAATAAATCTGGATACCAGGGACCTCGCCAGTCTGTTTCCTTCTGGGTGGGAAGGATTGTGGGGATTGTCTCGGCGGCTGGCTGTGCCGGGAGCCAGGTGGGACGGGAGGCTGTGTGTGAAAGGGGAGGTGAGACAGCACCATCATTATCTCTGGAGATCTCAGACGTCAGTTCGTGGGCGGAATGGGGCAGCCCCCGGGATTGGGCAGCTGTCTGACAAGCAGCCCTGAGAGCACCTCTGTCACAGGGCCCAGGGCAAGGCCTGGCCATGGGGAGAAACCAGAGATGGGAGCTGAATGCGGCCTTGTGTGCAGGCTGTTTTGATTCCAGAGCCGCCATGGGGTTGCTGGACTAGATGACATTTCTAGCTGTTCTGCTCTAATGTTTTCCTTCTGTGTGCTCCATTTCCACACCGAAGCTCTCGTGTGTTTGTTTACTTTCTTCTTTGGGTTTGGGTTTCTGAGCCATTGGTTGTGGGAAGCTGGGAGTGGTGGGGCACAGCTTAGCCAAAGCAATGCCTCTCATCTGGGGTTTCAGAGTCCTGGGGCCTGGTGGCTCCTGCAGGGCCACAGCAGTGGCACAGTCTGGGCCTGGCTGCTCTGCCGAGAAAGAAAACTCCATTCCTTGCCAGCTGCTGGGCGTTGAGGAAAGTATAAGGTGCTACACGTGGGTTATCTGATGTAAGCGTCCCAATGACAGGGGTGGGGTTCCATTTTATGGGACGAGAGACTGAGGATGAGAAATTAAGTTGTCTGGGTTACATGATTGTAAAATGTGAAGTCAAGTCCAGTGACTCTTGTCGCCTCTCTGCACTAAGTATACTAAATGCCCAGGCAGTCCTTTCCTTGTCTTGGATAAGGAAGGTCCTGCATGAGGCCCAGGACTTCCTGGGGCAGTGCCAGGTTGGGCCTCTCACGTTCTTCCTGACAGTCCTGTCTGCTAGACCTGTCACAGGGCACCCCCATGCCAGGTGAGTGGGAAGAGGTGGTGGCACCCAGTTCTGCTTGTGAATGACCGGGCCACAGCCTGGCCCTGGCAGTTTCCTTGAGCTGGGGTGTGGCCTGGGCCCCAGTGGGGGTTAAACAGCAGCTGGAGGAACAAGACCTATGTGCACCCGTCTCTTCTGTCCACCCCAGTCCTCACCACCATCTGCTTCTAAGTTAGCAGGCCCAGCCCATCTTGTGGAAATGACCTTCCTTCAGGAACCCACTGGCCCGTTCCTGATCCCCTGTCATAGCTTCTTCTCCTGATCCCCTGTCACAGCTTCTTCGCATTCCCTGATGCCCTCATAAAAGATATCAGGGTTGATTGGGACTTCCTCTCCCTGGGGCAGAAACCAAATCCACACCCTCTTTGATGGAGCCCTGAAACTTCTGCAGCAAATCAACCCTCCGCCCCTGGGCTGCCTGCCACCTGCTTGCACAATGACAGCTTCTGTCCCTTGACCTGGTGTGAGGTGGGAGGGGAGGGGAGGGCCGGAGGCCTGAGGGGGTGAGGGAGACCTGAGATGTCAGAAAGGGCTGCAGGCCACGGTGGGGGAGAGGGATGCTCATCCTATTGGCGAGGTGAGCTGAGTGACTTGCCCAGGACCACAGAGTTGCTTAGACAGGGACAGTACTCCCTTCTGGTCCACAGGGTCTGGCCCTTGCTTAGTCAATTTTGTTTTTGTTGTGAGTTTTGTGAATGCACAAGCCACAGAGTAGAAATCCTACAGATTAACCTGTAGATGCTAGGGACTAGGGTGATGTCAGGAGCACAGAAAGACATAAAACAGAGGCCCTGCCACAAACTGGGGGTGAAGCAAGGGAAATGAATCCATTCACTCATTCAAACAATATTCATTCTACAATTAGCGAATGCTAATCGCTGTGTGCCAGACACTGTGCTAGGCTCGGGGAATGGAGCAGTGAACAAATCCCTCCCACCCTGAGAGGAACCTGCCCGTCAGCAGCTGCATGTGGGAGGACAGGCTGCAGACCAGAGGCTAAGGTATGCATTATCTCCATTTTATCCATGGGGAAACTGAGGAAATTACCCAAGGTCACGCTGTAAGAGGCAGATCTGACATGTGAGGCTAGGTCTGTGCGACTCCAAGGCTGCACTTGCCTGTCCTGCAGTCTCCTGCTCCCTGGAGGGCCTCCAGTCTAGTTGTGGGGGGAGAGCAGTGGTGTCCTGCAAAGAGGTCAATCCAGGAGGCCCGGGACTGCAGGGTGGGAGAGTGGCTTTCACACCTGGGGTGGGGGAGCCCGAGCAGGGAGCTGGAGGCTGCGCTGTCGCTGATGGCGGGTCAGTGCCGGGAGGACGAGCCGGGGCTGAGGTAGGCGGGGAGGGTGGCGGGAGGGTGGAAGGCACTCCTCGCAGGGGGAAGCCGAGGGAATGACTCACTCCGAGCCAGGCAGCCTACAGCTGTGCCCACAGGTGTGCTTCCCTGAAAACAGCCCAGCCCCACAGCGACCGTGCAAAGTGCCGGCCGGCGGGCGATGCGCGAGGACCGGTGACCCTCGGTCTCCGGGTGAAGGTGCCCGGGTATGGCTCTGGGGAACCGTGTGCCAGAGGGGTCTGGGCTGGGGCCTGGGGCCTGGGGCCTTCCCTTGGCTGCCGTCTCCCTAGCCCCGGAGCCTGGGTTCCAGGTGGCTGGCGCGAGCGGGCCACACGGGCAGCGGGGGCCGGGGTGCCTGCTGGCTGGCGCACCCCAGGCCGGGCAGCAGAGAGGGCAGCCCGGAAAGGAAACGGCGCCAGCCCGGAGAGGGCCCGGCGACCCCCGCCACGGCCCTGGGGCTCGGGAGGTCGCCCCGAGCGGAGCCGGCCTGCGGGCGTCTCGGCAGCGCGGCTCAGCGCCCCCCGCGGGCCCCAGCAGCCGCAGCCCGGGAGCGCCGCGGCCTCGGGGGCGGGGGGGGGGGTGGGGGCGGCGGCGGCGGCCCCGCATCGGGATCCGGGGGTGTCGGCCGCACCCGCGCCGGCGTCGGAGCCCGGAGTGGGCGGGGGAGCCGGGCGGACCGCAGACGGACCCAGCCGGCCCGCCCCGCCCCGGGGTGCAGGGGGGAGGCCCTGGGAAGGCGGGTGGGCGCGGCCGGCCTGGGAGAGCCTGGGGGGCGGCAGCCCGGGCGTCTGCGGCCGCGGGCCGGGGGCGGTCGGAGCCGCAGGGCACCTGGCGGGGGCGGCCGCGCCCCCTCCCCGCACGCCGCGGCAGGGCGAGGGCCAGGTGGCCGCCGGGGCCGGGCTGCGCGGAGGAGGCGGCGGCAGGGGCGGCCCCGGGATCACATGGGCGGAGGCAGGTCCCGGAGCCCCGGGCGGGCTCTCCCCAGAGTCGGGCGGCGGCGGCGGCGGCGGCGGCTCCTCAGCCTTCCTCCTTCCCTGCCCTTCCCTCCCGGGCCCGGCCGCCCAGCCCGACGGGTGAGCGGGAGCCAGGTGAGCGGGGCCAGGTGAGCAGGGCCAGGTGAGCGGGGCCAGGTGAGCGGGGCCAGGTGAGCGGGGCCAGGTGAGCGCGCCCACCTGCGCGCCGTCCGCACGGCCGGCTCCCGGGCCCTGGCGGCTCTGCGCGCTGCCGCCCCCTCCGCGCCCCGGCGCCCTCCCGCAGCCTCCCCGGAGGCGCCCCCCCCCCCCCGCCGGGCTGGCCTTTCTCATCCCCGCGCTTCTGCTCCAGCGCCCGGCCCGCGGGTACCTTGGCCTCGGAGCGCACAGGGCGCCAGAGCTGGGAGAGCCAGGCCGACGGCCTGGGCACCTCCCCGCGGGCCCGGGCGCGGAGTCCACCGCCGGCTCAAAGGTCTGAGAACGCGGGGGCTCTGCGCACTGCCAGCGCCGGCCCGGGGCCCGGGACCTGGCAGGGGCAGGGGCTAGGCCTGGGCAAAAGGCCGAGGAGAGGGCAGGCAGCCGGTTCTTGCTTGAGCGCCCTCGCCCCAGGTTCTTAAACTTGGGAAGTGGCCCCAGTGTCCTTGATCGATTCTGACAGCAATTGCGGTCTCTGGGCCTCCCCAGGGGCAGCCTCAGGGGGCTGCTGGGTAGGGTGGTGGCCCAGGCTGGCATTACAGCTTCCTGCCTGGGTTGGCTCCTGACTCCATAACTAGAGGCTCAGGAAATCCTACAAGGGCTGGTCTGCAAGGACACTCCCTTGCCCAGCGGAGGGGCAGTGGATGGGAGGCCCAGGGCGCCAGCCAGCAGGCAGCATCAGTCAGCTCACCCTGCTGCTCATTGCCAGGGGGTGGATGTGCCCAGCTGGGCACATGAGCCCGTCCTTCTGGCTGGGGCTGTTCGGAGGGCAGCAGGCCGCTGGGGGTGGTGGGAAGCCCAGTCTTGCCTATCTGGACCACATTGCCAGGGGCCAGGCAGGCAGCCAGGAGGCCCCTCTGAGGACCCTGGGCCAGTCCCCACCCAGCCAACTCCTGGGACAGTCTGCGGTGGCATCATGCCCTTGTTTGCTATCACTCCTGTTCCCAGAACACTGCCCTCCCCCAGAGTGGGGAGGAAGTACCTTGTGCAGTCAGTTTTGGGGACAGGAAGCGGGCCCTGAAGCGACTTAGCCTTGCTGGTGGAGGAGGGGGAGAGGCAGGAAGCGGTGGCATCTCCTACCACCTGCCTAGGCCGTTGCCCGCCTGTTCTCCTGTTCTCCATCCCGCAAGCCCCTGAGAGGCACCCTGACAGCCCGCCCTCTGGGAGCCACGCTGCTGGAGAGGGTGGCGGTGAAGGGGGAACTCAGTCATGGCTTCCCAGCGTGGGGGGAAGTGAAACTGGGGGGTGAGGAAGGGAGTTAGTCACTTCCTCTACCCTCCCCCTCACCCTCCCCAGCCCCTAACTGGCTGCTCATTGGACCTGTCATCCCCTCTCTTCTGCTTCTCCTGCCACCTTACAGCGTCTCCATCCCTCTGCTTCCTCAGATATGGCGCTGACCGTGGATGTGGCGGGGCCAGGGCCCTGGGGCTTCCGGATCACTGGGGGCAGGGATTTCCACACGCCCATCATGGTGACCAAGGTAAGGGCTAGTTCCAGGAGCTAAGGAGGTGCCCCCCAGAGGTAGGGTCTACCCTGCTCTGCACAGGCACCTCTCTTTGTTTATTCCGGAACCAGAGGTCTGCTGCTGGGAGTGTTAGCCTGGGGAGGACTGGGGCTCCATTGCCATGGGGATGTGATGACCACTCCAGGAACAGACTTCTAGGGAGTGAAAGGGAGCTGGGCCAAGTACAGGGCTCCTCTCTCCTTGGACACCAACCCTATACCTGCTGGCAGCCATTTGGGGAGTTTACTAGAACAGAAGCCCCAGGTCCTTGGCAGTTTTCTCTTGACCCAGGCCCAGGCCAGGGAGCGTTCATGCCAACGGGCTGCATGCAGGCAGCCACCTGCATGGTGTGATGTGCACGGGCAGGGCTCTCTATCCTAAAGTATTTCCAAGTACAGTCCCTGAAATGCTGCCATTTTTTCGGGAGGCCCAGTGAGAACGCCAGTGCTGGGGTGAGGGGGGTGGCTCCCCTCCAGCTTTTGGAGGGCATGAGCCGATCAGCTGGGCGGAGCCTGCTGGGCCGGGGGACAAAGTGGGAAGCAGGCCAGCCTGCTTCAAACCAGCATCTGTGTTCCCTGGGCAGGACAGAGAGAAACCCCCTCTCTTCCATCCCGATGGGAATGTCATCACTGTCTGAGCAGGGATATCTCATCCCCTACAGGTAACCGAGAGGGGCAAGGCTGAGGCTGCTGACCTCCGGCCTGGAGACATTATCGTGGCCATCAACGGGGAGAGCGCCGAGGGCATGCTCCATGCTGAGGCCCAGAGCAAGATCCGCCATAGCCCCTCACCCCTGCGGCTGCAGCTAGACCGGTAGGCCCTCCACCTCCGCTGGGCCCACCAGCTTTCTTCTCTCCTCTGCCAGCCTGCTGCACGGCGGCTGTCCTCACCCCCCTGCCCTCAGCCCCACCCCAGCCTTCCTGGGCCCTTTGGGCTCATCTTTGAGAAGGTCCAGGCTCTGGGGCTGCAGCAGGGTGGGCTGGGGGGTGTCCCTGTGCATGGCTGGGCATGCAGCCATGGGCAGGGCAGGCTGGCATCAGCCACCTGGATGCCCGGGTTTGACGGGTTCCCAAGTGCGCAGGGTACAGGGTGTGGGCATGAAGTGGGTTGAAGAGGGGAAAGGTGTGCCTTAGGCTGGGTCTCCTGGGCCCCTGCCTCCAACAGAGGATGGCCTTTGTTCTGATCCTGGGGGGTGGTTTGAGGGGTTTGGGATCTCACTCACCATAGGACCCCTCGGTCCCTCCCCACTGCCTCTTGGGGGCTGTGCTGGTGAAGGAAGATTCCTAGGCTTGGGTTTTCAGCCCGGAGGCCTGGTTGTGGGGGTGGGGGGGGAACAGGTGGCTCCTTGGGGTGGAGCGTCCAAGTGAGTCACAGGGCAAGAATGTTGGGAGATCCCCCAGCCAGGAGAACCCTCTGGGCAAGCCTTGAACCTGAGTCAGGCACCTCCAGCCTCTCTGTCATCCCCTCCCCTCACTTGGGCTCTCTCTAGGCCCTGGCTCCATGCCATCTCTTCACCCCCCACCATCCCACAGTGCTGCAGAAGCTGGCTTCCATGATGCTCTCATGACCCTGGCCCCATCCTGACTCCCTCCTCAGACTCATGAGTGTTTGCAGGAGTGGGGCCTAGAAGAGGAGGGTGGAGAGTAGCTTATGGCATATGTGAAGGGGACCAAAGTCTATAAGAGGCTGCAGAGTGGGGTGGCAGAGGGGCAGGGAGCTGCTGATGCCATCACTTCCTCACAGTTCCTTCTAGAGGGACCCAGTCCCATGAGGGAGTGGGCCTGGCTGAATCCCTCCAGGCCTCCAGCTCCATGTTGGGTAGGTCAAGACTCCCTGCCTCTTCTTTCTTTGTCTGGCCTCTTCCTAAACCCTCCGAGTCTCCCCCATATCAGGAGGCCACTTGGGCACCCAGAAGCTCTGTGGCAGGAAGCAGTACTCTGGACTGGAGCCGGAGCCCGAGCTTGAGCTCCCTTCACTCTGGCTCCACAGCCCTCCCTGGGGAGGCTGAGGCTGTGGCTGCTGTGGTGTGCGATGACTGAGATTCTTGTTGACCTCTCTGGAAGTGACCCGACATCCGAATGGTGTAGTGGGATTGGGACATGGTGGGCTTTTTCTTCACCCTCAGCCAGCCCCAGCCCTCCCATGGCTTCCTGTTCAAGGCTCCAGTGGGAAGGGCTTTGGAGGGGGGTCCCCAGGGAGCTGAGGTAAGGGCACCTCTTTTCTGGGTGCCTTGGTGATTGGTGGGGAGGTTGGGGCTGCTTGTTGCTTTAGCTCTCTGGGTCCTGTGGGGGGATGGAGGCACAGGCTCCACCCTTTGTTGGCTTCAGAAGGGACCAGGAATGACCCTCTTAAAGGTATTCCAAGCCATTAGCAGCTGGTGGCGGACAGCATCTGGCTGGGCAGAGGAGAGTGGGCGGCTGGCCTGACCATTGTTGGGCTTTAGGAAATCGCTTTCTCTCTCTGGGCTTCAGTTTCTCCATGGGTGCAAGATAAAGGATTAAGGATTATTGATGTGAAATCAGCAATCTCCCCCAAAATTAATCTACAAACTGATGCTGACCAGTGACAAAGTCTGGATGAAATGAAATGAAAAAAAAAAAAAAGGGGGGGGGGGATCCCTGGGTGGCTCAGCAGTTTGGCGCCTGCCTTTGGCCCAGGGCGTGATCCTGGAGTCCCGGGATCAAGTCCCACATCAGGCTCCCGGCATGGAGCCTGCTTCTCCCTCCTCCTGTGTCTCTGCCTCTCTCTCTCTTTCTCTATGTCTATCATAAATAAGTAAATAAATAAATCTTAAAAAAAAATTAAAAGAGGGGTGCCTGGCTGGCTCAGTCAGTGGAGCATGCAACTCTTCATCTCGGGGTCGTGAGCTTGAGCCCCATGTTGAACATAGCGGTTACTTAAAAAAAAAAGAGGAGTGGTTGGGTGGCTCAGTTAGTGAAGCATCTGGCTTTGGCTCAGTTCATGGTCTCGGGGTCCTGGGACCGAGCCCCACACTCATTGAGGAGTCTGCTTCTCCCTCTCCCTCTGCCCTTTCCCCTGCTTATGCTGTCTCTCTAATAAATAAATAAATACATAAATAAATAAATAAATAAATAAATAAATAAATAAATAAATAATCTTTTTTAAAAAAGGAATAAAAAGAAAAGAGAAAAGAAAAAGACAGGGGATACTGTGAGGAGTTTTTAACAAAATTGAATTTATGAAGTATGTCCAGTCTACATATTGATGCTAAACTGTCCTTTCCTTGGAGAAATGGCGGTGGTTGTTGATAATGATTGTTTTGAATTTGGCAAAGTTGCAAGTTGACAACCTGATATCCACGTTTTGAACATTTTACTAATCTTGAGAGTCTGTTGTGGGACCAGCTGGAATCTGCAGCCCCTGTCAGGTTAGGAGGGTTCCAGGACTCCTGTGATTTGCCTCCCCCCGGCCTCTCCTCAGGTCTCGGGCCGCTTCCCCCAGGCAGACCAATGGGGAAAGCTCTGTGGAAGTGCTGGCCACTCGCTTCCAGGTAGGATGGGGCCTTCTTCTGGGAACTCCAGCACCCTGAAGTGAAGGGGAGCGCTGAGGGGCAGGGCCGGGAGGGGCTGGGTGCCACCCTCCCAGCCTTCTCTCCACAGGGCTCTGTGAGGACCCACTCGGACAGCCAGTCCTCCCTGCGGTCTTCCTGCTCCAGCCCCTGCTCCTCCAGCCCCCAGCCGGGCAGCCCCTTCTCTGCCCTGCCCCCCAGCAGCCCGCACACCCTCCCTGGAGAGGCTGTGGTCAGCCGCAGGTGAGCGCACGGGGTGGGGTCCAGACCAGGCCCCTCAGTCTCCACAGCTGGGTTTAGGGGAGCCTGAGGGCACACCCTCTGTGTCCCTGAGGCAGGTGGGGGATGGGGGATGCCTGGCACCCAGCTGCCCTTGCCTGCATTTCAGTTTCCAGAACCTGGCACATTCCCCGGGACCCACTGCTGCTGACCGCTTTTCCTATGGGGGCCGTCCTGGAAGCCGCCAGGTGAGGATACCTGGGGGGGAGGACAGAGCCTCCCATCCTGGTTGGTTGCTGCCCACCAGCAGGACCCACTCAGGTCCCATCTGGGCAGCTGGGGCCTCCATTTCCCAGCACCAAGCACGCCCCTCTCCCGAGCCAGGAGGCCGTTGTGTCTGTGGTGGGCCGCCCTCTCTGTGCCCCAGCCCTGCCTGGCCAGTCCCCAGCGGCCTTCTACCTCTTGCACTCCCACTTGCCGCCTCCCCTCCTCCTGCTAGCTTCCTCCCTTCCTGAGTGTTTCTCTTGGGCCAGGGCTGAAATAGTTTTGCTGCTGTTGTTGGGATGGTTCCCTTTGGCTCTGGCTGCATCTCTTGAACACATTCCTCCCCATTCCAAGTCCCATGCCCACCCCCAACTCCTGTCCCCCCATCCCCCTTCCTCCTCCTCTGACTCAGCCCAGAGAACCACCACCAGTGGGACTGTGGTTCTGCCTCAAGTTGCATTTGGCTTACTTTCTGTCTGCCCCCCTCCCTGCCCTTCTACCCTGGACACCCCCCACTGGGTCCCACTGAACTGGTGACAGGCCCCGCCTTCCCTGCCTTGGTGGTATTTCTCCTCTGTAAGGGCAGGGGTGAGGAAGTGAGGGAGTGAGGCCACAGCTGCTGGCGGCAGAGTTGGGGGGGGGCATGTCCAGCCTTGGGGTGAAGGGGATGAGGCCCAGCCGCTGGAATCCTACCTCCCGGTTGATTTTGCATTCCAGAAGGCAGAGCCTTTGGAGATGGCTGGGGGAGGGCATTAGAAACTGGGGGCTCTGGAGAAGGAGAGGGAGGGCTCCTGTGGGGAAGCCCATGGTAGGGCCCCTCCAGTGACTCGTTGTGGGCCTACTCAGTGGCCTGCCCGGCAGTGTGGGCATGGAGATGCCTTCGATAAGATCCCCGTCTTTAAAGAATGTGAAATGTAGTTGGGAGATAAGACAAACATGTAAAGCAGTTCTGGAACAATTAAGAACTGAACAGTGTGGTCTTAATTATAAAAGCAGGAGGCATTCTGGGAGGGGAGAGGAGTGTCGGCTGGGTGGCCTGAGAAGGCTTTGTCAGGAATTTTGCTGGACGTTGGAGGTAGGACTGGGTAGGGTTTAGATTAGGGAACGATAAGCCAGGGAGATGGGAAAGTGGTGTTACCAGCAAGACCTGGCATGTTTGGGGTGGCGGTGGGGTGGGGAGGGGAGGGGCTTCTCTGGGAGATCTTTGGGGTGGAGACCAGATGAAAATACGCTTGGCCCAGGGCATGGCTGGAGAGGGTCCATCATCTTGGCCTTCTTCCCTGCAGCGTCCCAAACTTGGGCAAACGGGAGATGCTGGTGGTACAGGGTGTGGCTCCCATGCCAGCAGCGGCACCTTGGAACCTGTTAGAAATGCTAATTCTCAGGTCCTAGCCTGAGATGCAGGAGTGAGGGTGCGGAGCAGGGGCACCAATATGTGTTTCCCCCTCAGGGACCTGATGCAAAGACTTGAAGACCACCCATGCTGTGTAAACAGGAGCCCTGGGCTGGGTGGTAGGGAGACGTGGCTTAATACCACCGCCACCATCTAACCTTGGATAAGCCCCTCTTGCTCTCTCTGGACCTCAGAGTTAGTCTCCATGCTCTGAGTTTCCTTCTTTGGCCTGAGGACCGTGGTCATTCCTTCGACAAACTTTTATTGAGCAGTTGCTTTGTGTCAGGCACCCTTCTAGGCTCTGGGGATGCACTGGTGGATAAACAGAAATTCCTAACCCAATGAAGCTTTGCATTCTGGCCTATAAAGGAGGCTGTGGTCAGATGGTGTGGGAGTCACGGGGCCCCACACCTCCCTCTTGGGAGTCACTGTGTACTTTTAGCACCTTCAAGGCTCTAAGAAGTCCCATGAGAAATAGATTTAATTTTATTAATTTCCTAAACTTTATTTATTTATTTTTCCTAAACTTACTTTAACAACAGAATTTCTCCTGGCGCTCCCTGCCCCACACCTGCAACTCACTTATTAACGTCCCCGTGTTCACCAGAACACATTTTGAGAGGTGTTGGCTATAGATGAGCCCTTTCACCCCCTGTACTTGGGGATGAAGGTTCCTGCAGGTGTCCCTAGCTGACCAGGAGGGAGGGAGGAGGAAGACAGAGCTGCTCCCCAGTAAGGGGTTTGGGCCCCTTTCCACCAGGGCACAGTGGTCTTTCAGGAGGAAGGGGGGTAGAGGTGACTGTAGATGAGGTGCCCCCACCCCAGTCTGCCAGGGCCAGGGCCTTGCTGCTGGCTCCTGAGCTGGCTGGGGCTCCACTGAGCCCAGGGCACAGGACACCACCAGCCTTTATTAAGGTGCCCTTCTGGAAACTGGAAGTTGCCAAGTCTGGGTGGGCACATGCCTTGGTGAGCAGATGTGAAGGGAGCACCCCTCTGGCTGGTTGGCACGGGGACTTAGCTTGCCAAGAACGCCTGGGTGGATTTCAGCACCCCCTCCTGGCTAGCCGCTGCCCCTGTGTGGGCACATGCTGACTTCAGATGGCGCAACGGGACATGGTTCTTAAGTAGCAGGGGCTGACTGTCCTTCCTGAGGAAACCATCTTACTGTCTGTCGACTGCGTGGCATTGAGAGCACGAGGAATGTAGGCAGGTGGAAGGGGGCTGCAGGGGTGAGGGTCTAGGGCTGTCTTCTCAAAACTCTCAAGTTTCTGCTTTTAGCTTAAAAATTCATAGGGCTTTATCGTTTGATCCCATAATTTGTCCCTGATTTTGAATTTTTAAATTGAGGGAATTTGGGGATCGCCTGGGTGGCTCAGTGGTTGAGCACCTGCTTTTGGCCCAGGGTGTGATCCTGGAGTCCTGGGATCAAGTCCCACACTGGGGTCCCTGCGGGGAGCCTGCTTCTCCCTCTGCCTGTGTCTCTGCTTCTCTCTCTGTGTTTCATGAATAAATTAATAAAATCTTTAAAAAATAAAATAAAATTGAGGGAATTTGGCCTTCTGGGGAACTGTGCTCCCAGCATGGTGCGCTGTGGCCTGTCTGGTTGTGGCTGGGCGGGGCTCCCTCTTTCCCTGGGGGTGCCCAGAGAGAGGAGGCAGGGGAGGAGGGGTGGGTGCAGAGGTGCAGGCCAGAAAGGGGAGCAACACGGAATTCGAAGGCAAGATTTCCACTGGACAGCAAGTGTAAAGAGCCCCGGATGGACAGCACACACCTGGAGAGGCGGCACTGCTGCTGGCACGTGGGCCGCAAATGGGCTTGACCCCCCAAGGCTCCAGGGCAGCCAGGAGAGGCCCACCAGCCCACACCTGGGACTGGAGGCGTGTGCAGGGGCGAGATCCCTGGTGCAGCCCCAGCCCTGCCCCTGGAGGGGTCTCAGGCCCTTCACTCCATGTTTCCCCGACCTCACCGCAGGAGGATCTGCTTCCCCTCTGCTGTCCAGCCCCTGCCCAATCTCCTGGCGGGGCCTCTGCACCTCCGTAGGTGGGTGTAGGTGGGTGCTGGCCGCTGGCCGCCCGGTACCCCGGGGCCTGCAGGGGGCCTGCTGGTCAGCGGGGGCCGGGCGCCCCCTGGTGGTGGGCCTGGGGCCGGGCGGGCGGGCGGGCGGGCGGCCCGAGGCTGCCGCCGCGACTCCTCCCCTGGTGCCTCGCTGTCCCGCAGGCCGGCCTCGGCGGCGCTGGCGACGCGGCGGTGCTGGTGCTGCCGCCTTCCCCGCGTCCCTGTCCCTCCAGCCCCAGGCTCAGGTACCGGCGGGCCCCGGAGGGGGGGGTCCCGGAGGGCCTGGGAGGGCCTGAGGCCGACGGGCTTTCCAGAGAAGAGGGATGGGGTAGTGGGGGGGGGGGCTTGGCTTTCCTCCGAGCCCGCCCGGAATCCCCTCCCCTGGGTCTCCCCTAGGGCACTCCTTCCCTGCCCCCATGCTGGCGCTCATACCCGGGGAGGGACCCTCACTCCTGGCTGCCTCCCGTCCCCGCAGTGCGGACTCCGAAAGGGGAAGCCACCTTCTGGACGAGGACTCCGAAGTCTACAAGATGCTGCAGGAAAATCGCGAGGGGCGGGTGGCCCCCCGGCAGTCCAGCTCCTTTCGGCTCTTGCAGGAAGCCCTGGAGGCTGAGGAGAAAGGTGAGTCCCTGGGGGGGGAGGGCTGGGGGTTCCAACCCCCGGGGTAGGAAGTAGGTTCCAGCAGGACACCCCTGGGCCGGGGCTGGACATGATACCGAACTAGTATTTCTTAAGTGCTCATCACAGGAGTAGACACCAGAGGGGGGCTCCAGCACGAAAGGAGCTTTCAAGCTGGTAGGTCTGGTGGGGGGGTGCACCCAGAGGTGCTGGGGGGGGTGCACCCAGAGGTGCTCGCGGGGATCAGGAAGCGTGTCAAGGGACGCGTAAAGGTGGGGGGCAGGCTCCCCAGGCAGGGCTTCACAGAGGAGGGTGGGTTTGACTTGACCCTTGAAGAAAGATCAAAACTTTTAACAAACGGCCTTAAGATGGCGGCTGGGAGTTGGAGCCTCAGAGAATACACCAAAAAAAAAAAAAAAAAGATGGTGGCAGGGAGCTCGGCGCCTGTGGTGGCTGTGGCTGGCAGCTGGAGGGCTTGGTGTGGGAGCCCGAGCAGCGGGGCCTGGCAGCGCAGACGGCGGTCTCGGAGGTCAAGTCCTGGCTGAGAGGTGTCGTGTGCCGGGCTGAGGAGCCCTGACCCAGGAGGGCCGGTGCATAATGCCAGGCGCTGCCTCTCGGATGCCGAAGTGAGCAGGAAGACAGGGACGGGCTCTTGCGGCCACTCGGTGACTCACTGGACAGACATTTACTGTGCCTGTCGGATGGGCCAGGGGTGTGCGGAGCGTGGGGCCGAGCGCAGTCGGGCACCTGTCCGCCCTTGAGGAGCTGTTGATGGGGCAGACAGGCCTGCGCAGCTCCTGAGGTGGCTGTAGCTGTACTGTGCGTGCGTGTGCGTGTGTGTGCGCTGCCCCCGTGCAGGGGAGAGGCGAGGAGGCCCGGCCTGAGCACTGGCTACAGGGAGGGTCAACAGCCTCACCAGCACAGTATCTGGTGGCTCCTTTCAACTCTGACATTCAGCTCCTGGGATGTTCACTGCGGTCAGAGGGCAGGGAGCCAGTCTTGTGCATCATCACCCTGAGGCCTTGGTGGAGCCCGGGAGGGGGCCCAGGGAGAGGGGTGGGGGGGAGCACAGACAGTCGGTGACTCCACGGCTCAAGCCTTGGCGTCCTTGGCGGCCAACAGGGACCATACCCGCCCAGGAACATCTGTGCTTCATCTCAGTGTTGTTCCAAGGCTCACATGCAACAGTGTCCATAAAAGCTCTTTGAAAACTGTATAAAGGTATTGTGGTGCTGCCATTATCTGTTATTACCATCTTTTAATTAATATCATCACGACTGGATCACGAGAGGAAACGCCTGCTTGGTGGGAGGTGGTAGCCACAGCACAGATACTCTTCTTCGGGTGCCTTAGCTTGGGCTGACTGTGCCTTAGCCAAGGAGCTGCCATGATCACGCTCTTCTATTATCTACCTGCCTCACACCCAGTGTTCCTTTGGAGGTGCATAAGAGCACCTCTTAGGAGTCCGTGTGCGAGGAGTGTGCAAGGATCAATATAGCCTGGGGGCTGCCGCTGGTGGATGACTCTAATGTGTCTGTCTGCACCCCCCACCCCTCCCAGGTGGCACACCTGCCTTCCTGCCCAGCCTGCTGAGCCCCCAGTCCTCCCTGCCCACCTCCAGGGCCCTGGCCACCCCACCCAAGCTCCACACGTGTGAGAAGTGCGGCACCAGCATTGTGTGAGTATTGGCGGCTGGGAGGCAGGCACGCCCAGGCAGGGCCCTGGGGGGGGGGGGGTAGGGGGGTGGAGCCTGGGATGCCCTCAGGAGGACTCTGCAGAGAACAGACTGTCAGGGCCCCTGGAGGGGGGTGGGGTGGGGTTTGTGGGTTATTTTCAGGCTTCTTACAGCCTTGCTGGCTTCTTCCTGCTGCATCTCCTCCTTCCTGGTCTCTCTCCCCCACCCTGGAGGAGGAGGAGGAGGAAGAAATGCTCCTGCTTCTGATTGCTCTCCAATAATCTCAAAGCCTCTGGAGATCTGCCTCTAGATGAGGTGCCTCCTCCTGGAAAATTTTGCTCTTCCCCCCTCCCTCACCCCCTTTGGAAAGAGATTTTCCAGAGGTAGGTTCATTTTTCTCAGTGGGTGGCATTATAATGCAGCCACATTCTCTGGCAAATTGCTGAAAGCCCGCTCCCCCTGCCATAAATTTCTTAACGTGCAGTGTGCAGTGTTGAGGAGCGGATGACTCACCTTAGGCAAAGCCCTTAGCCTCTGCAGGCTTTCGTAATCCCCCTGTGGGATGGGATACTGCTCATGCCCGTTGTGCAGATGCGAATGGTATATCTCAGAGCAGAGGGCAGAGCTCCCCAGGGCTCCTTAGACAGAATGGCTGGCCCATGCCTCAGAGCTTCCTCTTTGGGGATCCCTGGCCCCAGAATTTGCATTTCCGACTTGTCCCCAGGGGTTGCAATACTGAGGGTCCTGGTACCTGGGACCACATTTTGAGAACCACTGCTCCATTAACAACCCAGAAAATTCAGGATGGAGTATGTCTGCCTTTGTGTAAAGGAGAAAGGACTCCTTTTTTTTTTTTTTTTTTTTTTTTAAACTAGAGGTCCTAGGGGTGAGGGTTGGGAGTTATTGAAGTGAGAGCCCCAAAGGAAGCCTTAGGGAGTCCAGGGTCTGAGATTTGGGGATCTTCCCTGACTCTGGGCTGGGAACTAGGCTCCTGGGAAATGAGAATGGCAGCGTCCTGCCTGTCGCCCCATCTCCACCCCAACGCCCCAGGCTAATGGCTCTCCCCTCTCCATCGCCCCTGCAGGAACCATGCTGTACGCATCCAGGAGGGGCGCTACCGTCACCCGGGCTGCTACTCCTGTGCAGACTGTGGGCTGAACCTGAAGATGCGGGGGCACTTTTGGGTGGGAGACGAGCTGTACTGTGAGAAGCATGCCCGCCAGCGCTACTCCTCACCCCCCACCCTCAGCTCCCAGGCCTGAGCTCCTGGCTGTGCTCTCAGCCTGCCCTCAACTCTGTGGGCACCTGTATAGCACGGCCATGCCAAAAGCAAGTTGGCAGGGAAGGGTGGTGGCAGGTGGTGGGGTTCCACCCTCCGCGCTAGGTGAGGCCAGGGCCTGGGACCTGTCCTCATGCACTGTCTCACCGTCCCAGGCTTCTGCTAGGTACTCTCACTTTCCCCCGCAGGACAGGCTGTGCACCAAAGTCTGAGGTGGGCACTGCATTGGGTATCTCTGTGCAACAGGGGTTAGGTGGGGGATGTGACACAGAGATAAATATGTAGAAAGAGAGGGGTGGGCCAGAGGCTAAAGGTATTCACTCTGTATAGTTTTCACATATGAGCTCTATAAATATATATACATGGACAAAACAAAGTAGATCTTTTCTCTCCTTCCCAGCCCGGGCCCCTGGGGAAGAGCTTCTCTCTACAACTGGGGAGAAAGTCCTTATTGACTAATTTTTTCCCTTTTATTTCCCTCCCTCCCATGAACCCCTGCCTTACCAGGTGCTTCACTATGTGATCCCCCTTACTGAAGAGGCTTGCTTCTTTTAGTGGAAGGTTGTGCTCTTTCTGGACAACTTCCCCTCTTTTTTAAAACAATTTTATTTTATTATTTTTAAAGATTTTATTCATCCATCCATGAGAGACAGAAAGAGAGAGAGAGAGAGAGGGGCAGAGACACAGGCAGAGGGAAGAAGCAGGCTCCACGCAAGGAGCCTGACATGAAACTCAATCCCGGGTCTCCAGGATCAGGCCCTGGGCTAAAGGCGGCGCTAAACCGCTGAGCCACCGGGGCTGCCCAAAAGATTTTATTTTTAAGTAATCTCTACCCCCCAATGTGGGGTTTGAACTTACAGCAACAGTTGGTGGAGCACATTTGGTTGCGTGCTCCTCCTGGACCCATTTATTTATTTATTTTAAAGATTTTATTTATTTGAGAAAGAGCACATGTGGATAAGGACGAGTCGGGTAGAGGGAGAGGGAGAAGCAGACTCCCCACTGAGCAGGGGGCTCCATGGGGGGCTTGATCCCGGGATCATGACCTGAGCCCCAGACAGGTGCTAAACTGACTGAGTCACCCAGGTGCCCCACCTCCTAGACCCTTTTTTTTTTTTTTAAGTATTTCTTTCTTTTTCTTTTTTTTTTTTCTTTTTTTTTTTTTTTTATGATAGTCACAGAGAGAGAGAGAGAGAGAGAGAGAGAGAGAGAGAGAGGCAGAGACACAGGCAGAGGGAGAAGCAGGCTCCATGCACCGGGAGCCCGACGTGGGATTTGATCCTGGGTCTCCAGGATCGCGCCCTGGGCCAAAGGCAGGCGCCAAACCACTGTGCCACCCAGGGATCCCCTAGACCCTTTTTTATAGATGCCAGTTTTACTGGGATAATTCCTGGTCCATGAGAGGCGTGAGTTTCTCACTGGGAGCCTGGAGAAGAGGAGAGGTGCTGGAGAGCAGGCAGGAGAAATAGGAGGCAGGCCCGGATGTAAAATCTGTCCAGGGCCTGCTTGGTGAGACAGTGTCATACTCCTCTGGCACTGGCCAGCCTTGGACTCTGTGCTCCTTGCTCTACCTGGGGTGAATGCTGTGAGCCTTGCTGACTTACCCAGATGAGCCGGGTGGGCAGGAGAAGGGCAGCATCCAGAGCACCTCTAGCACTTGGCTAAGGCTGTCTGCACCCATTTGAGAAAGATAATCACCAGAAAGAACCTCGGACAGGGCTGCAGGTTAGCCTTGCCTGGGAAGGATAGGCCAGTGGAGTCCCCATCCCAAGGGACCACCCTACCCACCCTGGGAGACCCCACTGGCTTCATTGGTAGTTGATTTGAGAAACAAAAACAATCAGTGAAGAGTGCTAGGTGAGTCTACCCTCAGGTATGTTTGAGTTGAGGTGGGGGCCAGAGGTTCCCTACCAGATTTAGGGCTTGATTCACCCACCACCCCCAGTCCTAATCCCAAAGGACATTTCAGAAAGGTGTATGGGGGGGTCCCTGGGTGGCGCAGCGGTTTGGCGCCTGCCTTTGGCCCAGGGCGCGATCCTGGAGACCCGGGATCGAATCCCACATCGGGCTCCCGGTGCATGGAGCCTGCTTCTCCCTCTGCCTGTGTCTCTGCCTTTCTCTCTCTCTCTGTGACTATCATAAAAAAAAAAAAAAAAAAAAAAAAAAAAAAAAAAAAAAAAAACTTAAAAAAAAAAAAAACCAGAAAGGTGTATGGGTGCTTCTGGGTGCTCCAGACCTACCCACCCCACCTCCAGGTAGCTTGAGGAATGGGCCACAGCCTCAGCTTTATTTTCATAGAAATGATCAAAGCTGGACTTCAGAGGCTTTTGTGCTGTGGGGCTCTTTTTGGAAGGAACCTTGGTGGAGACTGTTGGTGTTGGCTCCTCAGGCACCTGTTGATATAATTTACACCTTCCTATAATTGTCTCACCTTTTGCCTGGATGGCTGCCTTTATTTTCATAGAAAAGATCAAGGCTTTCTGTGGCTTAGGAGTGCACCAGGCCAGAATACCTGGTCCGCAACGGGACGGCCTCCTTGGCGCCACCTACTGTCAGAGGTAGCCCACGACAGGGAGCTACAGAGGAGAATGCGCCCAAAAGGGGCCATTCACCCCTCCGTCAATACCTGGGTCCTGGCACAGTGAGAATATGGAAAAATATAGCCTTTTTTTGTTGCTTTCCTGAAGGTAATGGTCAAGTGGCAGCAACTGAGATGGCATGAATGAAATAAGACTATATGGCAATGAGTGCTAAGAGCTAATGTGGAACATACGAGGCGGGCCCCCTGAGTACAGAGCAGAGGCCATCTGTGTGTAAGGATGGACAGGACTTGACAGGTGGAATGGACAGACGCCAACCGATGGGGTGGGTGCAGGTGGAATGCTCAGTTTAGGGCAGAGGCTGAAGGAGGTACCAAGAGAAGACTAGAAAGGGAGATGGGAGCCTTGAATGCCAGAAGAAATGGTCTGAACTTCACCTGAGGCTCTGGAAACATTTTGAAAATTTAAAGCAGGGGAGTGACAGGTTGGAAAAGGTGGGCTGGGATATTAACATGGTCAGATCCCCACCTGTAACCAAGCCTGGTGGGCCAGCAGTGTTCTAAGGAGTGGAGGAGAACAAAATGTGGGATAGGAGCCCCTTGTGAAATGGGTATGCCAGTGAGTTGCTGAATGCCTTTGGAAGGCTGGATGGGTTTTTTTGTTTTTGTTTTTGTTTTTGTTTTTGTTTTTTTTGGCTGGATGGGTTGAAGCTGAAATCCAGTTCTTTAGTTGTGGCAGGCAGCTCTCTTTGCAGGAGCCTGAGGATTTCAGAGTGCTGTGCAGCTACACCGCCAGCCTGAGCTTGGGAGCAAAGTTCTTTGGAAGATGGAGTTATTAGCCAAACCCATTGGTCAGAGGAGAAGGTTGGGGGCAGTCTTCGATCTTTTACCTTGCTCTCCCTCCACCCATGCCAAGCCAGCTGTGAGCGCCCACTCCACGTGACCCAGATATAGTGTGTGTGTGTGGCAACTATCTAATTATAAGACTGCAATTTGTCCAGTGCTGTGCCCTCTTGAGTTTTTTTTTTTTTTTTTTTTTTTTGCATTTGGGGGAATAACTTCAGAAATGAAGACAGATTCAAGTTAGAAGTTCCCTGAGAGGGGATCCCTGGGTGGCACAGCGGTTTGGCGCCTGCCTTTGGCCCAGGGTGCAATCCTGGAGACCCGGGATCGAATCCCACGTCGGGCTCCCGGTGCATGGAGCCTGCTTCTCCCCCTGCCTGTGTCTTTGCCTCTCTCTCTCTCTCTGTATGACTATCATAAATAAATAAAAAAAAAATTTAGAAGTTCCCTGAGAGAGTGTCTGGGTGGTTCAGTGGTACAGTGTCTGCCTTCGGCTCAGGGTGTGATCCCAGAGTCGGGGGATGGAGTCCCACATTGAGCCTGCTTCTCCCTTTTCCTGTGTCTCTGCATTTCTCTGTGTCTCTTGTGAATAAATAAATAAAATCTAAAAAAAATAAGTTCCCCAGAGAGCATCTAATATAGCCCCTTTAGTTAGAAATGGGAAGGTGACATTCCCAAAGTTACACGGCTAGATAATCTTAACACACAGGCGTTTTAAGTCCTTTAAGCCTCACAGTTCTGAGATAGGTATTGCTATCCCCTTTCTTCTATAAATGAAGAAACTGTGGACAGGGAGGATGAGTAACCGGTCCAAGCACTCCTAGCTGGTAAGGGGAAGGGGTGGGAATGGCACCTGGAGTCTGAATCCCGCATTTCTGGTTTGGGGTGGGGAGTTTTTGCCCCTCTATCAGCAGAGGCTGCCTCCCAGGCCACAAGGGGGGTCACCATGGCTCCCAGCCTTCTCTACTCTGGCAGGAGCTGCCCCCAGCCTCTTGGCTTTGACCTTCCTCCCACCGGGCCTAGCTCAGTGCTGAGCTTTGCAGGAAATGTGCTTCCTGAAGCTAGGACTTCCCCATGGAGGACGAGGGGCAGCTGGGCATCCCTGGTTTCATCCTGAGAGATGGCTCTGCCCGGCCACCATGTGTCTCAGGAACTCAGGGCAACTGCTCACCAGTCAGGTGGGCAGCGAGGGGGTGGCTTTGCCATTCCTTCAAGCATCTCTCAAAGGGAAAGGATTCTCCCTTAGTAGTAGGGAGGGTGGGAGATACAGAGCCCTCTGGGTGGCGAAGGCCGGACCTAGCCCTGGTCACAGGGCTGCTCCAGTCAGGACTTCAGAAGGCAGATGGGAGGGAAGTGTGGAGCCCCCATGAAGGATCCCCATCACCAGATACCCCTCAGGCATATCTGTGTGGCAGGGTGCAGGCGTGTGGCCTGGAAGGGAGTGTGCTTGGGGGTGTGGGTTCTTTTGAGCCCACACAAAGCCTTGTGCTGAGACACTGCATTCCTGCTGGCTGGGCTTCCTGTTCCAGATGCATTCTTGCCCCAGAGTCACCAGGGAGACTGCTTGGAATCTGGCCCCACATTCTCCAAATTCAGGGCAAGATCTGGCAAAGGTTCCCCCCCTTTACCTCCTCACCCTCTCTTTGGAGGAAGGAAGCCACCTGATAGGGGCCAGCCCTCCAACCCTCCTACCTAGGGAGGGCTGGGGTGGGGTCGGACACTGCCTCTGGGGTTTGGTGCCACACATCCTGTTGGACAAGCATAAAGCAGTTCCTGCCAGGCCCTGCGTTCAGTGTCCCCGTCTATAACTGGGCAAGGGGAATGGAGTAGCGGTGCTGCCTAGAAGGATGGGGTTAGGAGGGGGCAACCCAGAGGACCTATGCCTAGCAGGGTAGGGCTTGGCCTGAAAATCAACGTAATTGAATGGCAGGTAATTAAGGCACTAGGCTCTCATTCTGTCTCCAGACTTGGCTACCGGCTTCCGTTTCCTCTTCGTATACAGTTAGAATCTTCTAGTTTGTGGCCCCCTGGTAGGGCTCCCGTGTAAGGCGTTTGAGGAAGGGTATGAAGGAGCAAGGAGCAGAGCGGGGTGGGTAGTGTCTTCTCCCCTCCCAGTTAACGGCCACTTCCTTCCCAGGGCTCCGGCCCCAGCCCCTCCCCGCGAGGCTCAGGTGCAAGTTTGCACGTCCACCAGCTCCCTTATCTGCCTCCCGCGGGTTTGGGTTCTGCCGGGATTTTTCCAGCCCTGTCCCCTTCCTCCGGAGAGTGAGGTCTCCTTGGAGGCCGGCGGCCCCTCGGGTCACCTTCCGCAGCTCCCCTTTCAGGCTGGGAGCCTCTGGGGGTGAAGGACGGTGGACTGATGGGCCCAGAGAGGACGGGGGTGGGGACACGGCCCCCCGGGCCCAGTTCCCCGAGGTGCTCGGGTGAGGAAGAGGAGGCGGCGCCGAGGGGCTCGGCTCTCGCTGCGGGCACGGGCGCGGGCGCTGGGCGCAGGGGACCGTCGGCCGCGGCGGGCTTGGGGCGGCTGCGCGGCGGGCCCCGGGCACACGGCGCGGAGCGCGGGGCCGCCGGCCGGGGTCGGGGCTCTGCCGCAGCCCCGCGGGGCTCCACTTCCTTCCGCGCTCGCGTCCAGGCCCCGCCAACGCCCCCCATCCGCGGCGGCACCTCGGCGGCAGGAAGACGGAGCAGCCTGGGAACCGGGGGCGGGGGGCGGGGCGGGGCGGGGGCCGCACCTCCAGCCGACGGCGCCCGCGGGCGGGAGCGGGGCGCGCGGAGCCCCGAGATCGGCGGATCCAGGCGCTGCCCCCGCGCCCCCGGCCCCGCTCACCTGCGCGCCCCTCCCCTCCCCTCCCCCCTCCCCCGCCCCCGCCCCCGCCCCCGCCCCCGCGGGAGGGTCCGGGGCCGCGCCCAGCCCGGCCGGACGCGTGCGGAGCCGCCAGCCAGCGGCGGGGGAGGCCGGCCGGGCGCCGCGTCGGGGCCATGCTGGGCCGGCGGCGGGTCTTCGCGGTGGAGCCGCTCGGCGGCCGGGGTGAGTCCCTCCCCCCCCCCCCCCCCCCCGGCCTCCTGCCCCGGGGCCGCCCCCCGCCCCTGCCCGTCCGCCCCGCCCGGCGCGCGGCCTCGCCGCCTCCCCTCGGACGGGCTGGGGGTGGCGCCGCGCCCCGGAGCCCCCGGGGCGGTAGACCGGCCCCCTCCATCCCGGTCGCTCTGACTCCCCCTGTGGACCCCCCCCCCCCCGGTGGCGGCCGCGTTCCCGAAGGAGATCGCCCTCGGCCGGGAGGGGCGGGGGCCGCTTGGCCTGGGGAGCCGGGGGCGGCCGTCGGTCTGTCCGCTCCCGCCGGGCTGGTGCATCAGGCTGGGTGGGCCCAGCGCCGAGGGCAGCCCTGGGGCCGGGCGCGGCTTCGCCTCCGGTCCCCCCGATTCAGCTCCCCCGCCTTTTCCCCCCAGCTCTCCAAAAAGTCTTCACTATTTCTCATTTTAAAGCACAGCAGCCCCCCACGGCTACGGCGATTGTTATTTTTATTACCCTCCCCGGGAGCTCCCGGAGGGACTTGATCTCGCATCCCAGTCCCGACCCCAGGCTTCCTTCTCTGTGCCTTTCCCCGTGTCCCGACGTGGGGGTGGGGGTGGGGGTGGGGGTGGTCACAGTAGGTCACAGCCCTACTGCCCCGTGGGGAGTAGTTGGAGAGACCGAGGCTCCGCGTTCACCACTTGGAGGTCTTAGGCGGACCCGGCTCCAGGGCACAAGGGATCCCACGAAGCAGCAGCTCCCCCCTCAAAAGGGGGACCGGCCAGACAGGGAGCTGATGAATGTGCCCTACCAGGCTTTGCCTACCACACCGTCCAGATCCCCGGGGGGCTGTGATGGCCCACAAAGACTACTTGTGATGGGAACCCATCCTAACTTCTCCAGGCCAGGGAAGGGAGAGACTTGGGCAGGGCGGTGGCCACCCAGTGGCTCGCCTCCCTCCACCTCTGGCCCAGGACACTCCTCCGCGGGGAATGCTGCCAGCTGCCAGGAATGCTGGGGGCGTCAGGGGCGGCCTGCCCAGCCTGATACTCACTCTCCTGGCAGATGGGGTTGCTGAGGACTTGGCACTCGGCTGCGTAGTACCTGGAGTCAGCAGCACCTACAGACGGATCCCGGACGCTGCTCAGGGGTGCTCGCTGGCCTCCTGGAAGGCGGATGGGCAGTTGAGAGGTCCCAGGAGGCAGGAGCCGCTTCTCAAACTGGCCTCCCGGGACTCAGGAGTGGAGATGGTGGTTGGAGACAGCCCCCTGACCGCCTCACCGGGCCTTTCTCAGGACTCTCTGGACTTTGAGCCCACAGGGAGCCCTGAGCCCCCCGCCCTTGCTTCCATGGAGCCTCCCGCCCACCTAGGCCGGCTTGTGGCCAGCCATAAGCTGGAGCAGATGCTGGAGCGGTCCCGCCAACTCCCGGCTTCCCCTGCCGGTGCGCCGCCCCACCACCGCTCCCTGAAGCCACCAAGCAAGCCTGAATATGATGTGCCCCTTTTTGGAGCAGGGGAACGGGAGGCCACTGAGGCAGAAACGGACCTAGAGGCAGGCCTAGAAGAAGCAGAGGTGGTGAGTGCCACGCCACCTCTCAGGCTGGGTGAAGAGTGCAATGGAAATGGCCCTTTCCCACGGGGGTAGGGGGGCGGGGGGTGGGTTGCTGGCTGTGGGGCCTCACTGGCTCTTTCTCCTTGGAGCTCTCTCGGGGTGGGGCATTCCTTGCTTCTAATTGACGGGTTGTTCTTGCCTCGGCCCACTCCCAGCTGTGTGGAGGGGGGCAGTACGGGGCCAGCCTGGCCATGCCTGGCCGGGTAGGGAGGCCAGCTGGTGGTGTGCGCCTACTATCCCCGGCCCCTCTGCTTCCATCTGCTGGCTGCCCAGGATGGGCGTCTGGCTGAGTTCAGGGGTCTCCCCTACCTCACTCTGTCCCACAGGTCGGGGGCCTGGGGCCTGAAGCCTGGGCCTGTCTCCCAGGGCAGGGTCTCCGCTACCTGGAACACCTGTGCCTCGTGCTGGAGCAGATGGCAAGGCTTCAGCAGCTCTACCTGCAGCTGCAGACCCAGAGGCCCCCAAGGGTGAGTGAGCTGCAGGTGGACAGGCCAGTGGGGGGTGGGTGGAGACAGGTGAGTGGGGGAGGCAGAGAAGGTCTGGGACCCCTGGAACCAGGGCTCCCTTCAGAACAGCCTCAGCCCTCTAGTCAGGTCCCAAGTGCCCGTCTGTCCTGTGCACAGGATCCTGAAGCGGAGGAGGCAGAGGAAGAGGAGGAGGTGGGGGAGCCAATCCTGGCACCTTCACCTCCACCTTCTCGTGCCCCAGGCAGTGAGGCACGCAAACTGCTGAGCCAGACACAGGAGACAGGTGAGGGGCCATGGCGTCTCCCACTGTGTCTTGCCTGCCCAGGGCCCCCCAGGCAGACCCTTTGAGTCCTGGCCTTGATGGGTGGCTTCCTGCTTCTGGCCCTAGGTAATCTGATTCTTTCTGAAGGGGCAAAAACAGCAGCAGCCCTAAAGGGAGGGCTGCCAAGTGCCAACCCTGCCAGGCTGTCAGAGGCCACTGCAGAGCCAGCCCACATCTTCCCACCCTCCCAGGGACACAAGGTAGGTGATGGGTGTGTGCGGAGGCAGGTGACAGGATGGAGGGGGTTAGGGGCTGGTTGGGATGTGTACATATCCCAAAGGCTGGAAACACTCAGAAAGTGATGGAATTCCTGGTTGGAGAGGGTGACTTGTCCTGGCTGTGGTGCCTGCTGTCTCTGGGAGCTTGGTCAGGGGTGCGTTGTGGGGAGGAGCTCTGTGGTGATCCCCCCACCCTCTGCTCAGCCGGATCTCTCCCACTGGAACAAGGTCAAAGTCCTGCTCAACCGGATCCGTCGGAGGAGCCCGAAGCACGCTGAGTCCCCTGCCCCTTCTGATGGGCGTGCCCCTAGGTGAGTCCTGGGGCCCAGCCCAGGTTAGGGCAAGGAAAGGAGTGATGAACCCAGATGCTGAGATTGGACTGCCAGTTGTGGGTTTTTTTTTTTTTTTTGGGGGGGGGGGTCCTTTTGAAATCTGAGAGATGCAGGTAGTCTTGGAGAGGGTGCTGGAAGAAACAGAAAGTAGCTAACACATCCCGTTTACAGAGGAGGAGGATGGGGACTGGACTGGGGAAGGCAGTTGCTTTCCTGAGGCCACATGTGTGGTGAGACGGTGGCAGGGGCAGGGCCAGAAGAGGGGAAACCCCCTCATGTCCGCCCAGCAAGCCCTCACCCCTCGCAGCTGAACCTTAGGCCACCTCCCAGATTTGCTGGGAGAGCAATGGGACACAGAGGATTCCCCAATAGATGATGGGGGGTGATGGTGAATAACTCAGTGGGGCAAGGAAGCACCATGCCGAAGTCCCCGGCTCCCGACGGCAGGTAGGCAATTCCCCATCAAGTCTGTGGCCATTGCTGCCTTCGTGTCCCCCTCCTAGCCTAAAGCTACCTTTCCTTTTGCTCAGGATTGAGTCAAGGGGGGTCCCCGAAAGACCTCCATGCCAGCCACTCCGGAAGACCTTTATGCCATCATTTGTGGTTAAGAAGCAGCGAGCGAAAAACCTCTCTGTATGCTGAGACCTCCTGGTGCGGGACGTGACCCCTGGTGGAGGGGTGTGCAGTGAAGTCTTCTTCCTCGCCCTTTGCCCTCTGCTGCTTCTGGGCACTGCCAGGAAAAGCTGCTGATACTCTTCTCTCTGAGGAGAGAGCTGGATCTTTCTCCTCTGGGCAGCCTGGTAGAGGAGCCCTGGTTCCCTGAGAGGCCCCCCAGGTGTGGCAGCCCCCGGGCTCCTTACTGGTTGCCAGAAATCCCTGGTCCTAGACAATGTGAACTAACTTATTTATCCGGAGTCCTTGGAGCAGGTTTGGCACCATGTCCTACTGGGGCATGGCGTGTCACAGGCGTGGAGCTATGCAAAATGATACGTGTATCTCTGTGAGTGTGTCACTGTTGCGAACTGGCTGGATCCATCCAGTGTCTTCTGAATCATGTGCTCAGGGGGTTGGTCCTCTGGGTGACATAACTGGTGAGGTAACTGCGGAAGGATGGAACCGGCCTTCATTCCTCAGTGGTCTGATCTGGAGTCTTGCTTCCTCCTCATACCTTCGTGGGTAGCCCCAGGACGGGGCAGGAGGGCCCCACCTTGGGTGCCTCTGCAGAGAGCTTGCCTGTGGAGCAGAGCTCCTGAAGACCGAACCCGGAACGGAAGGTCAGGGACAACGTGGAGAAGAGCAGAGTAACCTTCAAGATCTGTCCTCCGCCGCTTCGGTCCCTTTACACATCAGAGCCAAAACCAGAGACTCCTACTAGCTTTATGACCTTGACAAAAATCCCTTAACTTTTCTGAGCCATGGCTTCCTACTTAACCTCCCAGATGGTTTCATGATACCTGCCCCACCTACCTCACAGTCTTGTTATGAAGATAAAATGAGATTAAACTGTCTCATCCAAGTGCACTGTGAATGTTAAATGAACGGGGAGGGGGACACCCTGGAGGGAGGGAGGACGGGGAGGCCTGAGGCGGCTACAGGAGGACTGGGGCTGCCAGTGGAGACTTAAGTGGCCAGTGAGGAGCAGGCAAGACTTGAAGCAGGTCACTTCTCCAAGGTCTTAGGTTTCATAGCTTGAGAATTAGGGCACCGATTCCTGACCTCTGTGACCTTCCAGAGTTGTGAGGACTAAAGGAAAATGTTCCTGAGCACGTGGTAAATGTCTACCAAGATATTGTGGTGGTTTATTTGTTGCAGCGCCTGAGGCTCCCAGCTCTTTGGGAATTGAGGACGGGGAAAAGGCTCAGTCTCCAGTAGGTATCCGGAGGTCGGGAGGGGAGCTGTCAATGCAACGGCCGGGCTGGGGATGAAGTCGCGGGCTTGAGTCCCTCGGGAACGCCTCCTAGAGATGGCCACCGCGGGGGCGCCCCTCCGCCCTCAGTCAGGAGGGGCTGTTTCTGCGGCTGCAGCCCGGGGCTCCGCCAGAAGGAGGCCAGGTGTCGGGCGGTAGGTGCTCTCTGTAGGGGTCCTGCTCCTGCCGGTTTTTTTTTTTTTTTTTGGATTAGGAACCAATGCGCCAGAACCTACTTTTCCAATGGGACCGTTAAGCGGGGGCACCACCGAGGCCCGGCTTCCTAACGCGCATCCGATCGGGGAAGGCGCACTTCCGCTCCACAGTTGGAGCGGGATGGCAGGCCGGCGTGGGGGAAGGGAGAAGTCGGTGCAGAGGAGGGAGGGACCATATCCGGGAGAGTGGCAGCTTCCGACCAGTGGTCGCGCTTCCGGAGAGGCGCTTCCGGTGGTGGCGGCAGCAGCGGCTGTGGTGGTTCCGGGTGTCTTTGTCCCCCCGGTGTCGCGGCCCTGGCCCGCAGGTGGGTTGGGGGGCCCCCCGCCGCCCCTCTGCCCGTCTGCCCCTCCCCCGGCCGAGGGGCTGCGAGGGCCGGGCGGCCAAGATGCACGGGGCGCGGAAGGGGCCGAGCCCCCCTCGGACTGCGAGCCCCGTCTCCCTGGCAACGGCCTCGGCCCTGGGGGCGGGCGGGAGGAGGAGGAGAAACCGCGCGCCTCGGTCCTCCCACGGTGGCCCCGCCGCGGCCCGGCCCGGGAGGCCCGGTGCCGGCGGCTGCTGAGGCGGGAGCGGGGGCCCGGGGCGCTCGGGCGCTCGGGAGCTCGGGAGCGGCGGGGCGGGCGGGCGCGCTGCCGGATTCGCGTCGGCCGGGCCCCGGGGCTCCCTTCGCAGCAGCCCGTCCGGGGAACAACGGGCCGGGCTTCCGGGGACAGGGCCCACGCCTCCTCCTCTCCCGCACCGGCCTCCTCCATTTTCCCGGGCCTGGTGGAGGGCCTTTTGACGGATGTATTTGAATGAATGAGTGTCACCGGGGTCTCCGCAGGCATCCGCGGAGAGGGAGAGGGGCGCCAAGTCGTTGGCGACCTGGGTGCGAGGCTCAGCTCTGTCACCGACTGGTGATGTGACCCTCGGCAAGCCTCAGTCTCTTCGAGCTTCAGTTTCCTTTTCTTTAAAAACAGCCTGACAGCATCACCCACCCCGACACTACCGTGAGGGCACCCTGGAACGGTGTAGTTTTTGCATTTCCTGCTTTATGTGCTCTCCAGCTCCTCCATTCATTCTCCGTACCCACCTGCACACCTACATCAAGATCCTCCGTTACTTTTTGGCTGGGGTGTCTGTGTGTGTATGTGGGGGGGGGGGAGTCGATGGAAAATTTCCCTCTGAGCTCTTAACTTCTTTCTTTTCCAATTAAAGGTTTTTTTCTAAGACTCTGAAAGAGGACAGCATTCCCAATGTCCCAGTTTAAGCGCCAGCGGATCAACCCGCTTCCAGGGGGACGCAACTTTTCAGGTGATCACCTTTATCCCTGTTTGGCCCCGTAGTGGGTATGATGTGCTTTGGAGTTAGTCTTTTAAAATGTGGTTTTGGGGGTTTCTCTGGGGGAGCGCCGTTTGCTGCCCACGTTTCATAGGAAGATAGGAGGCGAGCAGGGTGGTGGCAAGTGAGACCCTGCGGAGGAGTCGTTTCGAGTCCCTTTGCCCTTTGGGTCCGCCGTACCTTCTGGTGGACTCTGGTGCTCAAAATGGTGGGTGCAGCTCCTGGAGATTGCTTCTCTGTCCACATAGGCGCAGCTTCAACATCTCTTCTGGGTCCTCCTCCTGGTTTGCTCACTCCTCCTGTGGCCACAGACCTGTCCCAAAATGCCAGGCACCTTCAGGTAGGTTGTGCATTTTTTCTAGTGAGCTTCAGCACTTGGGACTAGCGCAGCATGCATGGGTGCCTGGTGCTTTCATTCTTGCATTGCCATGTTCATCCTTCCTGGAGCTCCTGGCCTGGGCCAGGATGGAGGTAACTAGACACCTCTGACCAGGAGTCCTAAGTTCTGGCTGAAATCTCTTGGGTGCTTCTTGGAATTAAAGAACTGGAAATCCCAGAAGAAGCCTTGAGCTAAGGTTCAGTGTGCTTTCTTCCTCCTCCCGGCAGTAGATTATGACTGTTCTGTCTGTGTGCTTCCTTCATGTGACCCTTGATGCCATCCTCTGTTGAGCTAGATGGGGTTTGGCCAGAGATGAGATACTAATGGCAGAGCGTGGACAAATGCTGTTACTTTCAAACTGCACTATTCTCTTACAGGGTGGGGAGAAGCAGCGGGTCTTCACTGGCATTGTTACCAGCTTGCATGACTACTTTGGGGTGGTGGATGAAGAGGTCTTTTTTCAGCTCAGGTAGGCTTGAGGTTAGTCTCTTTCTGGAAATGCTTGTTGAATTCAGTTCTGTCACCATGCTGGTAGGGCCCCTCTGAAGCCATTGCTTTGCTGTTTTTATGCAAGGTGTGCGAAATCTTGATGGGCAGGGCCTCATAGGGGCAGGCAAGGTGGCTTGGCCAGGGTCTCTCTCCTGACTGGGTCTCCTGGCTTGTGTGCTGGCAGTGTGGTGAAGGGCCGGCTGCCCCAGCTGGGTGAGAAGGTACTGGTGAAGGCTGCATACAACCCAGGCCAGGCAGTGCCCTGGAATGCTGTCAAGGTGCAAACGCTCTCCAACCAGGTATTCGTCTTTCTGGTGTCTGCATTGGAAAGGGGAGGGGGGGATCCCCCAGTGCCTTGACAGCTGGGCAAGAACCTTACTTTTGTCAAGGGGTAGGGCTGTATCTTTCCAAGGTAGTGAGCACATCAGCCATAGGATTCCCTGAATTTCCTGGTTACTGTCCTACAGCCCCTGCTGAAGTCCCCAGCACCTCCCCTTCTACATGTGGCAGCCCTGGGCCAGAAGCAAGGGATTCTGGGAGCTCAGCCCCAGCTGATCTTCCAGCCTCACCGGATTCCTCCGCTCTTTCCTCAGAAGCGTGCGTACCAGTGGGATGGATGTTGGGGTGTGGCTTTATGGGGTATTTTGGATGAATGAGCCTGTAACTCTCAGGTTGTTACTCTCAGACTAGGAGGGGGTACTTTTATCACTGGAGGAAAGGGACAGGGAAGTTGGGCAGATATGTAGGGTTTTAGAGTCACCAGCCATTTCTTCTCTGTAGCTCTGAGTCTCTTCCAAACATCCCACACACTTCATCTGAGCCACCTGAACAGATTTCCTGCTCGGGGCCCTCACGGACGATTGGATCAAGGCCGAAGGTAAGAGAATGATCAAATAGGGAAGATACTTTATTTGTCTCTAGGAGCAGTGTCTCTTTGCCACCTGTTGACACCAACATTCTCTTTCTGCAACTAGATCCTGGGCCTTTTCCCCTGAAATAAGTTGATGCACTGAGATGTATATGCTGATGTCAGAACTTTATAAATTGGTTCAGCAGGGATTTGATAATATAGTTTATCTTTCAAAATACCACATTGAATTTTTAAAATATAGAAATTTCCCTTTTAATTCTTGTCCTTAAGACTGAGATGCCAAAAATCAAAACTATGCAGAATCTGGTGACTGTCCAAAAAATGGGAATGTCTTAATTTGTAGTATAACTTTGTAGTATAAATGTCTTAATTTGTAGTATAAAGTTTCTTTATATACACTGTACACCTCAGTGTAGTGTTAGAGTCTATAGGTTGCACTCTTCCCAAAAGTCCAGGCCTGTGCCTAGAACATGTAGATAGCTTCATGGCACAGCCGGCATGGTAGCTTTGGGACGTTGGGGGTGTTTTAGGCCATCCTGTATCATCTCTGAGCTTCAGGGACTGCTGGGAGCACACTCCCCATTCTCTCCGGCTCATGTGTTCCTTCTCCTGCCTTACTCTCTCCCTAGAAGGTTATGCTTATATTCCTAGGAGTTAAGCTCTGGGCTAGTTCGTTGGAGACTGGTTTTAGTTCTTCTGTCGGTCCTTACTTTAATTTTTTTATTATGGAAAATTGCAAATATAAGCAAAGCAAACAAAAGGATGTTCCCTTGGGCTAGGTCATCATGAACTCTAACTAGGAGAATGGTTCTGTGGTCCAGGATTGTTTTCTACCGTGCTTCCACTACTTGAAACGCCTTGTTCTGTCCTCAAGTCACTGGTGTATATTTTGCATACACCTACACCTCTTGTCCTGTGCATCTTCCCTGTCTCCAATTTTCAGACTTTGTACCTCTCCTATCCTGTGGGTTTATTAAAGGCATCATTACCAAATCACAGCAAGTGCCCTGAGGGATAGTGTAGCCTGGATGGGAATCAATGGTTGCTATTGACTTTGTGCTTTAGTTTCAAATTCTGTATAGTCACATGCATTTGATTGTTCTGGACACGCCAAGCCCTGTGTGAGGCCTGTGTGACATGATTCTCACCATAATGCTTTGGCGTTGTGACTTCTAGAGAAAGGAGGTCTTGCCACTGGCTGAGAGATAGCACCATCAGTCAGTACAGAGAGGCTGCGAAGTAGGAAAGGGAGCAGTAGAAGTTAGGTCACTCGGGGAGAACAACAATTTACAAAGGAGTCCAGCTACTTTAGCATTCTGACTGGAAGCCAAGTTTTATTTTAAATTTCAGGTTTTGGGATAATGGTGGTGGGAGGTAGTGGAGGTAACGGTGTCTCCGTTGGACTGCCAGTACTGAACTGCTGAGGTTTTTGGACAGGCGTATCCAGCGGGATGCCATCGCAGCATCCTGCTGAGGTTACTGAGATGTCTCCCACTGGTACCACTTTTCTAATGTGTTCTTTACAATTCACAGTGAGGAGAGAAAACTGGCCATTGAATTCTAGGATTCAGTGGGACATCCACCGTCACTAGGGGTGGACAGCCTTTACTGAAGTGTTCACCCAGTCGTGGATGAGCTGAGGAGAGCTGTCAGAATGACTCTTAGAAAACGTGCAAGTACTGACATCCTGTAAAGGCAAGATTGCAAGGCAGCTTTTGGATGGAGATGCTAATAAACCAGGAAATGAGCCAGGCAGATAGAGAAATGATGAAAAACTTTGTGTTGAATGTAATGAACTTAGATGCCCAGGGCTGGAATGATCAGGAAAACAAGAAAGGTGGGTCTGAAGGGAAGAGCAGAGGCCTTCTGGTAAATAGGCTGCAGTCTGCGCCATACCTGGGCAGGAAGAACTGACAGTGATTTCCTTTCTCTCGTGAGACATGCGGGTTTTGTTTTCTCTTATCAGTCTGGCATTTTATAATGGTCTAAAGGTTTTTCTTTTTTTGTTTTTTCTTCTGAACCCATAAAGTAGTGAAACTGTCATAAGTATAGAAATGTATAAAGTAGTACATGCTATTAGGTAGGTAAAGTTAAAATACAATAAAAATGTGTCATTCCCTGTAAAGGTTACCATTCTTTTTTTTTTTTTAAATTTTTTTTTTTAAGTTTATTTATTTATGATAGTCACACAGAGAGAGAGAGAGAGAGGCAGAGACACAGGCAGAGGGAGAAGCAGGCTCCATGCACTGGGAGCCCGACATGGGACTCGATCCCGGGTCTCCAGGATCGCGCCCTGAGCCAAAGGCAGGCGCCAAACCGCTGCGCCACCCAGGGATCCCAAGGTTACCATTCTTAAAGATCTTTAGAAAACAATTTTGAAAAGAGAAATTGCTTACTGCTTTTTTTTTTTCTATGTTCTTTTGTGGTCTCTATAAGCATACTTTTTATAATTTTTTTCAATTTTAATTTTAAAAAATTTTAACTTTAGAGTCCAAATTATTTCTATACATTGTGATTAAAGTGATCAGACATTTTTTTCCATATTGCGGTATAATCCTAAAGTTCAAATATTAACTAGATTTGAATGTGGTTTTCGTATTCTTGGCTTGATTTTTTTTTTTTTTTTTTAAGAATTTATTTATTGGGGGCGCCTGGGTGGCTCAGTGGTTGAGTGTCTGCCTTTGGCTCAGGTTGTGATCCCTGGGTCCTGGGATCGATGGAGTCCCACGTTGGGCTCCCTGCGGGGAGCCTACTTCTCTCTTAGCCTGTCTCTGCCTCTCTCTCTCTGTCTTTGATGAATAAATAAATAAAATCTTTTTAAAAAAATATTTTATTTTATTTTACTTTATTTTATTTATTTTTTATTGTAGAGAGAGAGCATGTGAATAGAAGCAGGGAGAGAGGCAGAGGGAGAGTGAAAGGGAGAAGCAGACTCTCCTTTGAGCAGGGAGCCCGATGTGGGGCTCGATCACAGACCTCTGGAATCATGACCTGAGCTGAAGGCAGACAGACGCTTAACTGACTGAGCTACCCAGGCGCCTCTCAGCGTGAATTTTTTCCACTATTCATAGTCTTATGTTTTTCTTTTGAGTTAACTTCCTTGGGATAATATTTTCAAGAATGGAATAATTGGATCAAAGGGTTTTAGTGTTTTTATGACTTAAATGCATAGTGCTAAGGGTTTGTTACAAGAACTGTCTCTTAATAAAACTTCCTTTATAGAATCCTTTGCATGATGCTATATATGTGTCTCGTGTTAAAAATCAGTTAAAATCTTGGCATTTCAAAAAATTATGTTAGCTATAATTTTTAAGTTCAGAAAAATACAAAAAAGAAAATTATTCACAAGCCTTACCAGTCAGAGGTGTCCATCATTAATACTTTCTAAGATATATTTTTTAAAAGTAATCTTTGCACCCAGCCTGGGGCTCGAACTTACAACCCTGAGATCAAGAGTCACATGTTCCACTAACTAAGCCAGTCAGGCGTGCCCCAATACTTTACTACTTTTCAGTCTTTTAAAGCTTTTTTTGCACAGTTGAGACAATACTATATACATACTTTCCTGTACTAGTCTTTTTGCTCATCATGGGTGGTTTTCTGTTTATAAGTATTTAAATGTTCATTTTAATAACTTTATAACAATGTTATAAATGTTAGATGGCTGTTAGCTAGGCTTCTTTATCCATTTCTTTGATGTTGGGGATTCAGATTGTTTCCAGTTCTTTTAGGCCAGTAGGTATTGAATCTTAATGTAACATTGTGGTTTCTTCCTTCTGGTGATGGATCAACCCCCCCAGCGATGACTATGACTCCAAGAAACGCAAGCAGAGGGCTGGTGGAGAGACTTGGGGTGCTAAGAAACCAAGGCATGACCTGCCTCCTTACCGGGTCCATCTCACTCCCTATACTGTGGACAGGTGAGTGGTGAGGCTGGGGTGGGGGGTGAGGCTTTTGCAGCTGGTAACAGTTTCTTGTTTAAATGAGATACAGTCTGTGCAAGAATAAGTGTGTTTGTGTGTAGGGTCATGTCCCTAGGACCTTTCTGTTTCTTAATCTAACAATTTTTAGATTCTTTTTTTTTTTTTAATTTTATTTATTTATTCATGAGAGACACAGAGACAGAGAGGCAGACACACAGGCAGAGGGAGAAGCAGTCTCCTCGCAGGGAGCCTGATGTGGGACCCGATCCTGGGACCCCAGGATCATGCCCTGGGCCAAAGGCAGACACCAAAATGCTGAGCCACCCAGGGATCCCAGTTTTTAGCTTCTGAATCTCCAATTTTGACCATCATAGTGCCTTGGACATGGATGCCTTGATAGAGCTTTTGTGATTTTATCACCAGAAATAATTATGCCAGGTTATCATTAAGGTTTACCAGTCAGAATCCAGGTACCCAATACCAGTTCTAATTTAGGTAGAAAAGTCCTGATCTTAGGCACCCTGGGACTGGTTTTCCAGGGGGACCTTAGACTCATTTTTAGAGTGCTCCAGAGCATGGGAGGACTCTGGCCTGCAAGCTTATGTATCGTGCTTCGGAACTGATTGACTCAGAGGCAGATGAGTGATTCCAGCAGCGTGGAGGCAAGGCTCTGGCCACTGCCCCGGTAGCAAAGTTCACCTAAGCCCGAGCTCAGGGGAGGGGGCAGCCTCCTGGCACCTCCTCCTCGAGGTGCAAGGGAAAGAGGGCTTGTTGCTGCCCTTTCTGGCATCAGTGGTTCCTCTCTGCAGGGCCGGGTAGGGCCTGTCCCGTGCCCCCTGCTAACCCAGCTGCTTTCCCAGGTTAGTCTCATAGGATGGTGTGGTCCCCGTATCTTGGAGAAGGATGCAGGTAGCGCCTCCTGCTAATCAGAATGTGACTGCCGGCAGGTAGCCACACACATGTCTACGGAAGCCTCTTGTACATACTGGTTGGGATTTTGCTTTTTCACTTAATGTGTCTTAGAATTTATTCCATGTTAGCATTTGTTAGATTAGTCTCATACTTTTCACCACCTACGCAATATTCCACTGAATGGATAGACCATTTATTTCACCAGCTCTCTGTTTCCACATTTTAATCATCCTACATACTGTTGTCACAAACAGTCCATGTGGACAGGGGCAAGTAGTTTACTGAGGTCATTTCCTGGAAATGGAGTAGCTGGCTCAGAGGGTCTGATGTTGAACTTGCACATCCATTGCCGGTTCTCTCAAAGAGGCTGTGTTGGTTTCCATTCTTGCCCAAGGGGCCTGAAGTGCCCAGTTTTCCTTTCCCCCTGCTGTTGGCAGTGCTATGCTACCAAACTTTTCAATCCTTGTCAGTCTCTCTGGAGAAAAGTAATATTCTGATTTGCATGTCTTTAATTCTAAGTGAGATTGAGCAGGCGTTCACAGGCTTTTAAGTCTCTTTTCTTTTTCTGGTAAATACCTGTTGATGACCATTTTCTCAGTTTTCTCTCAGACTCGTGAACCTTCTTGTGAACCTGATATAATTTGTGTTTGCTTCTCTTCAATCAAGATAGTGAGCCATAGCTGTCAGATATGCAAATGTTTTTCTGTTTTTTCTTTCCCAGTTCGACTTTACTTTGCTGTTAAGAGGCTGAAACATTTTAGTGGTCAAATCTCATCCATCTTTTTCTATTCAGAGATGTCTTCTTCCTAGATTAGAAAATAATTTGCCCTTTTTCTCCCCCCAAGTCTTTCATGGTTCCATTTTTTAAATAGTGTGGTCTTTGCTCAGTCTGGATCCCCTTGTTTTCTTCCCCCAGCCCTACCTGTGACTTCTTAGAGCTCCAGCGCCGCTACCGCAGCCTCCTGGTGCCCTCAGATTTTCTGGCTGTGTGTCTGAGCTGGCTGTCAGCCTTCCCTCTGAGCCAGCCCTTTTCCCTCCATCCTCCAAGCCGCATCCAGGTATCTTCTGAGAAGGAGCCAGCTCCAGATGCTGGTGCTGAGCCCACCCCTGCAGACAGTGACCCTGCTTACAGTTCTAAGGTAAGAGGACTGAGGTCCTGCTGCCTTGTCCCATGGTTGGAGGCCAGTAAAGTTCTTGAGCGTGTCCTTCATGCTGCCCTGCACAGGTACTGCTGCTCTCTTCCCCGGGACTGGAGGAACTGTATCGTTGTTGCATGCTCTTTGTGGATGACCTGGCTGAGCCAAGGGAGACACCAGAACATCCTCTGAAGCAGATTAAAGTAAGAGCTGGAGTTCATGAGGCAGGAGGTAGTCCTGGATGACGGCCAGGCCCTGTCACGTTTTCAGCAGCCTGGCTCCTGTTCACGAGCTCATAGAAACAAGGAGCCCAGAACCGAAATGACCACTCATTTCACCAGAAGGACAGCATGGCTTAGGGTGTTCTTGTCAGAAAAAGTTACATGGCTAGTTCATGTTTGTAGGTGGAGAGATCCATCCTCCCCTGCTTTCCACCCCGTGTGGCAGACTCTTCACCATATCCTGCTGCTTTCAATCCCCAGGGGTGGTGAGCTGCCTCCTGGTGAGAGATCCAGATAATTGTTTTTTTATCTCATATATTTTTGCAGTTTTTGCTGAGCCGGAAAGAAGAAGAAGCAGTGCTGGTTGGGGGGGAGTGGTCTCCCTCTTTGGATGGCCTCGACCCCAAGGGCGACCCGCAGGTGCTAGTCCGCACTGCCATTCGCTGTGCGCAAGCCCAGACTGGCATTGACTTGAGCGCCTGCACTAAGTGGTGAGTGGCTGTCCTGGGCTTCTCTTTGGTGGCTCATTGGCACGACTGTCTGGGAGACCAGGTTCCTGTGCCTTTCTGAACTGTCAGCACTCTTCTTTTCCCCCAGGCCTACCTCACCCCTCCCTCCAGCCCTTGCAGATGATTGTCTTGGTTGTGAGCATGACTAGGATGTGTATGTGTGTTGAGAGCCAGCCGACCCTTCAAGGCTTGTCACATGCAACCCCCCAGCCACGTTAGTGGTCCTTGGTGCTGGGAGCACCCTGGATAGTAATTGCTTACTCATGTCGGCCCATTGGGGAACCACTTCTTGAGGACTTGGTCTCTTTTGTTTTCATGTTTTCAAAGCTGCATGTGCAGTATGTGCTCATTAAATGTTGGTTGGAAACTGAAGCACCTGTGAAGGTTGTGGGTCAGGACTTCTTTTTTCCTTTTGCCGTGAGCAGGTGGCGCTTTGCTGAGTTTCAGTACCTGCAGCCGGGTCCCCCAAGACGGCTCCAGACTGTGGTGGTGTACTTGCCAGATGTCTGGACCATCATGCCTACTTTGGAAGAGTGGGAGGCCCTGTGCCAGCAGAAAGCTGCAGAGGCAGCTCCCCCAGCCCAAGAGGTGTCCGGGGTAAGGCTAAGCCTTACAGACAAGTGGGCAGAGTGGGTGCCCTGACCTCTGGTCGCAGGTGGTCATAGCTCTTGGCTTTTGTCGCAGGAAGCAGAGCCTCCGGAGCAGGCAGCTGATACATCAGAGCAAGTAGCAGACACCTCTAAACAGAATGCGGAGAATCCAGAGGCCACCACACAGCAGGAAATGGACACTGATCTCCCCGAGGCCCCTCCACCCCCTCTAGAACCTGCTGTCATGGCCCGCCCTGGCTGTGTAAACCTGTCCCTCCATAGCATTGTGGAGGACCGGAGGCCAAAAGAAAGGATCTCTTTTGAAGTAGGTGTAGGGGTTTGGAAGGGCTGTGTGGCAGGGTGTATGGGATGGAGGGCTTGGAACATTCCCTTTCTCCAGATGCTCACGGGCTGCTGTTGTCTCTTCCACAAGGTGATGGTGTTGGCTGAGCTGTTTTTGGAGATGCTCCAGAGGGATTTTGGCTATAGGATTTATAAAATGCTGCTGAGCCTTCCTGAAAAGGTAGTGGCTCCGCCTGAACCTGAGAAGGAGGAGGCAGCCAAGGAAGAAGAAGCAGTCAAGGAAGAGGCTGCCAAGGAGCCCAAGGATGAGGTACAGAGTGAGGGCACAGCTGCCGAGTCAGACGCCCCACCGGTGAGTACTTCTGCTGCCCGTCTGGGCACTGGGGCTGCACACGGGAGTGCCGAGCGGGTTTGAGCACTGCTGGGGGTCCTGCGGGGCTCTTCTCACTGTCCCCTCACTGCCTGCATGCACCCCGTTGCCTTGGCACGTCCTCAGGAGCAGGGCACTGCACTCTGCCAACTGGCCACACAGCCAGGAGGTGGGGTGCTGGGAGGGAGGTGGGCCTGGAAGTGTGGCCGATGGGCCACGGCAGCATAGAAGTTAATATGCTCTGAGGACAGGGGTTTTGGCTCCTTGACGGTTAACTAGCACACTGCATTTTCTTAATGCTTTCTAAAGTGCATGGGTCTGCTTCTTCCTAAATGCTATTGAGTAAATGTAATTTCTTATGGGACTGAAATTGACTCTTAAAGAGAATGCCAGGTGCCTGAGAATTGCCCTAGTTCACTCCGAACCCCATGTCACAACGCAGTAAACCAGACTGTATGGAGAAACCTTACCGCGGTGCCCAAACACGGCCAGCGCACAAATGTCGGCTCTTATCATCGTTAGCGGTTACAGGTGACCATTCGCATCTTGGTTTGCTTCCAGAAGGAAGATGGGCTTTTGCCCAAACCTCCGTCTTCCGGGGGAGAGGAAGAAGAAAAACCCCGGGGTGAGGCATCCGAGGACCTCTGTGAGATGGCCCTTGACCCAGAGCTGCTCCTTCTAAGGGATGACGGCGAAGAAGAGTTTGGTACGTTCTGGCATCACGCAGCAGCCGCCTGGCTCTGTAGCTGGTGCTCTCCTGTCATGGCTGTGCATCTGGGCCCCCGGGGGGGGGGGGGGAGGGGTCTCCTTGCTCCCTGCTTATCTCGGGCTTCCTGTAGCAGGAGCCAAGCTGGAAGATTCAGAGGTCCGGTCGGTTGCCTCGAACCAATCAGAGATGGAGTTCTCCTCTCTTCAGGACATGGTGAGACCTCTTTCCTGCTCCCCCTACCCCACTGACAGTGAAGCCTAGCGAGGCCTCTGACTCACTGCTGGGATGGGGAGACTTTACCGTATGACTCCTGGCATTCTCTGACCGACAAAAGACAAATGTGGTTCTTGGCTTGCGGAGCGGTACTTTCACAGGACCCGGGATGCTTTAGTAGCTCCATCTGGGCGAACCAGGGCGGTGTCTGATGCAGGAGCACACTCGGCTCCTGTGTGTGTGTGACAGCCCCTGGTGCCCAAGTGGCCCAGGCTCCCATCTCCAGCTGGAAGGGGTACCCAGGTGTGATGATGTCAGCTCCTTTTTCAGGGGGTTACCTCCTGGGTGATTTTGCTGTTCAGAGAATGCTTTGTAAATCTTGTTCATCCTTGTCTGTCTTGCAGCCCAAGGAGCTGGACCCCTCTGCCGTGCTCCCTTTGGACTGTCTTCTTGCTTTTGTCTTCTTTGACGCCAACTGGTGTGGCTACTTGCACCGGCGGGACTTGGAGAGAATCCTGCTCACCCTTGGGCTCCGGCTCAGTGCAGAGCAGGTGCCTGCTCTTATATCCCCTCAGGCCTCCTCAGATGGCCTCCCCTGGCGCCTGTGCATGCACTGGACTCCCATGGGTGGCTCAGGGTGCTTGCATGTCACAGGGGCGAGGGCTGCCCCTTCTCGTCAGTGGGTATTTTCGGTGTGTGTTTTCTGTAGGCCAAACAGCTGGTCAGCAGGGTGGTGACCCAGAACATCTGCCAGTACCGCAGCCTTCAGTACAGCCGCCAGGAGGGTACAGACGCCGGGCTTCCCGAGGAGGTGCTCTTCGGTGCGTCCTGAGGAGTGCCCTGCAGCCTTCCCAGGAGGACGGGCAGGGCAGGCTGCTTTCTCCTCCTGAGAACCTCTCCCTAAATCTTCACGGCCCCTTCTAGGAAACCTGGACCTGCTACCTCCTTCGGGGAAAAATGCAAAACCAGGTGCTGCTCCCACGGAACACAAAGGCCTGGTGTCCCACAACGGCAGCCTCATCAACGTGGGGAACCTGTTGCAGCGTGCAGAGCAGCAGGACAGCGGACGGCTCTACCTGGAGAACAAGATTCACACACTGGAACTGAAGCTGGGTGAGTGGCCTGCGGCTGCAGGGACCCAACCAGGATAGGACATGCAGACGTGTGTCTTCACAGGCTCCTCCTGCCTCGGGCCTCTTGCCCTGGGCTGCGACACTCAACCTTAGCAGGGGTCTTTCTGCCATTTCCCCCCACCAGAGGAGAGCCATAATCGGTTCTCGGCCACGGAGGTGACGAACAAGACACTGGCGGCGGAGATGCAGGAGCTGCGCAGCCGGCTGGCCGAGGCGGAGGAGACGGCCCGGACGGCCGAGCGCCAGAAGAACCAGCTGCAACGGCTGCTCCAGGAGTTCCGGAGGCGCCTGACCCCCCTGCAGCTGGAAATGCAGCGGATGGTTGAGAAGGTGAGCCCTCTCCCCACCCGGGGGAGAGCCAGGCCGGCTCGGTGTCCTGGCGGGAGGCTGTGAGGGCGATAGCCAGCCACCGCTCTGCCCCTCCCGCCTGCACCCCAGTTCGCCACACCTCGCCTCGCCTTCCCCACTTGCTCCTTTCTGGGGATGGGTGTCAGTCTGGCCTCTGCTGCAGCCTGCTCCCAGCAAGGGGGGTCGGTGGGCACCCCCGTCCTGGACCTTCCTCCTCAAGTCCTGATTCTCGTTACAGGCTGACAGCTGGGTAGAGAAGGAGGAGCCGGCACCTAGCAACTGAAGGGGCCTGGCGCAGCAGCTGCCCTCCCGTGGGGTCAGCGATGGAGCCTGCTGACGTTCGAGCCCTTTTGGTTCCAGAAAGCAGCTGGAGCAGGACCTGGGAGCCATGGGCAGGGGTGGCTGACCCCTGTGCTCAGCCTCTGTAGAGGAGCTCAGGCCATCAGGGTGGGGTCTGCGCTATGTGGGATGGATGAGTGGGGAACCCTGGTTCCACTTAACAACTAAATCCAACACCTTCTGCACCCCTCGAATGTCATTTTGCCCTCCACCTTGGGATTTCTCCTGGGGCCCTTTAGTCTTGTGCTTTCTCCTGTCCTTTTCCAGTTTAGAATAAGACAGGGGAGGAAAAGGCTTTTCAAGTATGTCATAAGGTCTGATGCCAATAAACTGAAGAAACAGACGTGGAATCTGGCGGGGGGGGGGGGGGTAAGAGCCCTTCCTCCGGATGGCACAAATCCTGCTAGGTCCAGGAGCAGGTTCTTGGGGGAAGGGTCTCCCTTGGCCATCGCAGGAATGGAGTCCGTGCTAGCAAACTCTTGGTGTTGGGCTGCGTTTCCCAGAGAGCACTGTGTTCTAGCCACCCCAGACTTGCCAGAAGAAACCAGCACCTCCCCATGTTCAGAATGTGGTATTGGCTCTGGCCCAGCCTTTTTCCCTGTTCCCCCCAGAAGTCTCGCCTCTTTCCATAATCCGTGGTTTCAGTTTGACTTTGTATATAAAGTTGGTTTTTTTTTTTTTTTTTGGCTTTTTGTTTTTTAAATAAACCAAAGTCAAAAACAAGCCACGTGTCCTCCATAGCCCTTCCCTTCTTCCTCTTCTAGGTCTGCCTGTGCAGGCCCCCTTCCTCCCAGCCCTTAGTCCAGAAGGTAGGGCGGGGCAGTGGGAAGGGCGGGCCCCTGGTGCTCTGGGCCCTGCCACCTGCTGGTCGAGAGAGGCAGTGCTGTAGAGGTGCGGCCAGCTCGGCAGGGGGCAGCACACCCCGCCACAATCCTAGGGTGGCTCTCCTCTCAGTCACAGCACAGTAACAGCTGGCGATTTTATTGAAAACTTTACTTGAAAAAATAAAATTCCAAGTATTCCGGTGAGACAAACCCACTGTTGTTTCTCTGAGGCCTATGAATCAGGCTGTGACATTTTGTGTGGTTGGTAGCCTATTTACACAAGCCGAGTCTGGTTTCCTAGGGAACCTACGAGGCTTGGGACTCTTCTGTGCACCTGACCTAAGGGACAGAAGTGGGCTAAGCCAGTTTTTGTCGTGCTGGGAGGCTGGAGTGAGGGGGGGTCTATGGGCTGGGGGAGCACAGCTCTTCTGTTCCCCGTGGCAGTCTCGGGCCTCTTCAGAATAGAGGAGTCTGGAGCAGAAAGGCAATGAGGGCAGGTGGACTCCCCAGGGGTCTTTGGAGGTAGATGTGATCACGACCTTGCAAGCAAGGCTGATGCCAGGTGAGCAAAACCGGTGCCTTTGAAGGCTGGAAGCTTGTGCAGGCCCCAGGCCAGGATGCCCTCTGGACGGTTCTCTTAGAGGGGAGAAGGCCCCTGGAGTTTTTCTGCTCTGCTTACCTGTCTGGGCTCTTGCTATGGGTGGGGAGATAGCAGCCTGTGTGGGGCTCCTGGTGCCAGGTCATTTCAGAGGGCTGGTGAGGTAGAGCAGGGGCTCTGCTGTCCCTGTGCTTCTCTCAGGGGAGGGCCTTTTGCTGGCTCATACCTGAGCCTAAGCTTGACAGGGCCAGAGACTGGAGAGGCGGACTTGTGTCCCTGGAGTCTCCAAAGGGCAGCGAGGACTCAGTCATCTGCCACAATAGAGAGGGCTCTGAGCTCACTCAGCCTGGCCTCATTCTCCCTCTCCCGCAGCTCGTCAGGGTGGCCAGGCTGGTCAAGCTGCTGGGTCAGGTCTCCAAAGATCTTCTGCATTTCTGAGTAGTACCCAACCTGGGGGGAGAGGCGGGGAGGAGGTTGGCAGGTGCCGGGCTCCCGTGGCACCAGGCCCCACAGCACGGCACCCCCGGGCACAGCAGGACAAGCGGGGCCAGAGAAGCGTCCCAGAGGCCCACACACTGCCGTGCCCTCAAGCAGAGCACTCACGCTGGGGGAAGGGCTGTCTCCACTGTCCCCTCGGCCCATCCCGAAACTGCACAGCAGGCAAGGAGACTGAAGCCACGGGCCCCAGCCCTTCAGGGGCAGCCGCTGCTGCTGCCAGGATGGCAGTAAGTCAGAGGGTCCTTGGGGAGGCGGAGGTGGGGAGGGCCTTCATGCCCTCGGGAAGCTGAGGCTGGGGTGGGGGCACTGGCAGGGCCCTAGGCAGGTCCCAGGAGGCTGGGTAGGCTGGTGCTAACTACAGGCTGCTTTAGCAGAGCTAGAAGCCCGGGACCCTCATCCACAGGAGAGAGGGTGTAGTGGCCGCCAGACCCTGGGAGTTCCCAGAAGCAAAGATGAGGAAGGTGACACCTCCCCAGCCTTCTGTTCCTTCCTGACCTGTCCCACTGTTAATGGATGGCAACAGCCTGCTCATCACCACCTCTGCTGTCGTGGGCTGAGGGCAGGGCTCAGAGTCCGCTTCATGTCCATGTGTGTGTATGTCGGGGTGGGGGGGGCGTCCAGGGGGGATAGGAGAGGCCTGCAGTGGGGCAGGTGCAGGTGTGCTCAGGTACCGGGAGACCCACCAGCAACTCTCAGGTGGCGGAGGGCTGCTCAGACCCAGCACCTTTTCCAGAGGCCACTTCTGCCCCAGTCGCCACTTCATGACCAAATCAAACACCTACTTTCATGAAAGTGATGCCCACCCCTCGAAACACTATTTGGACACCCACCCCTATGTGGTATCATGTCCGGCTCCAAGTTGTGCCTGGGCAGCAGGAGCCCTGCTTCCACTTGGACCCTGGAGTGCTGTCACCGGTGGGCAAGGCCCGGAGGGGCGGCAGGTCTGATGGCAAGTCCACAGCTGGACTTGCCCTGGGCCGAAGGGGAGCTGAATGGAGGTGTGCCAGTGGTGCTGCCACCGGAGCGGAGGGCAGGGGTTGGCCCGCCCTCCCCCACTCCCTGCCCCAGAGCTGCACTGCGCAGGCTGAGTCACTAGGGATGCTCACTTCTCTAGTGACTAATGGCAGCGACAGCCTCGGGAGGGGGAGGCTGGTGCCGAGGAGGCAGTACACAGCCCCCAGGCACCCCGCTGCCTGGTTACAGGGCATCCCTAGCCCCTAAACTGCTCTGGTCCGCGCACCCTGGAGCTAACTCAGGACAGAATGGAGGGGGCGGGAGCCGGGAGCAGGGGTGGTGGCGGCACAGGGGAGGGAGGGCGCAGGTCTCCTTGAGCCCATTTCTCCCCGGCCTAGGCTGAGCTGCTGGAGGGGAGCCTCATGTCCAGGGGCACTGCTCAGGGGGCAGGGGCAGGAACCCCCACTCGCTCGTGCAAAGTCATGTGCGGCCTCCTTTCTCCCTAGCGACCAAGGACACGGCCACTAACAAGTTCCCGCTCAGGGTTCCTGAGCCCGGGTGTGCAGCCCCGCCTTCGCCTTCGATGTTCTCAAAGCTGGGGGGCCCGCCTGTGATTGCTGACTGCAAGGACCGGATGTGTCCACTGGAGGGCGCCAGACACCCAGGCCAAGGGCAGAGGTGGGCTGGAGGCGGCCGCAACGCCAGCTTTGTTACCTGCGGGGGACTGTGGGAAAGGTGGCAGGATGCAGGGCACCGGCCGTGGGCTGGGGGTCCTTCTTGGTGGGGACTCTGTACCTCAACCTTCTCCCTTACAAACGGGGAGCGAGGAGGGCAGGAGCTGTGGGCAGTTGTACTTTGTGTCCTTACACCTTTGAGGCCTGGGGGACAGGGTCACAGCCTGTGGCCTGCCACCATCTCACTGCCAGACCCCAGAGCTCCCACTGCCTCTCCCACACCCGGTCTGAGGCCGGCTGGCCTCTCTGCTGGAAGGTGCGCCTGGCCTGGCCCCCACGCAGGGGCCTTGAGCACGCTCTCCCCAGGGTTTAGGGAGCCCTCCAAGGGTTGCTACAAGTCAGGACATCAGAAGAGGAGTGACTGCTGTGGGGCTGCAGGGCCAAGGGCCCTCATCCTGCAGGCCCCTGCGCCTGGCCTCCTGAGCACACCGCGCAAAGGACCTGCCCACCAAAGGGAGGCGTTGACAGTGTGGCCTGCTTTCTTCCTGCCACAGGTGGTACAAGGACAGGAAGGAGAGAACTGGAGGGGAAAGCCATTCCACAAAAAGGGCCTCATCCCAGAGCTGGGATTAACCAAGGAGCCACGGAGGAGCTAAGACAGAGAAGTCGGGCAAACATTCAGAGCTGGAGTCTCTGGAGGCAGTGACGGGGGCAGGGTGATGGCACCGCTGTCGCATCTCCCCAGGGAGGTGTCCGCGGTCCTGTGGGCGGGGTGGGGCGCGGCCTCACCTGTGCGCGGATCAGGGACTCGAAGCTGGGCTGGAAGTAGTCGAGCCGGCTGTTGTAGAAGCGCGGCATCTCATCCAGGAGCTGCTTGTTCTTGGCCTCAAAGTCTTCCCGCACAGGCCGAAGCTCTTCTCGGGCCTGGGGACCAAGACACGGGCTGGCAGGGCTCCCGGTGGCTCCTCCGGTGTCCCTGACTGGGGCAGGACGTGCCCGTCGGGGGCAGGAGAGTCCCACAGCCCCCAGGGCGGTCCCCAGGTAAAGGAGGCATCCGCCATGTGTCCCCAGGGGGCCCGCTGTCCACACCCAGCTCGCCCACCTCTTGGTACCTGGTGCAGTTTGGCCAGCACTGGTCCGGTCTTCTCCTTCTCCTCGTACTTCTCCACCTTGGCCTGCAACCTCCTGTAGTCCTGCAAGGCCTGCTCCCGCCGCTTCACTGCCATGTTGAGGCTCGGGAAGACGCTGCCAAACCTGCCAGACACAGCCCCGTTGGATGCGGGCCGTTCTCGGAGCTGCGGCCCAGCCTGCGCCTACCGAGTGCCGGACCGTTCTAGGTGTTGGCGATTTCGCATGAGCAAGGCAGATGAGGCCCGGGCCTCGTGGGGCTCCCGCTGCTGAGAATACGATCTGGGGTGCGGCCCAGGGAAAGAAGGTAGGGCTAAGGGTCACCCTACTGACCTGAGATGAGCCACAGAGGCAGGAATGCAAGGAGGCCACCGAGGCGGTCCCTGCTCTTTCCCTGCCCATCTCACACAGCCCCGTGCGTGACAGACACCTGTCACAGAGGGTGGCCGAGCCGAGGGACTCCTTGGAGTCCTCTGTCCAACATCCTCCTGTAATACAACCAACGAGATGGAGGCCAGAGTGATGATGTGACTTCTCCAAGGTCACAATTAGGTAGTGACTGTCCAGCAGAGAACTCAAGCATCCCAGTCCTCAGGGAACCTCCCCACCATCTCATGATGCCACCAGCAGGGGACAACTGCAGTGGAAACCTAGTACTGGTCTCTATCAGCTGACCACGGGAAAAGCAGGCATCCTCTGGTGCTTTCTTTCAAATGGCTACACTCTCAAACCAGATGTTTGAGGGCAATGGCTCCAGGGCATCTTCTGGCCCCACCATGACTAAAAAGGACCACAGGGAAATGCTGAGGACTATATGCCATTCACAGAGGGGCAATGGACACTCTGGCTCTGTGGGCATCATCCTTGCGGCAGGTGTCATCTCTAATGGGGAGGAGCGGGAGACCGTGAGATAGACATGGGGCAGGGCTGTATCCCAGGCAGGGATGCTGGACTTCCCTTGATCAAGGGAATGGTGGAGGAGGCAAGGCAAACCTGCAAGCAGGTTTTCTGGAACTGGACAGGAGGGGATGGGCCAGCTTCCTGGAATGCTAAGCATGCAGGGCAGGAGGTGCCTGTCACTGTTGTGGGAAGCTGGAGGTGTCCTCCCTGCAAGGTGGGAACGTGAGCAGCCTGAGAAGATCCGGCCCCGCAATCGAGGTAAATGGGGGGGGGCACAGCAGTTATTCGGGGCTGCGAAGCAGAGGGGGCGACTCAGGGCCAGGAGCGAGCAGTGGGGTTCTCCCCTTCCACGAGCGCCCAGGGCCACTCGGGCCACGTTTAGGTAGTTCAGATGCCGCATCAGGAATGACTCCCCAAGTCTGCCTCTCAAAGGGAGAGGCATACCCATGAATTTGGTTTTTCTTTCCAAGTTTTATGTAAAATTCTAGTTTGATGAATTTGGGTTTTAAAAACCTCAACAGGGGCGCCTGGGTGACTCAGTGGGTTAAGTGACTGCCTTTGGCTCAGGTCGGGGTCCTGGGATCGAGCCCCACATTGGGCTCCCTGCTCAGTGAGGAGCCTGCTTCTCCCTCTCCCCCTCCTCATGTTCTCTCTTTCCCCTTCCAATAAATAAATAAGATCCTAAAAACAAACAACAACAACAACAAAAAAAAAACAAAAGCCTCAACAAATGAAGGGTGCTCGTGACAGTGTCTTTTGCCAGAGAACAGAGAATATAAATTTGACCAAAGCACTGAATTCCCCAGGCGAGGCTATAGATGCAGGAAAATTCTGGTGATTCTTACACCCGAGGAAGAGCACTAAAGTGAGCGCTTCTAGCTGACGGCGTGTGCTAATGGGCTCACTACCTAAGTGGAAAGGCCAGAAGTGGGTAAGACAGGCCCTTGGACAGATCAGTCATCAAATCACTACTACCGACTGAGCTGCCAGTGGAAGAGGCCTCCCGGGTGCGGTGCAGGCCGGGTGTGGGTAGTGGCCACCTCCAGGACACCCCCCCCCCCCAGGCAGGTCTGAAGAGCTGAGACCACCGGCAGGGACAGGCCTCGCTGTTTGTGCCTCAGGTGGTGGCTCTGACAGGGTCTCAGAGGCTCGGTGAGCCCCTCTCCCTCCCTGGGAGGACTGTGACCAGTAGCTGAGAGGATGTGACTCAAGGAAGCAGGTGCAATGGAGCCTGAGGAGCCACCGCCACCTCCCCCTCCACCCCAGCCAGACGAGGGGCCACTGGGGGCCACCTTCATTCTCTCATTAGAGGTGCCCAGATTGGGTGGCCCCAGGGCCTGAGCCTTTGCTGTCCATGCTGCTGGTGGCCTGGGGGGGCAGGGGGTGCTGACAGGATGGGAAGGAGGCAGGAAGCGGCAGCTGGAGGGTTTTCTCCTATTAGGAAGAGGGCAGCACGGCAGCGTCCACAGCACGAGATGCACGCTACGGGGGTGGGGGTGGAGGCGTGTGGACGACCACCCTGCTGGTCAGCTGAGCAGCTCTGGATGCCCTCTGGCCCCTGTAGCGCCTGTCTTCTCTGGTCAAAGGCACCAGGGATGCTGACTAAATGCAAGGACTGGATCAGCTCATAAAGGCAACAGGAATCCCACCGAGGGCCAAGCCCTGAGCCCCGAGGAGTGAGCCAAGCATGGGTCCAGGACTAGAGTTCCATGCAGTGCCAGGCAACCTCAGGGGACAGGCAGTGTACGAGTTATGTGTCTCCAGGATGCCACGCGGCCTCTGGAAGCAGGAGCACCTGTCCCCTGTGGGGAGGAAGCGGCTGCAGTGCAAACCGGTCCCAGCTGCTCTGTTAGAGACTCTAGGAAAACCATTTCTTCACCATGGTAACTTCTGCCTCCCAAAATGGTGCCCCTCGGTCACACCAACAGACCTCGGGAGGCTTGGCTGGCTTAGGTCACCACAGATGGGTCACGAGTCAGTCACTTACCACCTGGGTGGCTTTGGGCTCTGGGCTGCAGGACTCCCTCGGAGTCGAGACAGGCGTCATACCCTTCTTACATTAAAGTGGGTAAACCGAGGGCAGGCAGGGGGACCGGATGGCACAGGTGAGGTGGTGACAAAAGCGTGGGGACCCAGGGGGACCCCCTCTGTAATCCTGGCTCTGGTTAACTACACAGACGGAACACACGGGACGCTGCCTGCGCTGGGAGCTCGTACAGCACCAGGCCCTGGTGCAGGGTGCCAGTGCTCTCGCCCACCTTCAGGTCGGGGAGGGAAGGGGGGTGGGCAGGAAGGTGGGGACAGCCAGAGGCTGGTCCCTGTACCTGGGCCCTCCCAGACTTGCTCCCAGGACCCTACAGAGTTATCTGCTGACTTCAGCTGACAAGGGGCAGTGGGGGCCTAGCTGTCCCGCAGGTACCAAGTCCACACTTTCACTCGGCTGCCACAAAGAAACAAGGCTGGGAAGTCGGGGCCCTCTGCTCATCTCCCACTTCCCCCTGATAATAAGCAGTGATGTGGAACATGGGAGGCCCCGGGCCAGGGCCCCAGGGTGGACTCCACCCTCCAGAGGCAGCTCAACCCACCACTTCAGCCCATGGACACCTCTGTCTCCTCCTCCTGAGCGCTGACCAAACCATTCCAGGTGGCGGGTGGAGGGTCGGGGTTCAGGCCTCCCCTTCCCAGATGGGGAAACAGATTCAGAGGAGTGGGGCCTGGCCAGGGCCGTGGGCTGGTTGGGACAGGCTGGCCCACCTGGCACTTGCTGCACCCACTGAGCTGCACCACCTTGGCAGTTACGGATTATCCGGGTCTTTCTTCCCCAGAGCACTGCTGCAGCATCCGCACTAGGCCACAAGCTCCTCAAATCTGTGTTGTGTCTACCCTCTGGAGAAGGGGGAACAGGGCTGGGCCTACACCGGGCCATCGCTGGAGCTCTGCCCAGGTGACTGTCCTAAGGTTCAACCAAACTGCCTCCCCTGGGCTAATGGTGGGGTGAGGAGGCAGGAGAGGGAGGAGGGGAAGGCGGAGGGAGAAGAGGCCGGCTGGGAGGTAGGCTGGGAGCAGCCGGCCCTGGTGGGGAATGCCTGCCATTCCTCAATCTGTGCCCACACAGCCGGGATCTTCCACCCACCAGGAAAGGGAAATTGAAAGCATCCCCATCCGACCATGTGAACGCAGCCCAGAGATGGGGGATTAGAGGCCGAGCCCCCTGGGGGGAGGCTGGGGGCGGCGGGGTGGCCATGTGGCCATGTTCTTCATCAGAGGACAGGAAAGCTGCAGTTTCCTGTTTCCGGTACCGGGGTCCCTGGGAGCTTCTCTCCTGGCAAGAGGCGGCAGCAGGCAGTGGCGGTTTTATGTGGTTGGGGGGGATCGCATGTCGGCTACGGGCCGGAGGAGCCAGCCACCAGGCAGGCAGGCCGGGGGCTCAGGCAGGTCAGCGGATCCGCTGCGGAGATGGTGCCCGCCCCCTGTGCCACTCACCCACCTTCCTGGCAGGTGGTGGGCTGCTGGGGTGGGAAGCAGCCGGGATTTCTCTCCATTTGGCTCTAGAAGCCAGGCATCAGATTTCAAGGCCGCCTCCTTGGTTGTGAAATCGAGATTGGAGAGATTGGAGTCAGTCCCCCTAGTCCTCGGAGCTGGTGTCCCCTGCCTAGCTCTGTCAGCTGTGGGTGTCCATGGCAGCCTCTGCGGCAGCCCCAGGGACCCCGGGGGGGCAGGGTGTGCTCTGCCCATGGTCCTTCCCACCCAGGTGCAAACCCTCAGTCCCGGAGACCCACTCAGAAGGCCACCAGCAATGGAGCTCCTGCTGACATCTCAAGCCACCAGCCACCAGCCACCAGCCTCCTTGGCAGCCTGCAACCTGGGGCCGAGCAGGGGCCAGGGAAGGAGTGGGGTGCAGGGTGAAATCCCTTCCCACCGTGGCCAAGCCGCCAGAGAGCCCCGGCTTAGAAGGAGCCTTCCCTAACCCCACCCCTTGGACCTGAGCAGGGAACGAAGAGCTCCATAACCCCAACGCCAGGGGCTGGAGGACCAAAAGCTGCGCTCTTCGTCTCCCTCCGGGCCCTGATCCAGGCCTAATGGTAATTAGCAGAGCCTCATTACCCAGGCCTGGTGAGGCAGCTGCCAGGGACCACCACAGAAGAGGTAATAAAGTGCAGCTGCCGGGCTGGAGCGGGAGCCTTTCTAGGTCAGAGTCAGTTTGGGAGAGGCTAGGGAAGATGATGAAGTGATCTGGGAGCTTCAAGGCAAGGCTCCTGCCTGGACCCCCCCCCCCCGTTCCCCCCCAGCCCGCCGCCAACCCACCCCCTCCAGGGACTCAGGGAATAGGCCTGTCTGATCACTGCCCAGGGCCTGCCTGAGAGAAGATGAGTCTTACAGAAGAATTTCTGACCCTGACAGGTCACAAGTGAGGGGACCTTCCCGGGCAGGCCCCCGCGGCTGCGCCCTTCCCCATGTGCAGCCACCCCCACATTTCAAAAGCTGAGTGCGGCAGGCAGCTGCTCTCCCAGTGCGGCCGGGCGAGATGAAAGGCCTTGCCCAGCCCCGCTCAGGGCCAGCCAAGACCTCGCTCGCCTGACTCGGCAGCCCCCCGGCCTCTGCTTCTCAGTCGGGAACAAAGGGGAGAGTGGCGAAGTGACCACTGGAGCAAAGGCCGCCTGCTGTGGTGGCTCAGACATGCCCCACTGTCACTGAGTGTGCCCCAGCCAAGCGGGAGCTTTGGAGCTGCCACGGGTGTGGCACCCCTAGGGCCACAGGTCATGTAGCCAGCGTTCCTGCTGAGCTTCTGGTCAGCCCTGGCGTGTTTGCGGACAGGCTGCTAGAGATGATATCTGGTTGCCAATTGGGCAGCTGACCTGCCTTTCCAATAAGTGCCCCGAACCCAGTTCCCTGAGGCCTGTGGTCTCTGGATGACCTTTACTCACTTTTTTAAGGGTTCAATCACGGTCTTTTGAATCTGGTTCACCTGTTAAAAGAAAATACCCAATGAAAACAAATCTGAGGGGGAGTCAAACTTTCTCACACAGGGGCCTCCAAATTCCTGAGAAGAGAAAGGGGGCCTCAGGGTTATGCTGAAAGCCCTGGGCAGGGACGAGACTGTGGGGAGGAGCGAACAGGCGAGGCGTGGCGTCCCTACCTCTGTGGCGGGAGCGAGGCAACAGGGAGAACTGTGCTCGTTCTGGGGCTCTCCTCCCCCAGCCACTGTCTGCAGGCTGCTCAGTGGGGAGGCCGGGAGGGCAATGCAGCAAGTGTGAGGGGCTCCCCTGTCTCCCTCAGGGTCGCACTGTGAGTGAACTACGGGGAGCTTCCAGTGCTGAAGCCACAGAAGAGCTCATGGGGCTTGGACACACGGGTCTCCGAGGGCTGAGGCAGCTGAGAAGTCCCTGCTGAGGACCCCTTGCAGGAGCTCCACCCGGGCAGAAGCCACGAGAAGGGGGAGGGCAAAACCCCACTTGCCTTTTCCTGGTTGAAGGCATCCATCCGCTTCATGGCCGTGTCTAGGGCTGTCACCATGTTCAGGAAGTCCTGGTCTTGCTCGCAGAGGGGATTGGAGAGCAAGTCCAAGGATATCTTCACAGCAGATTTGGACATGGCTGTAAGAAGTCAAAGCTCCGTGAACCTACGAGGGGATTGGCTTCAGGGCCTTGTCATCAGGAAGGACCCTGTCCTCCTTCAGCCCAAGGGCTGCCCCCTGACCTCCACCCCGGCCATGGGCCATAAAACTACAAAGCACCACAGAGCCGTGAGTCACGAGTCCTTACTACCTGGTGGTTGTTCCTGACCATCTGATGCGGCTCTGGGTCATTCTTTTGAGTAGCTTTACCTTTTGCGATGACTTAATTTTCTGAACTCGAGATTTTAACAGAATCATTTGGGTGGGAAGCTGTTAAAAAAACAAACTTATTTCTAGCTGTACAGATTCTAATTCGGTAAGTCTGGAATCCAGGAACGTGCATTCTAAAGACACTCTCTGGGCAGTTTGGAGGTGAAGCTTGGTTTGGGACTCCCTCACGGACAAGAGTAACAGCCTTCCACACCAGGGCCGGCAAACAGTGTAAAGGGCTAGAAATGGAGAGGTTAGGCTTTCGGGGCTGCTTGGTTTCTGCTGTCATTACTCAGCTCCACCACAGATATACCTACAGAATGGGGGTGGCCTGCTTCCGATATCATCTTATCGACACAACAAGGGCAGGTTTGATGTGTTCAGACCACCCCAGGCTTCAGTGCCACACAGCAGTAAGACATACATTCAGAAACCCTTTTTCCCCGGAGATCTTCCAGAACCATGGCCCTTCTGCAGTCTCTTCCTGCCCCTTGAGACTTCTGTTCACAGACAATGGAGACTTAAAAACTTGTACAAGCCAAGAACTACATAGCTGCCAACAGGTTCCCATGCCCCCACTGTTTTATTCGGGGCTCCAATAACCCAGGAGTCATGTTTGGCTCCACTTTACAGATGAGGCACGTTAGGCTCAGAGGAACTTCTAACTCCCTCAAGGCCAGCCAACTGCGAGTGCCGGGCCAGGCCTAGCCTCTGGGTACCTGCCTCTCTGCCGGGGTGTTGGCTTATGGTGTTCAAGGCTCCTGAGACTGCTTCCACATGGATAGAGACCACTGCCCTGCTGTAGCCTTGTTCACGTGTTCTGACCCTGTTTGACATAAGGGGAGTCTGGAAATCCCATGGCAGCTCCGAGGCAGGATGGAGCTCTAGTGGCAGCTCTGGAGAAAAAAACGAAGTCTCCAGGTGCCGAAAGAGAGACAGGAGAAGGGTCATGCTTGTTCCACAGGGTCTGTGCCAAATCCAGGGTCTCAGGGGAAAACAAGCTTCTGAATGTATTTATTATCTTACACCATTGGATTTAAGATGCCAGCAACTGTAAGACATCGTTACCATACGAACCAATGAAGGACAAAAATGCTGCCAACTAAACACCATTAAGTGTTACGGTGTCTAGATTTCAGAGGTGTTATTCAACGTGAAAAAAATCTCTGAATTTACGAAATCAGGGCCACTCCGCTTCATGACAGATGTGGCCTTGCCTGGCCACTGTATACGAGGAGGGAGCAGCCCTAAGCCCAGCCTTAGCCCGCTGGGGGGGAAGGGGAGAGACAGAAACCCACCTAGAGGCCCCTCGTCACTTGGGCCCCTCCACAGGCCAGCAAAGAGGCCCAAGGTGGGTGACTGGCCTGGGCAGAACCCTGTCCTGGCTTCCTCTCGAAACTGGGAGCTTGCTGCAGTCACCCAGCAAACAGGCCAAACACAGGAGAACCCTGGAAATGTAAACTTCCCAGAAATGTCAAAGCAGTGGAGCAAAAAAACCCCTCTTTCAAATCTGCAAGGTGACTTTGCAGGCCAAGGAGCAAACGTCACCTGCCTGGATTATGAAATGGTCTCAAGACAGTGTCATGAAAGGATAAAAACTTGGACTAAACTGGAAATGTCTGAAAAATTTCTTCTAAATTTTTTTTAATATTTTGGGAAAAATCCCTGAAAAGTCGGGGGGAGACTTTCTTCTCAACTTTCCTTTTCTTTTCTAAAGCCTTCACACTTCATGCCTTCGTTGGTGGGGGGGGTTCTTTGTTTGAACCATCTGAAGTCCATTAATAGCACGGAATTCACCCCCGCCCCCTGGGAGTCCTCAGCCGCCTCTGTGAGCACATCCAAGGACCGCTGGGCCCCCACCCTCAGGCATTGGGACTGTGTGGCCAGCCTAATGCAAACTGGAAGGCTGGTTGTCTTTGAACCTTAAAGAAAGCAGGGGTCTAGACACCACATGGGTCTCTGGAACCGCAATGCAACCTCAGAATGTAAGGGTCAACCAGGACTGGTCACATGCAGGTGATCTGGTTTGGGCACATGGAATGGGACATTAGATCTTGTCCAGGGAGCGGACTAGATTCCAAGAGCAGGAAACTTGATTCCCCTCAACTGTTTGGAGCAGTGGTTCTCCAAATGGGGTCCCTGGAGCAGCTGCAGTGGCACTGTCTGGGGTGGGCCTTCCGGAGACTCTGACACACTGTCTGGGGTGGGGCTCAGGCCTTGGGCTGGGCTGGGGTGCCGCTGTTTCAGGAGGGCCTTTCCTGCCCAGACTCTGCTTCTGACTCTGGGCTCCAGGGCACTGCTCCCTGCCCCGCCCCATTTCTTTGTTGGACAACCACGCCCTCCACTTCATGGACCCCTGACACTCCACTGCTTCCAAAGCTGCTCACAATAAAAACACTACCTTCCCTTCATTTGTGCTTGGACAGTACAGTGGTCTGGAGAAGCACCGAGGAAAGGAAGCAGTAGGCTGCAGCCTCTCCTGTGCTAGAAAGGCAGTGGCAAATGATAAAGATGCCACCCAGGTAAGTGCAGCTACCCACAAAACAAGTGACAGATGGGCTCCGAAATCAGACCCTCGGCTCGCTGTGCACACAGTATGGAGACGCCGTGGCAATTGTGTTCAGACCCACCTGCAGCCTCTGGGTGAGCAGTGGTAGGGGGCTCTGTGCACAGACCACAGGAGCCAGTGCTAAGTGATGGAGGGCCGGAGGCCCACCCTGTGTGCCCCCCGCCCCTCCCAGCCAGGCCTGGGGATCCGCCACCTACCCAGGTCAGCATCGGTGCTCTTCTTCATGTCCTTCTGCAGCCTCCTGGTCTGCTCCTCCAGCCTGCAAGGCAGGGGCACAGGCTCAGGCACCTGGCACCACCAGCCTGCTTCAACCCCCTTCCTTCCCATCCACCTGAGTTAAGGCCAACCTGACACTCTGGAATGCCTTCCAGGAGAAGAAGGGGCCCCTAACTCTGCGGGGATTTTTCCCACTGACCGCAGGGCCACCACCAGCTCTGCGTGAAGCCAGGCACCCAAAGGCTATGAGTTAACGACTCTCCCACAGCCATCAGCTGGCAGAGAACTTCCGGCAGGCTGTGAACTGAGCCGCCCTCAGCTCCCAGGGTACTAGTGGGGCAGAGGAGAGGCCCACCACTGGCGGTGCCAGAAGGGGCACAGCAGAAATTGAGACCTGGCGGAAGGCTCCTGCCCTTCCCTCCCCGCTTCCCTCATCCTTCTGGGGGTTGACACTCACTGCTGGAGTTTTCCATACTCTCTTTCAAAATCTCTCTCCACCTGTAACCAAAGAGATAACTCAATCATCAGAGAAATGACAACACGTTGGAAAAAATCTTCCAGCCTCCCGAAACTCCTTGCACGACTTCCCCCCGGCTGTGGAGAACAACTTGGTCCAGCCCATACAAGCACCAGCAGATCGTTAACGACACAGTATCCCTGTGTTCCCAAATTAATTAAGTGTTGGATTTAGGGCAAAAGCCTCCCCTCCCAGATGGACCAGCCAGGCAAGTAGCAGCGGATTGTGGCTCTGTTCCTCTGCCACAGGGAGCGAGGCACTCAGCTGGGTTCCCTCTCCTCCCTCTCCCCTCAGGTGAGGTGCTCAGAATGTGACGAGACTCAGGCAGCCCAGCGGGGAAGCAGGTGGGTCCCGTTCAGCTCCTGGTTTCCTCACAGGGCCTGCCACCTGCAAGGAGGTTCCGGGTGGATCTTGAAAGATCCTGTGTCTGAGCTCTGTGTGCTGTACCCAGCACACATACTATTACTACTGACTCAGGCAAGGCTCTCTTAAAATTCTGGATTGAGTTACCACATTTCCCCGATGCCAGCAATATTTACATCAGATGTGTGTGAGTCTTTTTTTTTTTTTTAAAGATTTATTTATTTATTTATGATAGACATAGAGATAGAGAGAGAGGCAGAGACACAGGAGGAGGGAGAAGCAGGCTCCATGCCGGGAGTCCGACGTGGGACTCGATCCCGGGACTCCAGGATCACGCCCTGGGCCAAAGGCAGGCGCTAAACCGCTGAGTCACCCAGGGATCCCCAGATGCGTGTGAGTCTTGATCCCAATTCTGCTGCCCACATATCAGAAATTAAGAAAGTCATCTGCACGTCTAGTGCCTGAATTTCCCCATCCATCAACCAGGGCCCTGGCAATGGTCTCTCGGGAGAGTGGCCCGTGAGTTATACAACCTCTGAGAGCTGAAAGGAGGGGGCCGAGGCCTCTCCTCTTTCCCTTCCACAGAGGCAGTACCAGCTCCCCGGGGTGGCTTGCTGAGCCTCTGGGCTGAGGGTCTCAAGTAAAAGCAGCTAACGCTCACAGGGCGCTCACCCCGCGCTTCTAGGGACCGCTGTTCCTGCACACCTGGAGAAGGCAGATGTACTTATGGGCCTCACCGTACTCAGGAGCTCCCTAGGACACAGTGAAACAGACTGTACAAGATCACACCACTAGTGAGTGGCCCAGCTGGGATTTGGACATGGGTGGCCTGGCTCCAAGGCCTGTGCTCTTAGCCAGCATTCTAGTGAAAGGGGAAAAATGTATTTGCTGATGAATTAAAGTCATGATCTCAGAAAGGTGCCTTCTTGGCTGCTCTCCAAGATTCCGGCCAGTGAGAGCCCTGAACTGATTCTCATGCTCACAACAGGCAGGCTGATGCTCATGGAGTGCGAAATCGTGCAAAGTGTCACGGCCTCACTGCTCTTTACCCAGCACACCCTTCCTTCATGGTGCCCAGCCAAGGAGCTTTTGGGAGCCCCATGGACCCCATACTCCTCATGTGTACCGAGGTAAACTCAACATAGTCATAGAACATGATTTGGGCTAATTTTTTCATGTTATGAATGAGAAGAACAAAGCCTGGAGGTAGGAGGTGATTGACAGAAGGACGTAGGGGCTAGTTAGTGGCAAAGCAAGGCTACAATTCAGTCTTCGAGCTCGGCACCCTCCCCCACTTTGAAAATGACATTCCGGGGGGTGCCTGGGTGGCTCAGTTGGTTAAGCGTCTGCCTTTGGCTCAGATCATGATCCCAGGGGCCTGGGTTTGAGTCCTGTGTTGGGCTCCCTGCTCAGCGGGGAGCCTGCTTCTCCCTCTCCCTCTGCCCCTCCCCCTGCTTATGTTCTCTCTCTCTTCCTGTCAAATAAATAAAATCTTTAAAAAAAATTTAAAAAAAGAGAAAATGACAGTCATTAATCCCACAAACACTTATGACCATCTACTCTGCCAGGTGTGAGGGATCCACTGGTGAATACAACAGACGCGGGGCCTTGTGGAAGAGATGAAACAGATTCACACACAGGCACACACATGTAACCCAAATGGTGGACATGACACCGTGGGAATGGTGCAGAGAACCTGAGTAGCTAGGGTCCCAGGGCATGACCATGTGTCACCCTTGCACAGACATACCTCATCCTCCTCATCTGAACTGTAAAATTTAAAGGCAGGAACCCAGGGTCTTTCCTTACTTTATGATCCCAGCATCTGGGATCTGGCACAAAAGTGTGAGGTAAAATTCACCCCTGGTTTCTCCTCCTCCCACAGTCTTTGCCCTCTTTTCTATAGACCCTCCATCTCTGTTTCCAGGAACTGGACATCTTCATCACTGCCTTCCTTATGACCCATCAAAAGCTGCTCTAGAGAAATTCAAAATTTGCTCTCACTAAAGCATATATTCCTGGTAAAAGCTTCAAGTGCCACCTGTCCCAGGGGATGTGTAGCTGGGCAGGAATCAAAGTCTCAGCCAAGGACTGAAGAGCATCTGGCGTGACTACAGGTAGTGGCTTTGTTCTGGGGGGCGGGGAGGGGGGTGCCTGGCCCAGGCCCAGCAAGCTGGCATAGAGGCAGTCCAGCCCTTTCTCCGAGGACGGTCGGGGACAGGAGAGAGCAGAGATGGATGAGACATGAACTCTGACGCCAGCTGTGCAGCACACTACCTAACATTCTGAGTCTCAGTTTCTTTCCTGTAGCATGGGAAAACTTTGTTTAGCTTTTCCCTGTGAAGATTTCCGGTAGCCAATGAGGCAAGGGGGTAGCATGGGGCCCCACTGGCTTGCTTGGAGGATTCCCAGGAGTCCGTGCCAAGCCCAGGGCAGTCTGGGGGTGCAGAGTGGACTGTAGCCCCTTGGCTGAGAGGCGAGGCAGTGCATAGCATGTGGCTGGTTGATAGCTAGGATGAACCTTGTCTTTGCCTAAGCCTGGATCCTGTGCCTGGGGATGGTACCAGTGCCTCCCTTGACAGGACACATCACCTCTTACTTCATAGGACATGATTGCTGAGCAGAGTCTTCACATATGAAAAGTCTTTTCTTCCCAAGAGAATGAAACTAAGATTAAGGAGGTGCTGGTCACAATCCAGCTTTCCTGAAGATCAAGAACGTGGAGTCGGTGCTGCTGCTGGGGAGGCAGGCTCAAGGAACGCCTGCCGACCCACCGGAGCTCCAGCCTTGGCTCCCGGCACTCTCTTTTGCAATCCCCACGTGTGCTGATGCGTGTGTGTGTGTGTGGGATGTCAGAGAGCACCTGGTCCCCCCAGCTGGGACTGCTTGGACTTGCACACAGAGTGAGCGACTGTGGGTTTCCAACTGGGCCGGATCACTCTGGTTGGTGAGAAACTCGAGGTCTCACACTGGCAGCTCAGAAGTATGTCAGGGTGGGGCTTGGTCCTTCTGCCACTGCTCATCGTGCCTGCGATGTTCATAAGCGTTTCCCTCCTCTGCTTCTGGAAGCCAGGTGTGGGTTGTTTCTACAGCTCCCTGGCCTCAAGATCTTTCTCTTCCCCTGGGGAAAGATCCAAGGCCACACAGCTAGGATTCTGGCCCCTCAGACAATGGCTGAAGGAATAAAGAGACACACTGGAGCCTCAGTCCGAGGTATATCCATTCTGAAGGGAAGAGCCAAACACAAAAGATCGGAACATCTTTGAACGCTTGATGCTTTTGCCAAAGAGGCGATTGGCCCCCAGTCAACAATGCGAGTGTAAACACATGTGCAGGACTGTCAGAGGGTCAGGGGCGGCTGGGCCAGGCTGGCGGGGTTAGCACAGGGGAACTCGAGCACCACCCTGTCGCCTGCTCCCTGTGTTCTCGAATACTGCAGGTGGAAGGGTGAGACTGTGCGCTCACTGCTCAACCGCCACCGCCTTGGGGCAGGCTGGCCCAGGGCAGGCCTCAGTCTCTAAGTGGGTGAGTGGGCCCAGTTCCCAGCCAAACGGCCATGCGTGGTGACGTGAAAAAGGAGGCCGGCAGGCAGGGCTGGGGCTTTAGCCATGGAGTTAAGCTGTGTCAGATCAGAGCAGAGGCAAGGGGCATGCAAGGTGCTCTAAGAAGCCTCTCTTTGAGAGGTGTTGGTGGGGGGAGCAGCTTCCCTTTATCCCTTTGGTATGTTGCAACGAGATTAAACGAGGCTGAGACATGCTCCACTTTGCAAGCGAAAATCTTTCTCGAGTGAAGGCTCGATACGGTGGATGCTCTTCTGCCTCGATGCTGTGGAGAACTTACGTAGCTATGACTCTGAGTGTGTGCTTTCCTTCACCCGCAAGACCCAGGCTATCTGCTTCCAAGAGCTCTTCCATCCTTGCAGGTGATGGAGGGAGGAGTAGCTACTTCTTGTCACACCAAGATGCTCCAGCTACTTTATGGGACTGCAAGAGCAGGAGGGGGACTGAGCAGGAGGTTCAGACCTGGAGTTGGGGGACCTTCTGTCCTTGCACTTCCATCCCAATGGCCAGCCCCTGCAGAGAACATGCTATTCCAGCCAGAACCTTGACAATAATGGAATTCGTGTTCATGACCTGGGCACAGGAGAACAAACAGTGAGAGCACATGCACAATGCTTTCTTTGTGTCTTACAGTTGGGTGCCTTGAGCCAAAAACCTCCTGAAACTCCCTGAAGATAACATGAGTGTTTCTTCCCATGACAGGGGCACCAGGCTTTCCAGTCAGCAGGCAGCCACATCTGGGCCCCTTCTGACAGTGCCTGGGCAAGAACAGCAGTGCGTCACCATTGTTTAGGGGCAGCCGCCAGAGGCGCCGAGACAGCTGCCTGGGCTCGGCCTGTTGTGGGGGCCAGGAGGGGTGGCGGAGAATGAGACCGAAGGGGCAGGCTCTCATTCCTTATACTTCAGTGCCTCTGGGGAGTTGAGGGAGCAAATAACTCTCTTCTAAAGCCCTAACTCTGCTTTGATTCCTTGTAAGAGATCAAAGGCCCCGCCTACCCTTTCCCTGAACTAGGGATCTGGCTCCTGGGGACAGGCTGAGTCCTTGGTGGTTTAAGAGTCAAATCAACTATCTTCCCACCATGTAGTTAATATTTATTGGGGGCGCACTATGTGCCAGACGCTGGGTGAAGTGTTTCATACGCAGGAGCTCATGTAAGACTTATAATACACCAATGGCACAGGTTCAAGGCTCATCCGCACTTATGGAGAAGGGAAGCAAGGCTCAGGGGGTGAGGGCCTTGCCCGTGGTCACACACAGCATGCAGCAGAGCGGTGGGAATCCAGGCAGGAAACCTCCTAAATCCCTCTTTGTAACCACTACTTGCTGCCCAGTCTGTCCGGGGGAGCAGATTATGGAAGTCAGAGGACCGCGATTCTATCCCAAATAAGAGCCATGTGGGGAGGGAAGAGAGAGGCCAGGGGCCCAGCCGTGGGCCTGTCTGTAGGGTGCTGGGACTGTATCTCTGTCCTTTCTCTGGGGAGTCCTTGCTACTCCTCAGAGGAAAAGACCCAGAGATCTTTCCGTCAAAAAACTCCTGTAAGGAAGCCAGAAACTGACTTTTCTGTGGAGAACGACGACTATCTCCACAAAGGTAAGGGTGTTGGGAGAGTTTTCTGTTTGTCTGTTTGTTTTTTGGTAGTGAGTGTTGGGAATAAAGGACCCTTCTCAAAACCACTTCCCTTTCAGATCTGCCCTGGATTAAACTCTGGAGACTCCAAGCCACACCTTCCTACTTCCTGTAGCCGGCTAGAGCCCAACACTTGCACGCCCAAATTCTCGGCGCTTCAGCTGAGAGCCTCCACAGATGGTCAGCCTCTGCATGGGAGGTAAACTCTCAGGCTGTCCCCGGCCTGCCTTCACTGGAAAGAGAAATGCAGGCCCATTTCCTTTTAAGTGGCCTGACTTTGGATTTTCCAAAGACTAAGCCATTGGTCAAATGTGTGCTGAACTTCCCTTCTTGCCAAACTGAAGCAGTTATCTTTCCTGTAGCTCTGAGGCTGGAGCCAAGGAGGGCCGAGGTTGTTAAGACAAGGAGGACCATCAGGACGTCTACCAGGCTGACAGCACTCACTTCCTGCAACTGTCACGATGAGAGGCGCTGTGCAGTTACGGTTCCCCACAGTAAAACCAAGAGCCTGCTTAGGTTTTTGGAGGGTGGTTTGGGGGGGTGTTCAAGACGTCATTCTTTACCAGAATTCCCAAACCTAGGGAGACCATCACAACCTGAGTGAGGTAGCACAAAGAACTGGAATGTGTATTGAACAGAAGCTCTAACTCGGGTTCCAATTTCAGCTCTGTCAGTATTCGTCTTTTTTTTTAACAACCTTAGGAAGTCACTGTGACTCCTTGGGCTTGGGTTTTCTTGTCAGTTGGACTAGATGATCTGAAAGGGCTTCCATTTCTAACTTTCTAAGAATCTATGATTCCTCTCCCATTCTGGAGATAAAATAGGGATAAACACTGTGGGCTTTCAAGGGGGCAGGATTCAGTCATGCCCTCCCACTGACTCTGGGTCCTGGCCAACATGCCTTTGGCAGTGGAGAGAAAAGGACCCCCCTGGAGAAGCGTCTTGGTCTTCATGCAGCCCGAGGTGGCTGGAGATAAAGGCCTGGGACATGTCTTCAGTGGGGGCCTATGTTTCAGGAGCCCTCTTAGGAAAGTGCAGATGTCATGCCAGATCGCAGAGCTGGGCCATTCAGAAGCAATGGATTTCTCCTCACCCATCACCTACTTCCTCAACCTGCCTGAGGACGATGGGGACAAGCCCAGGCTGATCTGCGGCAGGAAAATGTCCCAGGCTAGGAGGCCCCTTGCAAGTCCCAGTCTAGGTGAGGCTCTAGAGTGACGCGGCTGGGAAGAAGGCAGCCCAGGGTCTGCCCTCCCAGTGCCACGATGTGCTGAGTCAAAGTTCTGGTTCTCTGCAAAGGCCACGTGAGACAGAGTCTTAAAATGAAAGAATTGGGTTACTCACTGTTTTGGGGACAATCTGTTTCTTGGGCTGCCCAATCTTGAAAGGAATCCTATGAGAGAAAGAGACAAAGGGGGCTTTTAGGAGATGCGGGAAAGGATGTGGCTGGAAATAATTGATGAAGTCTAGGCTGCTATTCCCCAGGAAGGCAAAGAGCAGCCATGGCTTGCTCCTCAGCACTCATGCCACATGCCCCGTGGGTCTCAGGCCATCGGAAGCCAGGCTGGGCTCTGGAAAGTGATCTTTCCATGGACAGTGTCAGCTGGAAGTCCTGGGTGCAGCCTTCTGCCCCAGACCATCTTTCCTACCAAGACTCTGGTGTTGAGACACACTGCAGAAGTGAAGGTGGGAAAGCAGAGATGCCATTTCACTAACAGGTCACTGTAAGTCTGTCCTGAGGGGCTGTGAAGTCAGAAATCACAGGCTTGCCTAGGTAGCTGTCATCTTTGAAAACAAGCATTTAAAAAAACACCACAAGAACCACTTATCGTCTGTATTAGGTGCTTCACTACTTCTTTCTAGAGGGACGAACAGTAGCCCTACACAGCCTCCTTCCTATGTGGCTGGAGACAGCAAACTATTGGGGCGTGAAGAACCAACCAGGCTGGGTTATTTCCAGTAAGAAGTGACAAAATTGAAAGGTGGCTAACTTAGAGAGGAATCTGAACCGAGCCCAAGTTTGTCCTCAACTTGCTAGGAAGCTCTTGCACCTCGGGTTCCCCAATTGGAAACGGTCGACAGGTTGGCCTAAAAGAAGGAAGGTCAAGGTCTAGGCTCTAAACCAAGGCACCAGCCCCACTGCCGCCTCCACCTCTGAGGAGCCGGCTGCCCTTCAGCAGGTAATGACTGCCCTGGGACCCATCTCCTGCTCTGTGAAAGGACAGGGTTAAACTGGATAATTCAGAGCTTCCTGGAGGCACTGAAAATTCTGATTCTACAATTCTGAGAAGTGTGGCCTGGCCAGAAGCAAACACCAGGGTGCCAACTGCTGGAGAAGCAGAGGCTCCGGGAGGCCCTCAAGCTAAAAGTGTGTTAAGCCCCCCTGGGATCAACTTAGGGGACACCACAACACTGAGGGGACAATGCCACTCCTACTCCTATTCCCTGTAGCACTCAGGGCACGCCCTGGAGCCAGAGTCCCTCCCATTCAAACCTCCCGCTTCCACTGCCGCACCCACCCATCCACCGCCCCTTCCCTCTGCACCCCCTTCTGCCCAAGCCTGCTTTCTCTTGGCCCAAACTGACCAACGCTGTTGCTAAACCCAATGGTATAATTAACCACGGATAATAACCCCAGACAACGATCCGGTTGAGAGGATGGGCCAGCCTGAGTCACAGTGGTTTAAATTTAATTTCTGGAGGACATCCTGTTTATTGTTAACCCAGCCTGGTAATTTAGGAGCATTAACCCTTTGGGGGCTGGCTGATTCACGTGGCTTCTGTAAACAAATAATCAGTGGCTATATAATTAGCAGGGGGGAAAGGTAAGCTCTGGAACTGAAAAGGAGAGAAAAGGCGAAATTGCTCTTTCCCTTCTTCAGATCTGAAGAACAGAGGTTAGGGGAGCTAAGCTCTGTAGTTCCCTCCTCGTGCCCCCAGTTATTCTTCCCAAAATTAGGGACTGGAGTTGATTGACACAATGGTTTTGTACAGCAAACAACTGCCCTCAAGGACCATTTTGGTGACAGTGCAAATGAGGCCCTAGTGGCATTGAGAAAAGATGGACTCTGTTCTGTGTGAAGCATGTTGCGGTTTAACAAGCTCTAGCCTGGGAATCAGAAAGCCTGTCTCCGTCTCTGACTAGTTTTGTGTAGTGGACAAATCACGATCTCTTTGGAACTCAGTTTCTTAAACTCTAAGACAAAGGAGATGGAATAGAGGGTCCCTTCAGCCCATCTAATAAAACTTGAATTCTAAACTGAATCTTCATTGCAGGAACACAGGAGCTGGATGAGAATTCTACAGAATTCTGAGTGGTCTTCAAAATGATTCTGACTTGGAGTCTAATACTACAGACTAGCTACAAAGAAATTAGGAACTTAGATGCCATTACTTGTGGTGCCACAGCCTCTCTAAATCTTAATTTGGAATCACAGTATTTTTAGAATTGCAAGTTACCATAGAAATTGTTCCAGTTCAACCCTCTCATTTTGTAGATGAGAAAGCCAATCTGGAGAGGTCCAATGACTAGCCCAGGGTCATTCTGCTCCTTCACAACCAAACCAGGAGTAAACAATCCACTTCTCTCTCTGCTATTCATGGTTTACTACTCTTTCACATGAATTTGTTATATTTATTTGAAGCAAGTAAGAAAAATCATTTGATCAAAATACCTAACCTTAAAACACCATGGAATTTCAAAGGGGCTCATTGTTCTTTAAAAGACTGGAAACACAAGAAATGAAGAGAACAGTGTTGTTAGGAGGAAAGGGGCTGTGCAAACACAGCTCCTTCTGCACAAATGACAGGTTATATGTACCATGTCAACTGAGTGCAAAATGTCATCAGGACGACAGGTATAAAACTTGGACCATCCAGGGCAACTGGGACCTATGGCCACCCCATCCATGGGGTGGGATGCCTTTCCTTTTCCCAGCTTGATCAAAGCTGTTCTCTAGTCCAAAATCTTGCTTACCTTCTTCTAAATACCTAAGACTTTATTTGGTATTTAAAAATAGTCTACCTTTTATAGTTAATTGAAGTTTATGCCTTTAAAAAGTAAAATACAATCATCAGAGAAAACTTGGGAAATACAGAAAAGTATGGGGGGGGGGAGGAAGAGAGAGAGAGAGAGAAAGGTAAGGAAAAGAAGGAGAAAAACCCAAAACACAGCTCACAATCTCATATCTAAAGATAACCAAGGCTAATGTTTTGGTATTAATTATATTTTAAAAGTTTGCGAAAGAAGAGAATCTGAAGCAAATATGCCAAATGTTAGTAGCGGTTAATTTGGGGTGGTGTGTGATTACTGTTTTCCTCTTTGCACTTTCCATATTTTTCAAATAAACTAAAAAAATCCCTTGTTTTTTCCTTGACTACAAAAATAACACCTGATCAGTGTCAAACACTTGGAAAACATGGAAAAATACAAACACACACACACACACACACACACACAGAAAAATAAACAGCAACACCCTGAATCTGTGTGTACATATATGTACATGGGTATATATGCCTATTTACATAACTTTTTTTTAAGATTTATTTATTTGTTCATGATAGACACACAGAGAGAGAGAAAGAGAGGCAGAGACACAGGCAGAGGGAGAAGCAGACTCCATGCCGGGAGCCCGACGCAGGACTCGATCCCGGGACTCCAGGATCACACCCGGGCCAAAGGCAGGCGCTAAACCGCTGAGCCATCCAGGGATCCCCTATTTACATAACTTTTAAAGAATAAAGGAAACATATCATGAGGGCTTTTTGTTTTTTTTAAAGATTATTTACTTATTTATTCATGAGAGACAGAGAGAGAGAGAGAGAGAGAGAGAGAGGCAGAGACACAGGCAGAGGAAGAAGCAGGCTCCATGCAGGGAGCCTGATGTGGGACTCGATCCCAGGTCTCGATCCCGGGTCTCCAGGATCACACCCAGGCCCCAAAGGCAGGCGCTAAACCGCTGAGCCATCCAGGGATCCCCCTCATAAGGGCTTTTATATGCCAGTATGTGGTTTGTCACCAGGCTAACTTGTATGAGGCTACCTAGTACTTCATTCACCATTTTATTTTTGTGTCCCACATCACTTACTGGTTGTCATTTCAACTGTCTCAAATTTTTCTTCTATTATAAAAAACTCTAATAGCTAAATCTTTGTGTACATCAAGAACTAGTCACATAGGCTAAATTCTTAGAATTGGAATCGCTAGGTCAAAGGATATATACATGTCCAAGACTTTGATACATTTGCCAAATCACCCTAGAGGCAGATTGAGACAGTTTACATTTTTTAAAAGATTGAGATGGTTTACATTTTACCACTAGCCCTTTGGCCTGTTTATCAGGATTTTTTTTTTCTTTTTCTGGCTTAGTGTTTGCCCTTCCCTTCTGTACATATGTGTTTATTTTTTTTTATTTTTTAAAGATTTTATTTATTTATTCATGAGACACACACACACACACAGAGAGAGAGAGAGAGAGAGAGAGAGAGAGACAGGCAGAGGGAGAAGCAGGCTCCATGCAGGGAGCCCGATGTGGGACTTGATCCCGGGACTCCAGGATCACGCCCTGGACCAAAGGCAGGTGCTAAACCGCTGAGCCACCCAGGGATCCCCTGTACATATGTGTTTAATGTACAGAAGCTTCCAATCGGTATGAAGTCAAATCTACCAAATCTTTTTTTTTTAATTTATTTTTATTTTTTTAATTTTTTTTTATTTATTTATGATAGTCACACAGAGAGAGAGAGAGAGGCAGACACATAGGCAGAGGGAGAAGCAGGCTCCATGCACCGGGAGCCCGACGTGGGATTCGATCCCAGGTCTCCAGGATCGCGCCCTGGGCCAAAGGCAGGCGCCAAACCGCTGCGCCACCCAGGGATCCCTACCAAATCTTTTTTATGATGTCTTCTTTAGGTGTCTTAGTGAGAAAGAACTGCCCTCTCCACCCCAATATATAAAAATTCACCTAAATTTATTTTATTGGTTTCCTTTTATTAATCTAAGTTTGCTTTCATCAGAGTTCTACGTGGGCATAGTTTAATAAGACATTAAGGTTTGTTAAGTGAAACATTCGGTTCTATCCTCCCTTCCCCACCCTTGTCTCACTTGCCCAAGACAAGCGCTTTCAACTCCACTGGTTTTTTTGGCATGTGCCCTTGCATCTCTAAATAAAAATGCTTCTATTGCTATTTCTTGTTATGTTTTCGGCACTAGCTCCTGCCTTTTTATTTTGGAAGAGGAAGATTTAACAAACCAACCTTTTCTAGGCCTCCACCCCCACTACACAGAGGCACATCTGCATCTCTTCTTCTTCTCGAAATAGTTATGTGATTTGGTTAGATCAATACTAAGTAAACTATTAGGACAATAATGTGATTTCTTTTCCTTCCTAC